TGTGCTGCGCAGGTTGCATAACTGCCTCGTCGACGTTGTAAGTTCATTAAATATGGATGCGCTCTGGGTACAGAAAGAGACGCTTGAACGTAAAAAAGGATGAGAGAGTGGCGGCGAAAACGCTTTGAAAGCGTGCTTGTGTGACGAGTTGTCAACAAAATACATCATACTTTTTTTGTTTTAATGAGACAGCGGCTTGTTGTGCAGAGTGCCTGCACAAATATGGAGAGTGGGTGTGATGTTATACGGAGAAAATGGGCTTGGCCTGCGTATGTTCTACGACCGACAAATTGCAAAAAATCCCTCTTCACTTCTAATGTGAGTTATTTTAATTTTATACTGTATAATATCTGATAATGCTTTCTGACTGCGTTGAAATTTTTAGCTTTGTTTCATTTTTTTTTTAATAGCAAGAATAATATTTATTACAATAATTGAAAAAGAAGCAAAAAAATAATCTTCCTGCTTCTTTTTCTATGTAAATTCTATCATTACAATTATTTGAATATCAATTTATGCGAATATAACCTTTTTCAAATTTTTAAAAGATATCTTTCCCTTTTTTTAATTTGGTAATAAATAATTTAAAACTTATAAATAACTGAAGTCTATGGCAACTTAGCTGAAGGATCATTAAATTGATTAGCCCATTAACTAAATAATGCCTGGTTGCTGAATAGAGCCTCTTAAATCCATTAATTTTAAAACAATGGGCCACAAGAGAAGCATTTTCAAGCAATTAACTATCCACCTTGGGAGTTTTAAATCTCGGCGCATTAAAAGCTTATTTCAGCTTATCTCAATTTGCCTCGTGCAAAAACGGCGGTGGAAAAAAATCGCATAAAATATTAAAAATTTCATCAACGGAACTTCACGTTGGAGCAGCAAAAACTCCCGGCACGAAACGAGAAACGTGTTTTGCTCGGCGTGAATTACGAATGGGAAAAAACGGCAGCAAATAAGCTGGATTTGCGAGTGCGCGCTGCATTATTAAAGGGAATAAATTTCCATGGCAAATAAACGCGGCGCAGGCCGACGGGCGCATGGAAACCAAGTTTGGATTTTCGTTTTTCAGTCTCTCCGCCGTATTTGCACAAAATTGCAGGGGATGCGAGCTAGCGAGAGCGCAGGCGAGCGAGGGAAAACGAGCTAGACCGGCGACGGGTACCTGTTGTCTGGCTGCTGCTGCTCTCAGCTAGTGCCGGAGTCTAGACGTCTAGACAGTGGTAAAGGTCAGTGCCATTAGGGCCATGCACCCCGCCGCGCCCCAAAATGCACCCGACCGCACTTCCAGCCCTGCACCGCCTCCGCCAACCGCCCCTCCGACAGCGCCCACCCCATCGCCAACTCGCAGTTCCCGAACATTCTCTGCTGCAAATTTTGCATGCATTGCAGGACAATGAAAAATAGTCTGCCTTCCACTTGAAAGGAAACATAATAATGAAAAATTCCAGTTTTTCTATTAATCCATATGCATGAAGCGATAGGGTGACTAGATCTGTTGAAGGAGAAGTGTTCATTTTTTTTTAAACATACACCCTGAAGTAGGGAAGAGGGTCGAGGTTTTATTTTTTGCAAATTCTAACTTTAACTAAAATTCCCTTACAATATTTCTCAGGAGAGGAAATTTTCAAATTAAAACATTCTTCTGTGCTTCTAGTATCCAATCAAAAAAATATTTGGGTAATTTTCAATTTTTATAAAGCTTCAACCAATTTAAATTTGAATTTAATTGAAACTTTAAAAAAAAAAGTGTGCCTGTGAAATTTTATTATTAATGCAAAAATAAATTATAGCCCATCCCTAATATTTAGCATACTTTTTTTGGTCAGGCCAAGACAAAATGTCTTGTCGGTCTGTTCCCTTTTTTGAGCTTGCGGAAGACTTGACTTTGAAGCACCCTTTTAATTTCAGCAGTGGATTTTAGAAAGACAAAGGCCCCTTTTTCCTTTTCATTTATACCAAGTTTGTCGATTTGTGCAATTTTGCTTCAAATCGATTAATGAAAACGTTTACTTTTGCTCATTGGTTTTGTTTTTAACTCAAAATTGAATGAATTTTCCATCTAAATATTTAACGGAACTTTTAATAGAAAGACTTTTATGCAATTGTTAAATGGGGGATATCAGTGGTCCTCCAGGGACAGCAATACTTTCAACACGGTCATCCCAGGAGGACTATGTGCTGAATAGATTAGCTTGCAAGAGTTCATCATGCAAAACAATGACTGCAGTTACAGCATCATATTCGCTGTCTGCGCTGATGTTTGTTTGAGAAGACCGCTGCAACAATGGGGTCTATATATGTGCAACAATGAAAATAAAGTTTCCTTTGTTTATGGTACCATCAAAACGGCGCCACTTTTAATTAGTCAAGACAAATAAAGTTTGAGTGTAAATATTAATAATAATATGAGACTTTCTCATATGGCCTTTCTCGTTCATTTGGTTCAGTCCAATGTTATTAAATGATAAATGATAAAAAACTTTAAATCGAAACCAAGGAATTAAATTTATCAACGCGACTGCTTGATTATTCTGTTGGATAAATTGTCTTTTGTTTTTGTTATTATTTCAAGCTGGGAGTGTTACAGGCCAAAATAATTCCATTTTAATAGGATCAATATGCCACTTTTAAATTTTTGACAACTTTCTCGTATTAATTTTGAATAATATTTTTCTTCTAAAATGTTTCTTTTACTACAACAATGAAAGCAGTTTTTTATTAGAAGCAGAAAAGCTACGACCGGATTTATATATTTTTTGCAAATTTTGCATTCTATGTCACTAGCACATTAACAAGTAGTGTGCTTTTGCTTTGATTTCAGTTTTGAATAACATGAATAATCACGAATAGAGCTCATTGCTAGTTAAAAAATCCTCCATTACCGCATAAAAGTTTAAAAACGCTTTGAAAATCAGCACTTGTAAAAAAAAGGTTGTGGAAAAGCTGTTTTTTTCCTGTTGCCTTTTTCACCGACGTAAAATTTTCGATGTTATTCCATTTCTTGAATAGCACGGTGGAAATGTACGGCCTTGCGCACGACATTCGTTTAAACTTGAATTTGCGACAAAAAGTTCAGTGGTGAAAATCGTGTTGCTCTTTTTTTATATGGCGCGGTTCGACGCTTGACGATTTCATTTTGAGCGCGCCGTTGCGTGTTGTCGGTTTGCGGCAGCGCTGTTTGTTTTGACAAAAAGTAAAAAAGAAGAAAAAAACTGGTAAAGCAGCGCTTTTTTAGGAAAGGTTTCATCCAGTTTCATCTTGTAAAGTTGCAGTGAAAGAAAAATCATACTTGACGATGTTTTTCTAAAAAAAATATATATTATATTAAACAAATTTAAAGAGCCAATTATATCATTTTTAAAAATAGTTTAAAAAGTTTTATCATTTTAATCTAATATCAATATGGATTTATTTTTATCCTTTATTAATTCTTTATTTATTAATATTTCATGTAGATTAACTGAGGCCATAGTAAATATATGCGTTATGAGAAATATATTAAATTATTAATTGTAATATAACATGATATAATACACTGCTTTAACAAAAGAAATTTCATGATTTTCATGATCTTTTACCTTTTCTATTTGTTCAAAAACTCAATTTAAAATGTGTAGGAATTTGGCATTATTATGTGTTTAAATAATTTTTTAATATTTTATTCAGATTAAATCGATTAAATTAATGACAAAATGTAATTTAGAAATTAATCCAGCCCATTCAGCTTGAAGAAGTGGTACGATAGTCATTTATTGCAAGTTTGGCGCATCCAATTCTAGTAAATAATGTAAATTGCCCTGTTGTTAATAAATTCGCTCTCTCGCCATAATAAAGTGTAATAAATTTATTGTCACTGACCACGAAAAATGATCGTTTGCTGTATAGGAAAAAACAGCGAGCCTCTCGGTTTCGATCTATTAGACAAGGCAAACAAGCGCCGCACTGTGTGTGAGCAGCACAAATTTGCAGAGAGGGCGAGTTAGTGGAAGTGCCGGCCAAGTGGCATCGAGGCTGCCAAATTCCTTCTTTCTCTCGCAGACCAAATTGCTCGCGTGGCAAAAATTTTTCGAATATTTCAATTGGCCGAGATTCACTTCGGCATTGCAGACAGATTTCCAACAATGGAATGTCCGAGACAATTCCAACCACGTCTGCGATTTATCAAAAAAAAATAAATAATAAATAAATTCCTGGGAAGATCATTCTAGACAAAATTCCCGTTTAATTTTAATAATTTCCAAAACAAACATTTTTGAAACATTAAAATTAAAAATTTTATATTCAATCAACCAAGTGATTGAATTTTTACCATGAAAAAAATTCCACAGTAGATTTTGACAATAGTAGTATTTTAGCGATCAGGGCTGCTCAGACATGTGTGAAGGTCGCACATGCCCAAAATTTCCCTCTCCCTCGATTTTGCCGGATGGGGTGAATGACCTCCACGTGTTTTAAATCTCATTTCAAGGACGTGAGGAGGTTGAACTTGAAATAATGTGCCCGCCGCACCTCACAAGCAATTAATTTCATCTCATTTTTTTACGTAAAAGGGTGTCAATTTATTGCCGACGACTTCAATACTATAAAAACGAAAGAGTAATAAAAAAAATGCAAGTGCGCCAAGGAAAATTGTGGGGCTTTTGTTATTATGAGATGTTGCACCGCCATGCAATATAACATTGACTTCACGAAAAACTGCCCTCGACACACAAAGCAGCGCAGAATAATAACGACAATAATGACAACATCACGTAATAAACAGTGCAATGGGTTTTCATGCAAAATCTCTACATTAAAGAAAGAAAAAAAATGAAAAATGCATCCATAAATTAGAAAAAACCTAATTTGCAAAAAAAAATCAAGAATTTAGAAGCATGAATCGCAAAAATTTTGCTGAAAAAATTATAAATTTCATACAATTTTTAAACCACAGAAATATGTGACTGAATTAATAGCATTTTTTTTTATCCAACTGAATCATCAAAGTCACTTACCTTTTGCTGTGCGGGCATGACACGGAGGAGGTCAAGTTCAGAGAGTGGCTAGAGAAGGGCTAGTAGCAAATGGGCATAGAATAAATTATTCTTGTCGCTTTTTGCGTGTCGGGCGGCGAATCTGCGTTCGCGAAGCTTCTTCCCTTGTTGGCCGGCGCCGGAATGAGCGTCGAACGAATTTCGATGTGTGTGCGAAAGAAGAGAGCGGAGCCTCCCCATGAGGCACGTCGTTTCTTGCAAGCGCCCCCTTTCATCCCACCACCGCAACGCCGCATGGAAACGGCCCGCCGCAGTTTCCAATGGCAACCGTGGAATATTTTTTTTCTTTGTTTCGGCTGCTCGATCAGAATTGCAAGAATGTAAACGGCCTTCGAATTCCACACGACATTATTCATCACAAAAATGCCAACACAAGATTCAAAGTAAAAATTCTTCAAATAGATAGACACTCACGACAGCGCGCACGGCTTTCTACAAAAATGTATTTCTCTGCGAATGCTATATTCTCAATTGCAATAAATATAAAATTTAAGTTAATTTCGATACATACATTTAATTTATTTTTAAATAATAGTTCAGTATATTTAATTACTACCATAATTTATCTAAATTTAATAAATAAAGTTGACCTTGCAATCCAATTCCTTTTCCTTAATTTCCGCACGTGCCGAAACAATTTTTCTCTCCTCAAACTTTTTGGCGTCAGGGCCAGACGGGGTGAATGACCCTTTGCCATCTCTCAATATGAGAGCGGTTGCCACAATTAATTTACCAGTACAGCCGAAATGCAACTTAAAAATTGAACTTGAACTGTATAAATAAACTGATTTTATTATAATTTTTTTTACTTATTTCTTGAAATGTATAAACCGTCCTTAAATCAGAATTTTACGGAATTTTACAACACACAAAGAAAAAAACCATTTATCTAAAGAACGCAAATCCAGACAAAAAATTCCCTGCAAGGTCAAATTCTATTGTTTTCAAAACTTTCACCAATACTTAGCTGGTACGTATTGCGCAGCCACACAGATACATTAGAATTGGCTGAATTATTATAATGAGCTTAGAAACATTGGCTGTAACAAACATCTACTTTGATTTTTTTTAATAGCAACCATAGCAACAGCCGTGATACTTTAGGTTTGATTAATTAATTTATTAATTTACGCAAAGCATTTCAACACATTGAAAAATAAAAAGTCATAACTTGAAAGCATTTTTTTTTTATTCACAATAATTTAATTATGGCGATGTGTCCTGCATTTCGCACTCGATGCTCAAATTCGATATGTCCTCTGTTGGCTGCTGAGGAGTCATGAGTGGGTCGGATGGAGAAGCTTGTTGGTGGGCACTTCTCAAAATTGCCGGCAACTCTACTGGTTCTCCTAACAAATTAAAAAATTATACTCTGTGCGAAGCGTAAAGATAAAATTAAAAAAATTGATGCATTAATTTTTTCAAAAAACGTCCTTAATTTATATTTTGTTAGTTAAGTATTTTTTTAATCAGTTATCTATAAATTTATATAGGAGAAAACCAAGAAAACTAAAGTAAAATTCAGATTCGCAAACAAAAACAGGACTAATAATTATACCCATCAAACATTCAAATTCAATCCCTATAACAATTTACAATCTACAAATTAACCAAAACTTCATAGAAGTATAGGAATTATTTTAAAATTATTTTCTCAAATATTGGGATCAATTGCAGAGAATTCATGTTATTAAGTGAAGTTGAAAGTAATGATTAAAAATAAACAACTTGAAATTAGCTTGAGAAATGAGTGTACCTTCAAAAGGTTGCCCTATTCCATCAATGGGATTCATAGTGAGGGCCTCCATAGAGTAGCCTAGCATTGTGGTGCTGAAGGAGTCCTCAGGTTTCAGACCCAGAGCTTCATGGAACGCCTCAACAGCTTCGAGCAGATGCCCCATCAACATCTGCACCAATCCGATGGCTGCGTAAGTTGATCCATTCAACGGCTGCAAAGACAAGGCCTGTTGGTGGAGTTGAAGAGCTTCTGGCAGTTTCCCCAGCTTCCGATAAACATGACCCAGATTGTTGAAAAGGGGCTCCCAATTTTCCTCCAATCTCCGCGAATCGCTCTGCTGGATTTCGGCTAAAGCGTCTTCAAAACACTTTTTAGCAGTTTCGTAGCTAAAATATTATGTGATGGAAATATTTTCAATGTTTACTTAATAAAAATGAAATTGGCTCACTCTTCGTCGTGGAAAGACGTAACTCCCATTTCGTGCAAAACATAAGGATCACACGGCGCTATGTCCCTGGCTTGCACAAAAAACTTATCCGCCAACTCTATGTTGTTTGTCAAGCCACATTCCAAGCCAACATATAGTAAAGGAAGATGGCATCTAGAAAATGTAACTATTTCTTCTCCAAAATTTTTATTTTCTTGTTTTGTCTTACCCTTTCATAAGTTGAGATGCGCGGAAGTATGCAGCCATTGCTTGGTCGTGCTCATTTTCAGACGCAAAAGAATGACCATAGGCAAGCCAGGCTGGCCCAAACAGTTGGTCAATCATAGTGGCTTTGCTCAAGTATCGCCTGGCAGGATCACTTTTACCTGGAGTAAAAAAGATTATTTAAAAACTATGAAATTTTGATCAGGATTTCTTAGAGGGCCGTGGCTCTCCTCCACAATGGGAGCTGCGGCCAGGTGCGCCCTATTACCCAGTTGAAGCCTGGTATTTTACTTTTTATTTGTAGAAAATATAATTATCAATTTTCAATCCTCTCTAGCCTGTCACCCAGTAAATCGATAAATATCTTACCAATTACAAAATAGTAGCAGCCTACCGCATACCACGATATTGCCTCTTCTGGGTATAATTTTACAAGCCTGTGCGCTAATTGGAATAAATCTGAAACAAATCATAGAAAGAAGGTGTAAGAAAGAGACATATAATCCATCAAGATCGTGCTCAATTGAAATCTTCAAAGCGTTTGAAGCGTTTTATATGAATTAAATGAAAATATAATTTTTTTTTAATCAAAAGCAAATTAAATTGGAATTAGTGGAAATTGAAATTTAAAAAGCATTTACTAAAATTTATGAATGTACGCAAAATTAAATAAGCTACTAAATAAACATAAAACTTCTGACTTCAACTATTATTAAAATAGATGTGTATTAAATTGACTTGATTATAAATTAAAATTTAACTAAATAAAATTAAAATTTATTTCAAACAAAATTATTTCGTAATTAAAAAAAAAAAAAATGCTTATAGGGACCTAAAACCCACTGATGGGTCTCACGTCCGACAAGGGAAAGCATGCGTGTCCATCATACCATTTGCTTTGTTGAACTGAACCAAGCACCCAATGTGGACAGGAAGACAACCTGGATGGTACGGATCTGTTTTTAGTATACTGCAAGAATGGAAAGTTTTAATTTTTGTTTACATTTTTAAAGGCGTTAATTTACTTGTTTGTGACATCCAAACACTGGTGATAGTCACAGTTGTAATAGAGCCTCTCGGCTTGCCACGCTCTGCAGTCGAGACTTTTGGACAGTTGGAAACGAGGGTCACTACTTTCCAAATATCGGACGTCAGCAGTTTTGCTGTGGTCCACTTCAATCTTGGGGTCACTGTCGGGAACCTTTCTTGGCTTGTCGTATTTTTTCAGCTGCCCTCTGTAAAGAAGTCGCAGCATTTTTGCTTCCTCCTCAGAACATTGGGCTGCCATCTGCGACTCCAGTCTTTCCATCAACTCTTGTTCTGCAGGGTTAGACATAGTAAGTTTATAATTAATTTCATAACAAAAAAGGGGCTTACCTTCAACAGAAGAGAGCATTTGCAGTCTGATGAGGGCGTCAAAGGACTCGTGGCACCTGATGTCTGCCAAAAGGGCATCACGATAACACTCAGAAGCTCGAATTCGGTTTCCGTTAGCTTGTAAAACTTGGGCTTTTAGAAGCAAGACGGAGCTTTGCAGCTGGAAATTTTCAATGTGAAGAATAAATTTTACTTTAAAAGCTGGTATTACCTCAACACACTCAGCCACTGAGTTGAAATGTTTAGCTGTTTCATTTTGAAAGGATTTTTCTCCTGCCAAAGTGTAATCAAACTCAAGTCCTTCCAAAATTGATAAAGACTCATTGTACTCCTTGGCCTCAAACAGGCTTTTTGCAGCTACATACTGACATTGTGGGATGGACTGTGAATAAGATAAAAATTTGCGTATTAAATAAATTCATCATAAAATGTTGATTATCAAAAATCAAAACTTTTTTATTACATATTTTAATATTTACCAAATTTTATTTCAATTTAAAATTTTACCTTGTGTAGATTTCGACTTATTATGATGTGAGCCGCTCTCTGAAATTCTTTGAAATGGTACAGACACTGCGCATTCCAATAAATATCGTGCGGGTCGTTTGTAATGCACATAATCTTGTCAGCCCAAAAAGCCGCCGATTTGTAAAGGTGCTGTAAATTGAGAAAAATGCCCTGTTGGCTACAAAATCAAATATGAATTAATGCACACCTTTTCGTAGTAAGACTTGACCACATTCCGATAGGAAATAATGAGCTCCTCACTGACTGCGTCAGAAAATTTAGCCGGCGATTTCAGTTTTTCTTGTTTACCATCGGCCATGGTTTTTGTTGTGTTGTTTACAGCGCCACCTCCGTCTAACGCCGCAAGGGGCGCTGCAATTTGGCGCTAAAAGGAGCAGGGGCCTCGCGTTTAAAAAAAGCATTTTTTATTCATTATATTATTATTATCGGCGTTACACGTATGAAAATTCCAATCACTAAATTAATATTATTTAACGGAATTTTTTACTCTCAATTTTCAGTTTTTCATTGATCATTTTGTGCTCTTTTGCAATAATATAAAACCTTCATTTTTTAAAAGTTTCATATACAAAATTCAATCAAATTAATATAACATAATTATGGTGTTTTTTCCCTTTATTTAACTTGTAAAGTAATAAGAATTTATTTTTTATTCAACATCTGAATCATCATTGATGGGCAAATTTGAAGCTACGGACTGTACAAACTCCTGTGCTTTTGTCTTGATAGCCTCAACCTCATCTTCATTTCCATGCTGCTGAGCAAACTCCAGATATTTTTTGAAGATCACCTTCATCTTCCTCACAGGCAATTTCTGGGCGATAGCTCGATCAAGCAAACTCCTCGCTGCATCAACATTTCCTGCTTTGATCAGCAAATCAACGTAGGAATTCCAAATGTCTGTTCGCTTAGGGTAGCTCGACAGGATGTGCTCGAACAAAGTGTGGCACCTTTCTGCAGACCCGTACTTATTTTCGAGATGGGCAAATCTACAGATGACGTCCACATCTATAATTTAAAATGTAAAAGTACTTAACAATTTTTATTGTTGAGATATATCTTACGGTCTCTATTTTCCAAACTGCGAAGCCCTCGTTGCAAAAGATGTCTTCCCTTTTCAAGCTGATTTGTTTGGAAGTAGAAGGTCCCTCCATAGACCCACATTTCTTTATCAGAACGGAACTTGCGCAGCATTGTGTCAAACAGTGAATTTCCCTCCTAAAACAGATTAATTTTACATAACTGGTCCCACACTTAAAAAGTTTAATACCTCAATTTTATTGGTGTCCCCAAATATTTTTAACATCTGAACGTAAACCTTTTTAGCATCGTTCAACTGCACTGCCTCTTGTAAAGTTTTTTCTAAACTTTCAGGTGTACCATACAAATTTTCCAAGTTCAAGAGAGCAACCCAAACGTTCAGTTTTTCTTGCTCCTCTCTGAAGGAAATTGTCTTGATGGCTTTCCTTGCGACAGCCCTTGCTTTTTCAATTTCAGTGGCCTAAAAAAAATTCGGTAAAAATTTGATTTATTTTACTCAATAATACAGACGTACTTGCAAATGGAATGCCATATATTGGACCCAAATGATCGAACTATCTGGGGAGGCCATAATAAGTCTATCAAACTCATCTATGCTTTGCGGAGTTTGCTCTTCATTCAAAAGTTTCTGCTCAGCCTTCACAAGTTTCTCCTCTTCCTTGCGGGCCAAGGCTCTCCTTTCGGCCAGAGTCATTTTCTTCTTAGGCGCCTTGAGAATTGCAAATTTCGTAAATAACAGTGGAACAAGCACAAATATTTATTTTACTTCCTCTCCGTCGCTTTCGTCGCTTGATGATTCTTCATCCTCCTCTTTTACGTGGTTGGGATCCCAAACAAAGTTGTCCACTTTTAGAGTTTGAGGATCACTCTTCTTTTTGCCAATTTTCTTTACAATTTGAATCTCCTCCTTCCTCAATTGTGACATTTCATCCTCATCCGGCGCGTCCAAAATTTCCCTATCTTCTTCCTTTGTAGCCTCGTCATCAACTTTCAGCCTCTTAACTTCCACTTCACCAACCTCGTCATCACTGGCAACCTCTTCCTTGATTTCCACTTGCCTCTTCTTGGATTCTTTCGAATCCATTTTCTGGATTTTCTTTTCAAGACTTCCAGGATGCACCTTTGGCTTTTTTCCTTTATTAGGCAAGTCTCTTTTGTTCACACATGTGGGCAGAACAGTGTCAAGACTAATCGAAATGTATGGAATTAGTAAAGATAACATTTTAGTTTTTAAAATCAGACCTCTTGAAAACAAATTTGCATGTTTTTCCAAGCTGATATTCGATGGGCGTTGAGTCATTGATGTGTCTTTTCACAGGAGCAACAGCAATCAAACCTCTACACTGGCCTTTTAGGATGACAACTGCTACATCATCATTTGTTAGAATGACCTCTCCGCGATGAGTGGAGTCAATTTTTGGCTTAGGGCAAGAAACTGGAACAAATTGTCAAATTTGAACATTGCAAAACAGAAACATCATCACCTTGATCCCTGTGTATTTGCTTCAAAATATCAGGTCTTGTAGAGAGCTGGACACACTGAGTGCCCATATCAACCCAAATCACCACAGCTTGCACTTCTTGGCCTTCAGCAAGGGCAGCACCTAAAAAGCACGTTCATGGTAAGGTATTTATTTTGAAGGATTTTTTTATCTTAACCTTGGGAATGATAGCTGTTGATGAAACCTTTCACACTACCATCCAGTTTGACCTCAGCAAGGCCAACATGAACTGATGCAATTTTGGCGCTGACCATCTGCCCTGGCTCATATGTAACTATGGCGTTTTTAGCCTTCTTAAGTTTGCTGTGTATCTTTACATAGGTATTCATGTAATTTTGCATGAATGTTGCACCACCCTACAATAAATAAAAAATTAAGAAAACAAATTAGACAATTGTGAAATAAATACCTGTTCAACACCATACGGACAGACATCCATGAGTTTTGTGCTTCCAGTTGCAGAAATTGGCTCTTTATGTTCCTCAGTTTCTTCAACCACCGACTCCACTCTAAACATTATAGGCTGGTTTTCAGAGAAAATGTCTCTGATTTCCTCGACAGGGTCATCCGCCAAAGACTACAAATAAAAAAATTTAATAACAATGATCATATTTTATCATTATTTTTGTCCTTACTCTATGGAAAGCAATAACGGTTTTTGAATTCTCGCTGTTTTTCGAAATAGTCCTGATGATAACTCCAGTTTTGGCAATGGTTTTCACAAATCCTGGAAGAAGGGCATAAACCTTCAATTCTTCGTCCATACCACCTTTCAAGGTGTGCGCAAGTTCTTGGTCGATTGTGAAGACACCCTTCCCCTTAAGATTTGTAGCAAGACACGTAGCTTTCACTTTGTCGCCCGCAGAGAGAGATTTCATTAAAGAATCTGCGAGTGAAAGATGGGCAGTCACAAGGGGCTTTGGTACAAAACCAACGCCCTCCAAATCTTTTGACGAAATCGTCAGTTTGATCTCTTTGCCGTAGATGCTGTCCACAACGGCACTGTATTCTCGGCCAACTTCAAAATTAAGTTGTGCACCCTCTTTCTCTTCCTCCGGATTTTCCATACTAAGCTTCAGCTTGGATGGGCCAATGACCTTGGCCACACGGACATTGATCGTTTGACCAAGAGAAAATTTTGAATTCAATTCTACAGGGATGTTGCTAAGGCTCAGTTTGCCCTGAAAAGACATATTGAAAATTAAAAACATCAAGGAAATTGATTGAATTTGACATTTTAATTAATAAACTTACAGAAACTCCATTGAAGAATGAGACCAAATAAAATTTTGGATCTACCAGGTAAACAACACCTTCGAAGAATTTGTCCTGAGGAATGTCAGAGTAATAGCTCAGGATTGGCTTGCGAGATAGAACTAATGATGGCTTTAGGGTGACAAAAATAATATTTTTCTCGGTATCGACAGAGATGATCTAGAAAAAAGGAACATAACTTCCATATCATGTAAAAAAAACGTGCTTGCTTACCCTTCCTTTTACTCTCTGGCCGACTGAGAATCTCTTGCCAATGTCAGACACATGAGTGTCTGACAGATGTATTGAAGGAACTCTGGCTTTTAGATTGGGATGTTTGTTAACTTCCAAGTACAAATCTTTCTTCCGTACTTCAGTTATTTGACAGTGTATAGTTGAGCCAGGTTTCAGATCACTGAGCATCAACATCTTGTCCTTAATTTTGTCCCTAAATTTTTTTTTTCATAAGATAAACACTAAAAAAAAATATACTTTTCTTACTTCAGCATTGTACACATCAATAATCGGTCCATCACGTCATACTTCAGTACCCGACACTGGACCTTGGTTTGGGGAGGGTACAGCAGCTTCAGTTTTTCTTCCTCCGTCATTTTTGGAATCTGGGTGAGACCAACGAAGCCGAAGACCTCGTCACTTTTCTTCAGCTTCAAAGTAAGTCCACGGAAAGAGGTGCTCACTACTTCAGCGTTGTCAACAACTTCTCCAATGCTGACGTCGCAGTTCGAGGGCACACCGTTGGTAGCAAGGTTTGGGTCCTTGCATTCCAGGCTGAAGGGATGTGGTTTCTGCATGGTCAGGAAAACGGTTCTGACCAGAGGAAGGGAGTAAAGGACCGTGGCTGAGAGGGTTTCGTCTTCAGAGAACTGACTCTCTAAGGGCTTCCTCTGGTGAGGGTAGTGGTCTACGTGAACGTAGCCATCAAAATTTAACCATTTGACTGCTACACCATGTCCCACAGGCTGAAACAAGTAAAAAGTGACAACGAGCTTAAAATCTTTAGTTTTATGATTATTTCAGTTCAAAAGCTGCAATTAATTTTAATCATTCATTAAATTACAAATATTAAATAACCATTGTTTACTGCAAAGTTCTTTTTTTCATAAAAATTTTAATAACAATTTATGATATCTGCTTAAATAATACATCGTTAAAAGGTTACCATAAGAGAATCGACTTCAAATCGCATGCCAGGGATAACCAGATGAGGATTTATTCCTGAATCACGCGGTACTAGAGCTTCATTCACTGCTGATGGATCGGCACTCAGCTCAAGAGTTGTGCTGGTTGAACTGCTTTTTGACTTGGTTACCAAACAGCGAATAAGTTGGCCAACAGCTGAAAAGGATGTTTTAATAATAACTATTACGAGCAGAAAGAACAGAAGAAGAATTAAAAAAATACCAAGTTCGTTAATGTTGTAAGCTTTTCTGAAAGCTTTCACTTCGGTCTTCTTCAAAAAAGCCCTAAGTGAGTCAATTCCAAAGTCAATTAAATAGCCATGGTCCTCTATGCTAGTTACTGCTCCAGTAAGAACCTTTGGGAAAAGATTGTATTAATTATCAAGAATCACTTTAAAACTTACCATTCCCTCTTTGACCGACGAATGAGTCAACTCCGAGTGGATCTCATCAGGGGCCAGGGAAAGCGTAACTTGGTAATAACTTTTCTCCATGGCAATACTTGTTACTTTCGTGACGACATGTTGACCGACAAAAAATATTTCTTCCAAGGGAGGGACCTAAATTTGGAACATTTTAAATCAGTGGGTGTTTTGTACGTGAATTTATGTATTTTACATTATTCGAGCTACTCAAAGCTTCCGAGTATTGTTTGGAAACAGCAGAAATGGCAACTCTGCCCGTTAGTCTTCCAGGGAGGCTCACATTCATGTGGTAGCTTTGAATTTCCCGAATGCAGCCAAGAACCAGCATTCCTTCACTCAAAGTCTAGAGGAAAAACTTAATATTGTAAAAATGACCATCACGTTTGAGAAATTTCATACTTTGTAAGTCAAAGGCTCAACAACTTTCAGCTTTGCAGAAAAATCGATATCGATGTCGGGAGCTTTTTCTCTTCTCTTTCCTTTCTTCGAGGTCTTCTGAGTGTTTGCTTTTCCGAAAAGCTGTAAGTTATTGAAAATTTAGAAAGTGTTCGAGGAAAAAACTTCAAATATTTACGTCGTCATTTTGCTTCCTTTTCAAATTCTTGTCCTCCACAGCGGTTACAAATTTTTCTTTCCCACCACGGGGGAATGACGGTTCTTCCATGATGAGCCTGCTGGAGTCTGGAGTCTGCAAAATTTAAGTACCACGTGAGAAATAAATTCTAGACAAAAACTCATCCCTAAAGCGGGGGCTGACGTTTTCATAATAATGTTTTCTAAAAATTCAGGTTAGATTTCGTGATTATTATGTGCTTATTTGATTACTTGTAAATATCATTAATGAACTTCAATTTCAATACCTGCAGGTTTGTAGTATCTCAATTCAACACAAAGAAATTATCCGGCGACTCAAAACTCAGCGATAAAAACAAGCAGGCACGGCACGGCCATGCTGTCTGTTGACCACGTGTTTTCACCGGGGAGCAGGACTCGCTGATAGCAGCGCCCCTGGCGGCGGCTGAGCGAGGCTGGAAGCGCTGATTTCCGTCCTTGGGTCTTGGATTACGGCGAGGTGCGCCATGTTGTGATGACGTCTTGGACTTTTAAGGAAAAATAAGTGTTGCCAGAGGCTGAGGAATCGGGCAGGACATTCAAAAGAGGGACAAAAGCGATCTGAAATCCAGACGGAGGACGGCAGCCGAGATGCCGAACTGCGTAGTCAAAGGGTGCAGCAGCAATTCGACGAACCCGGACTACGACGAGTCGGGCCGTAAGGTCACATTGCACCAATTCCCCACGAAGGTGACGCGCGCCGAGTGGATACAAATTCTGCGGGACCGCGGCGGCCGCAGCGCTACATGGGAGCCGAACGCCAACGCCAAGATCTGCTCGATGCACTTCGATGAGTCGGACATTGACCGGACGGGCCAGTGCGTCCGCATCAAGGCCCACGCCGTGCCCCTTTATTTCAACTCGCTCAAACGCAAATCGCGCAAACGGCCCTCCGAAGAGCAACCCGACGGCCCTTCGCCGCCCTCAAGACCCCAACCGAGCCCCCAGCAGCCCCTCGCCAACAGCAGCCCCCCGAGTCTGATCCCTATTAAGACCAACTGCGTAGAGTCGCAGGTCAAGGTCGAAGTCTGCAGTCCGCCCCCACCCCTTCCTCCAATCCAAGTGATAGTCAAGCCACCCCCGACTTCTATGGGGTCTTCAGCGCCTCAGTCGCCACCGGCAGCGACGGCTCCGTTGCCGTCTCCTGAGCACCAGCACAATCAGATCTTCAAGATCTTGGTTGAGAGTGCCCTGCCCATGGTTAGCAAGGAGGTACCATTCTTTTAAAATCTTTTTATTAAATAAATAAGAAATATTTGACATCTTATTTCCCAGGTTTCTAAAACTTGAGACTGAATGTATTTTTTTTTTTAAATAAAGAATTGCTTTCATAAAATATTTGTTAACAAAATATGCATATTAATTTTCATTTGTAATTCCAGGAATCTATTGCACCACCCCTGGCGCCAGTCGTTGCAGGGCCACGGCAGGCACCTGCTCGTCCTGTGCAAACTCTGACAACCAAGGCCACCCTCCAGTCCATATCGTCACCAATTTTGGGCTCCATCATGCGAGGCACCCCATTGAGCAAAAGGGAGCAGATGCTCAATTCGCCGGCAGTGACCTCCACCCTGGTCGAGAAATGCATCCGTCGCTCTAAAAAGTTCCAGGCATGTTTTTCTTTTTATTAAATTAACAAAAAAAAATCCAAAACATGAATTGTAAAATATAATTTATTAATTTTCCTGATTTATAGGAGCTTGTGAGTGGAGAGAAAGACCCTTCGATTCTTCGGGGCATCATATCGAAAACGCTTAAAGACGTCAATTTCTACGAAGCGCTGAAAAGCAACCTGAACTGTGAGAAGGAACGCCAAATGAATGAGGAGCGCGAACGTGAACTCAGGGCTGACATGATTATGCAGGAGATGAAAGCGCTGACCTCGACGACCAAGTATGCCCTCCAAGAGGCGCAGGACAATTTCGAGAACTTCTTCAAAATGGACATTGACATGGCCCGCACCAAGGTTAGAGAATTTCCAGCTTAAAAATATGTTGTAAATATTATGGCAATTAATTTTAAATTTTTGTCTCTCAGGTTAAAATTCTGCGCAATGACCTGCAGAGGAATTACATGGTCCTAAATGACAAATGGGAGCGCATGGCCCAAATCATAGAGGGTGAGAGTCGCAAGTACGAGCCGGTCTCGGTGATCACCCCTTGTCCTGCGGCCCCACCTCTGCAGCCGGTTGGCAGTAGTGCTGAAATGTACCTGGCTTCAACTAACGGCCCCGTCAACGCCAATGCGCCTGGAATTGCACCCATGGCTGTCGAAAAGCTGCAGCAGATGAGCCGGTCGCAAGTGGTTTTGCAGCAGACGGCCGACACGGTTGAGACGGCCGCTGCTGTGGCCAGCATTCTACAGCAGGACCCTCAACAAATGGCCGCTGCTCAGGAACCACCCAGAGACTTCAACCCAAAAACCTATCTTCCAAAGAAACATAAGGTAAAATAAGCTGGTAAATAATTTACTTGCAAATGAGAGAATTTTTTTCTTTAAATTCAGCTTTATAAATTTTGTATTTTCAAATTTAAACATTATTCCCTTGCCTTTCTAAAAAAAAATGTATGTTGCTTTGATGCAAATATTTTTAAAAAAATTGACATGGCATAAATTTTGATGTTGAGTTTCAAAATAAAAATAAATTTTCAGGCCATGTTAAAACTAGCTGAGGAGCAGGCGCACAAGACGACCCCAGGCATGGAGTTTTATGAAGAGGACGAAGACACTGTGAGGAAAAAGATAAAGATTGATATAGAAGGTGCATGCCTTGCTGAGTAAGCACCATTGTGATTGCAACCAGTCCTCAGGATTAACAAACTACGCGCAGCCCACGCCTGGCTGATCATTGAACGTTGTAAAGAATCCATCAATTTATTAATTGACCAACACAATATTTTCTCCTTATGCCAGCACATACTATATTTTCTATGAGGCGACTTAAAAACAATGAACTGCAATTTTCAGAGCTCTCCCCTTTTGGTTGTAAGAATTAAACTGTAAAAGTCTGTTCTGTTTTCCCAATGTGAAATCACTGTCCTGATCTCTCATACTAAAGTCTTGGAAGCTCAAATTGCAACTATGCGCTGATTTTCTTATAATTCTTTTCAGGAAGAATTAAGAAAAATCTGTTAAAACTTATAAGTAATTTCATTTTTTTTCCGGAAAGTGTTTTTCGTGGTGATAAATTTGATTCTTGTTATATCTACTTTTGGCGTTTAAGAATCTAGCTTGCAGCTGTTGTTATGCAAATAATTGTATTCTTTTCCATCTAGAGAGAATGAAAGATGGTCTTATGTTTTAAGCCCAATTCTGTGTGAGAATCTATTGAGTACTGTCTGTACTAATTCGAATTAAAAAGTAAAAACGAGCTTAGATCGAGGAGTTCCCCAAATAACTGTATGTAGCATAACATTTATCAAACAATAAGCACACAGTGTATCATTTGTATGTTTAGTGAAACACAGAGAGTGTATCTCAAAACTCCGAAGCTGTTAATTCTTGTGCCAATCTGGAAACTTGTTGTCCTTTACTACTGGAAAAGTAAGGAAATGTCCATAGATATTACCATAGTCGATCTTGACATTATTGTGAGCGCGTTTTGAGAATATACGAGAGTTAAATCAAATTTCACTGAAAGAAAAATGTGTGCAGATCAGAAGAGCTGTATAAACGTCAATAAAACACAGTATGTCACCATTTTTATCTAAATTTTTAATTCAAAGCCCTTTTATTAAAACTGACTTCAATATTTACTATTTTAATTGGGTGAAAATTTTTAATAGGAATAAAAGAAAGATTTAAATTTTGCCACTGGTTCCAAATCAAAGACAAAAGTAAGTGATAAGTTTCAGTTTATTCATTTAAAACCAACACAAATATTACACAAATTCAAGTGAATGAACTTTCGATTAATTTTAAAATCAGGCGTGATATTCAATACTGGCAGGGCAAGATGTGCTTAGAGATATTTTGTTTTAATTTAAAAACTAAGAATATTTTAATCTCACCGAAGCAAGCCGCTCTTAATAGTTTAACTATTACGGTGATATAAAGCTTAAGTATATTAATCAAGTTTTGCTGGATAGCTTTAAATTATAAGTAGAAGGTGGTAATTTATATCATTTTGCCAAATCTTCCACAAATTTACACAAAAATTTCTTGCTTCTCAAAACAGAAGCATTCTCGCTGAACACATTGTTTCTCAAAACATTATTTTACAAAATATCAATTGTTATGTACAAATTTTTTTGATATCATGGCTTATAAAATAATTTATACAAGGTATAATATCATAGGTGCTTCATAAAAAAGGCACATGCATGCAACATTATTCATAAGGCACAGAAGTATTGTAAGAGTAATCTGCAGGCACTGGTGGCATTTTGCTAATAATTAATCAGCAAGACAAGTCAGTATCAATCTAACAGGCCCAAAATTTTTATAAAATTACGCATCTCAAATCCATTGATTTTACACTATTTGCAAATTAAATTATTATCTAATCAAAATCAGTTTTCTCTCATCCTTTTCAGGAAAAGCTTTTCCAGCAGATCTGGTGAATTTTGTTCAGTACCAGGCGCTGTAGAAGGCAGAGGAGGGCTGCGGGCGAGCGGGGGCAGTGAGGTGCGAGTGAGTGAAGGCGGAGGCCGAAGTGACGCCCGAACTGGACGTTGGGCTGACAAGGGAGTTGCGTGACCAGCAGTGGCCATCCTCAGCAACAGAAGCCACCGAGGCCGACGTTGGAGACATGCCGTGGCTGCCGTAGGCGCCGCCGCCGCTAGAGGTGCCGCTTGCCAAACTGGCGCCAGTGCCCATCATGCTTGTCATGTTCGAGTGCTGGTGCGGACTCGGAGCCATCTAAAACAAAAGTTAGAAACACAATGAGTTCGATTTTCAAAAATTTTGCATTTATCAAACCTCAAAATAATTTTGCTTGTAGTATTAAATTTTATTTTTTATTTCATTGAATTCCAATTATTCTTTTTAAACAATTTTTTTTTAAATTTCATGAAATTTGAAGCTTTTATAAGTTTAATAAATAATTTTGGAGAATAAAAACAAAAAATAGCAAGTTTTGGGTGGGAAACGGTCAATTCGCAATAAAGTTGCAAAACAATGCAGTGACATCGCAGAACTATCTCGCGGTTGATTATTTCCCTCATGTGACGGATTAAATTTTCATAGCCTGAGGTCGTTTATATCCCGCTGCCGAGACAAAACCCGCGAGCGCTTTCTTAAAAGCGCCGCCATTGTTCTCCGAGAATCGACGAAGGCCCTCTTCGTTTTTGTCGGCGCGCGAATTCTGGCACGTTTCGCAACCGCACGTGTTGATTGCAACTCGGTTGTGCAATCGACAGCGTGGGAGTTTGTCTCCGTCACCCAACGGCAGCATTGATTCTGCGAAGTGAAAGTCACCGCAAAAACCCATCTACTCAGACTTTACTACAAACGTAAATCAGTGCAACTGGTGGAACGGCGCGAGAGAGAAAAAAAATGAATTGTGGGTTTTAGCATAAAAATTATATTTTGGCAGTCATTATAGGAAAAATCCGTATTGAATGTATAAGTTTCAAATATACTTTAAAATTTCCACATCAATAAATATCGATCTTACAATTTAGATTGTTGGCAACCTGCTCGACATTAATGTCGAGCGGGTTTGCCTAATCAAGGCGGTTTTGTTAGATAAGCATATTATTTTCCAGCCTTCTCTGGTACAAATAAAAAGCAAAATTTAATAAAGATTTGAATAAATATAAAACAAATGCTAGTAATCCACGGAATTGTTTCAGAATTATTATGGAAATAATTTAAAAATCTGACAAAAATTACATGAAAAAAGGGTAAAACAGTATTTTTCTCTCTTTAATTTTGGTGGTATTATTAATTAGCTTGATATTTTCAAAGGTTAAATAACCGTTCAAAAGTCAAACTTGATAATATTTTACTTCACTTATATTATTCCAAATTAGTTTCACACATCAAGAGTCAATTTTTAAGTGTATCAAACTTCCGCATAGACGTCAATTTCCTGTGTGTTGCCTCCCTTTTGCTGGCGGGTCAAACATTTTAAATTCAATTCATTTTGATCGGAAAATGATGGCGGTGCTGTCAGTCAGTCAGCAGTTTGTCGAGCGAGAGCGGCGCCGTTTTGCATGGCTGCATTCAAAGCCACTGTTAGGAATAAATAAACGTGTGTATGCAGCAGCAACAGCAGTCGACTCTCACGATGCGTGACGCCTTTCAGGAACAAAAAACTCCATTTGTATTCGGACGCGGAGGACGCAACAACCGCTCGGTGTGAACAAATCAAACGGCTCATGCTAACCACACTGGCGTGCATTTTGTTATTCGCTAGCAGAGGAATTATTATGCATTGTTGCGGCGCAACTCAATGATGATAATTACAAAACTTGAAATGGCGTCACGCTTTTAAAATTTTGCATGCTGTACTAAAATGATTGAATTGTATTGTTGACTATAAGTTTAAAAAAGAAAACAGGAAATACTTAAGCAAGTAACTAAATATTTTAAACTTTCATAATAATAACCAAATTAAACCTAAAGGTTTAATTAAAACTTTACAGACTATTAAGAATCCAAAATTAAACATCTTAGTTTTGGCAATTTTCTCTGTTTTCTCAGTAATATGCTTAATTGAATTTTGTTTTGTTCAATCTAGATTTTTTTAACAGTATAAATTTCAATTATTTTGTTAAATTAACTTTTTTAAATTCTTCTTCATTCTGAATTTTATCAAACAATAAAAATAATATTAATTTCTTTGACGTCTTTTTCTATTAACATGGATCATTCAATTATAATATAAAAGTTGTATAAATTTTGAGTAAATTCCTTACCTGAGAGGAGATGAACGAGGCCGACGCATATGAGGACGACATGATGGAACCGCCGCCACCAGTCAGGGCCGAAGAATATGTGGACGAAGCAATCGGTGTTGGCTTTGATTCCACGGGGCTTCCCAGACTGGTCATGCTGGTCATGGGAGCGTTTTGAGAAGAATACAACGACTCGGTCACTGGAACAAAAATTTAAAACGATAAGTTAACAAAAAAAACTCAAAATTAATTCCCTGATATAACTCTTTTGAAAATAATATATGATTGAGTGATGGGAAAATAAGTTTGATATATAACAAAAAGATTCTTAAGATTCAAATCATCCTGGAGAAGTTTGGTAATAACCCTTGTTGCCGCCGAGGAATTCCATTGAAAGTGCCTGACACTCCATAAAACACAAAAGAAACACGCCTCTAATTTTTTTTTTTCTAATCCGATTGTTGAATAAAAATATTTTCGGTGCTGCTACCGTGTGGCGATTGGACGTGAAAGGATTGAAAGAATGTTCGGATGGACCACCCATCGGCCACGCATGCTGTTGAAAACAAAGCGAGAAACTGTCAAATGACTGGAACAAATGGCGATTCGTTCGAGTAATAGCTGCCGAGTGGTAGCCGAAGAGAGATGATGCGCTGCCGTATATTATTTTCACCGTCGCGGCCGCGAGCGGTTATTATTCAAACGTGAATATCATGTCACAGGTGAACAATGGACCGGTGGGGAAAATAATCTTTCATAATAAATCGACCGGAGAATTTTTCTGGCCAAATGGTGCTTGAGGCTAAAAGTAGGGAGTTATTTGAGAACAATAAGAGATGATGTAGAAATTAAATATAAAAAAGAGAGTCTCTTTCTTAAAAATTAAAAATATGAAATTAATTTCGTAAATTTGAAAAGTTATTTAAAATTTAATTTTTTAAATTTATGTGCCACTGTTTCAAGCTTCTGGACTCTATCATAAGAAATTCCTCTCTTTTCCATTAGCAGCAGTGGCAGCGGTGAAAAATGATCAGATCTCCGTCTCAAGGTCGGCGTAATTCAGGTGCCCAAAGCATCAACCCTTTCCTCTCCTTGTCGACGCCTCCCACTATGCCACTGCTATTTTTTGCATCACTTGTATCTCTCAAGCATCCATTGTACTTTTGATGTGAGCTCAAAATATGCGATCGTTTTTTGGCACCTTGAGACACACCTGCTGATGCAAAAGCGTGCTGTGGTACGGGAGAGGCTACATTGTACTCGAAAGAAATGACAGCATGCGGCTCCAAACTTCAAGGATTTGAAAATATATTTTCTCAACTTCGGCTTTTCCCTGAATTCAAGTCAACCATCTTTTTAACTTTCAAATCTTTTTAAAGAAATTTTTTATACTTTCAAAAATTGTAAGGTATAAAAAACCCAAAACATAATTTTTTAAATACACATAAATAGTTTTTTTTTTTTAAATTAAAAAAGGGCAAAAATTAAATGATTTTCTCCTACCTGAGGGCGATGAGACCGAGAAGGGCACAGGAGATTCGGTCTGAAGGGTTTGGGGCAGCATGTACGATCCGGCGGCGCTGGAGGCGTACGAGGGCACCGGAAGGCTCATAGTTCCATAGCCGCCAGTGCTGCTGGACATTTGCTTTCGGAGGCGAGCGCGACGGTTGCTGAACCACACCTGCTTGGTTCAAATAACAAATTAAAGTTTATTAATTTATAAACTCACAAGAGCGCATAAATGTTGTGAAAAGGTATTTAGAATTAATATCCTTTTTGTTTTAAAATTTGTTTTTTGCTTATTCATCTACCTTTCAGAATCTTCCAAAAGCTAAAAAGATTTTTTATTTTATTTATTAAACGACTCTAAAAAAAATATTTCAATTTTTTTAACACCTCTTAATTTGAACCAAGTGTCTTTTTTATTGCTATAAAATTTAATTTTCCCCAATTAACTGACCTGGATTCTGGCCTCGGTGAGTTTGGTCCTCTGCGCCAGCTCTTCCCTGGTGTAAATGTCAGGGTACTGGGTCCTCTCGAAGGCCTTTTCCAACTCGTCAAGCTGCTGCGCCGTGAAGGTGGTCCTGCTGCGCCTCTGCTTGCGCTTCAGAGGAATGCCCGGCTCGGATTCGCAGTCGGAGCCCTCGCTGTTCTTGCCTGCGAGCGAGAAGGAAAACAAATTTAAATTTCATCGCCAAGAGAGAGAGAAGTGTGAAAAATTGCGCGAGTGTGCAATTACTCCGGTAGTAAAATGTAACGAGCGCTATATTCAAATCGATTAATTGAGTCATTTATTGAAGAGATTCGCGCATTATGGGCTGTGTATAATTTGAATGCACAGCAATTTCACGCTTGTTGAACTCACTTTGTTTGCATGAAGAGCATAAAAAAAATTTTGTTATTAACTTACTTTTAACGCAAGCAAAGCTTTGTATATTTGGAAAAAATACAAATTTATAATTAAAAAAAAAAATGATTTCATTTGGTTCAACATTATCATTTGTCCGCTTGTTGCGAGGGCAAGAGAATGAAATAATTTCATTTTGTTTTTATTTAATTTTTTCCTTTTTTTTTAATAATCCTTAAAAATAATCTTGGGATAATTCACTTTTAGTCTGTTCTCTATTCAGACCAGCTGTGAATTTATCGAATTTATCATGGCAAAGGGTGTGCTCGTGAAGTGTTCCTTTACTCAAAAGTATAGCAAAAAACGTCACCTCTATTCGTTTTTAATAAGCAAGTCGGCGATTTTAATTAATGGCCAATTTGTTGGAGAACAGGTTGACACAAGTGAAGCATTACACGCGCGGTAACACAACACGGTGGTCCTTTATAAAAAATCTCAAATTGGCCTCAGCGTCTGATCGTTAATTCCGCCTTAGTTACTCAGCCTGCAGTCAAGCAGCAGCATGGGTTTAATAATAGTTTATATAAAATCGTTTTAAGTCAAAAGGACTTTCATTCATTGAATCAAAATAACTCGGTTTGAATTCATGCTAAAAATAAGTCTAGTTATATTAATTTTTTAGATCTTGATCAAAAACGTCCCTGACAAAGGCCGCACATGATCGCGCCAGAGCCTGTCAGTGGTAATTTTTAATTTGCTTACATTTGCCTGATCGTTTAAATATATTATAAAGTATTTTGACAATTTTTTTTATCATAAAAAGCAGGAAATTTCACTTTTTTTTTTTTTATTAAAAAAAAGACGCAAGTTTTTCTCCAAACGAAATCTAATTTTAGGAAATACAAAAGCAGCTTAATTTCCACTTTAAATTGGCAAAAACTCTGATGTCAAGCAAATTTAATCAACGTGTCTGCGGCTATTTGACGGGTGAACCACTTAAAAAAAGGCTCGCCCGCCAACAATGTGTGTCATGGAGAAAAGCTGCGAGTTGCAAAACATTCGGATATACCAAAACAATATCGCCGAGTTGGGCAAAAGCGGCTGAGCGTGAAAAACACCTGTCAACGTGCAGCGCAACAAAAGAATGAAGAAAATGGAGTCACTGTAAATTAACCTACGCACAAGTCTCACGTGTCTTTTTGACAAGATCGGATGCAAAAAAAAATAAAAAAACAAACTGCGACAGCAAAATTGCAGGCATTGTGTGTCGTGGGTGGTGCTTGTGACCCGAAAGTTTGTCGATCGGCAAACAATTGATGGCAGGAAGTGAAACAGGGCTAATCCTTTCCACTCGTCAATCAGAAATTTGCCAACTGTTTTGACATTTCATTTTGGCAAAATTGGACCCAATTCAATGCGAGGCACTGATTAAAGGAGTTTCTTAAAAAATTACCATTAAAATTAAAAAAAGGAGGAAAAAATAAAATTTAATTAAAAATCATGAGAGGAAAATGCTAATTTATAGCAATTGATAAATAAAAGGACCCCGCTTTATAAATATGAAACAAAATAAGCTCTATACAATCTTTAATTAGTAAAAAATATAAAAATTACTGAGGAACATTTTGCTTTAAATAACAATTTTTCCCATATTTAGGAAGAAAATTTTCAGTTTGACTAATTTTTACAATTTATAAGCGAATTGTTTTTACAATTCATATTTCCAACACAAATATTTAGCAGGAAATTGTTATTGAATTTGCACCATAAACCATTGGTGAACAAAAAGGTAATAAGTTTGCGATAATTGCGTAAAACGGTCACGTCTCATGCCGAAAAGGGGGGTCTGGAAATTATTCTCATATATATCGAACATTCCTAAGTGCCAAATAACAAATTTTATAAGAGTAACTCGGGCAGCTTTCCCTCACACGGTTTGCATATTAATATTATTCCGTCCACGTCTCTCCGTTCAAGTAAAAAAATCTGCCTAATTTTTTGCTCACCACTATTACATACTAATTAGATTGGTGCGCAATTACATGCCGGTTTATTGGGGGAATTAAGACAAATTACAATGGCAAAACTTGCGCGTATGTATATGCGGTCGCAGGAGCCGGGTAATAAAATTCGCGCTTTGAGCTGCGAGTGGCGGCGGCGAGTTCAATGATTATTATAATTTGCATCAGCGGGCGGGATAATTTCGGAGCTGGCGACCAAGGCGCGAGAAAAAATAGAGCAAAAGCGGCTTTGATTTAATGAGACCTGCGCAATTTTAATAATTTTGATGCAAAGCACCCTGAATGTTCCCATGAAATTTCGATGATCGACCTTCTTTTATCAAAAATAATCTGATCCTCATTTTTAATAATATTTTATGTAACACTGCAAACATGTTTTCAATAATTTGGATTTTATCAAAATAGGGCCAGTGCATTTGTTTGAAATTTATTTATTAAAATTCAATCACCAAATTATATTTGGTGGAAACTGCCATTTTTTTTACGTTTCATCTTTCTTTATAACAAAATGATTTTTTTTTAATATCAAGCCTTAAAATAATTTAAAAATAACAATTAAAAAGTGAGACAGTGCTGCTGTATGACTTTTAAATTTAAATTTCAAGAAACATTTACATAAAAATATAATTTAAATTTAATATTCAACTAGACCATTTAATTTCATAAATTTGCCTCAATTTCTTTGGTACTTCTTTTAATTATTAAAAATACCACTTATTAGTGCTTCACAAAAAAAAATTTTGGAAGTCCATAAAAAATTAAAGCTATTAGGCCCCGCTTTTAAAGATCAATGAGTTCCTGTGAAGTTTGAAACTTTTGAGAACAATCAAGTGCCAAAAGCTATATTAATAACTTCAAACATACTCACATTTCGCGAACGCGCGGGCTTTTGTGCGCGCGGCGTCGCTGCGCGAAAATCATTTGTCTTAATTATGTAAATTATTGTACGCGACGGGCCGACAGCGCACTACTTTCAATTAGCGGCGGCAACATCTTTTGAAGACGAGCCGAACAAACTATTTTTATAAAGCGAGATGACAATACCAAAGAGGGACGCCGCGCGGCTTCAAAACACAAGCTAAATGAAACACATGTCGCAGCATTTTCGCCTAAACAAACGCATGGAGGCTGCAGCGTGAATAGACCTCTTGTCGCGCACCAATTTTTTTTACCAATTCGGCAGTATTTTTATTTCGGGTGCACGCACGATTGCGTCTCCTGTCAAACAGTGCGCGAGTGAAACAATGCCGGCTTTCATTTTGGCTTTTGAATTCACCGCGAAAGAAAAAATTGAAAAGTTTCGCGTTTTGAAAAACTGCACTCACCGTCGTCGAGTTTCTTGTCGTCATCACCGTCTCTGCCGCGAAGCAAGCGGGAGATCGCGCTCACAGATGGTGCGCTGCTGCGGTCGCAAATTCCCTCCTTGATCAGTCTGAAAAAATCATTTTTTAACAGGTTAATTTTACAAAGTTTCTTCTTTACAATGATAGATTTGCATTTTCTAATGATAATTTCCAACTCATGAATATTTTTCTTTTTAAATCCATATTAATAATTTTTAAATCAATCAACTGCTTGTTTTTTAAATTTGAATAATTTTTTCCTCATTATTATTTTTGTTTTTCTACTCTCGGCAATAAAACAAAAAAATTGAATTGGAAAATTAGCAGGAAATGTATCAAGTGGTAATTAATTAACAAGTTTTAATTTAAATAAATAGGTAGTTAAAAAAATATATTGACTTTAACTTATTGAATTAAAATTTCAAGCATCTCGATTTAAATCCTGATCTCAAAATAATTGAGTTCCCTAACAAAGATACAATTAAAATGCTTTCATAAAAGTGTCTAACTTATAATATGAGTTTTACTCCCTATTTAAATTTTTAATTCCCTACTATTGCTTTTATTTCCATTTCGTAGAGGATATAAATATTTTCTTTTCTCCTACAACTAGAATATCAATGTATTGCTCGGATATACCAAAAAACTTCAATTATCACTAATTATATATATTTAAATGTTAAAATTATAAACATACACTCACAACCAAAATATTATATATATTTTATTTATTTAAATTTGTAATATCAATGCACTTTCTAATTTGACTTCTAAATTTTGTATATTAAAGATTTGATGTCATGTTGTGGATTTTTAACAATTTGTTGGAGGCGTAGCTAGTGAAATTCATCAATTTAAATCATGCTGGCGTATATTTTTTAATTAAATTTTGCCAACTTTTGTGTTTCTTTCAGGCATTCAACATTGAAAAAACAAGAGAAACTAGTAATTGAATGTAAATAACAATCGCTCTCTACTCTTTAAAGTCAACACGGAATTTTCCATTGAATCGCGAGACATGTTCTTTCCTTATCAAAAGCACATGTACAAAAAACTCGAATGCAAAGTAAAAGTGAGCGCGCGGAGAGCTACATAGAGTAAGTCATTATTTCGCCGTCGCATTGTTGTATTGAAATCGAATTCAAAGCCCGGCTTGCAGACCAAGATAAACAAATTATTTTGACACTTCTAGTGAAAAATGTGAAAGTCCGCCCGCTGCACATAGTGCACTGGAGATCTCGCGCCGTGGTTTCAAAAACCTGCGGCGCGTTTGTTAAAAAAAAAGGAGCTGCTCCTTTCAATCGAAAAATTTCCCTCTCGGTATACATTTATCGTTTTCCTGGTAATGCCCCCGACGGAAAAGTGGAAAGTGATTCTAGGCAGCATCCCTCCTTTGTTTCCGGCAAAGAGGGAATCTCGTCCGCTCAACAATGCTTAAAAGGCCACAAAGCGCATGAATATGCATCTGGTGCTTTTCTTTTGGAGGAAAAAATAATGCACGGGATGCTCGCCTTGTGGCGAAAAGGATCTCCCTTTTTGGAGATTCAATATCTCACCAGGGGTTCTAAAATTAGGGGAATTCAAAGGAAAGTAAAAGCGTTTGGGCGCTAAAGTGAAATGGAAAATCTTTAGCGTAAATACTTCTTGGAAGCACTCATTATGTAAATCATCTATTATTGTTGATTCTTGTGTTATAAGAATGAAAAGTATACCAGCCTTTAAAGAAAAAGACAGTCAAGAAGCAAAGTGTGAATTCAAACAGCTAAATAAGTTCAAAAATTAGATGAATATGACAAAAATAGTTTTGAACCATTTGCAATAAAATATGCAGTTTAGAAGAGGTACTAAAATAAGAAATTTTATCTTTCTCAATCGGAGCTGAAAAAACAACTTAAAAATTTATATTTGTTTAAAAAAATTTTTTTTACTTATATTTATTTGGAATAATGCAACAAATATAATTATGAAACTCGTGTAAATTAAATCAAAATTTGGAATTGTTGCTTTGCTATTTATTTACCAATTTAAATTGTTATAGAGATAAGATTTACTCGTATAAACAAAAGAAGATAAAAAAATCTGCAAATCTTTAAGTATTTTTGTTATTAATTTACTTTTATTTTTGAGAAATATTATAAGGTTTATAAAATAATGGATCATTGAACTTGAAAGAAAACTAGAAACATATAATCCCATCATTTAACAAGCTGTGAAAAAATTGATTTTGATAAGATCAAAGGGCGACAAATCCGTGACCATTTGCGGAGATAAAAATCCTTTTTCACGCTGTGCGAGCGTTTAATGTACAACATTATAAGAAAAGAAAGCCTTTTATGATTTCGCCTCTCGCGGCGCAAGTGTTGACTTACTTGAGCGTACCTAACAAAGAGAGCAATAAATTTGAAATTCAAATGAGAGTGCGACCGTCAGGCGGCAGATTTAATATGCCCGCGCGTTTAAATAGAATAATGAGCGCGGCCGATAAGATCAGAGAGAGAGACAGGCTCTTCATTATTCGCGTAATTGCGCGCGCTCTCTCGCCGCTGATTACTATTATCATAATAACATTATCATTTTCGACATTTAATCAAGCCTTGCGGATGTTTTAATAAAATTTGTAACATTATCTCAACGCGACTCTTGCGGACCGGCTTTTTTTACATTGTTATTACGCGCAGTTGTCGGGATAAATACATATTAGCAAGTAAAAAAATCTTGCTCGAAATTTCACGTCGCAAAAATTGGCCGGTTTCATTACTTTGGGGCTATTTCTATGATAATTTTTTAAATAATCTTGGTGCCTAATTACGAACAACAAAATACAGCGGCAATAAAATACATAAATTATTCTAAAAAAAATTGGGCCCTGTAACAAAAGTGAGAACTCTAAATTTTGCAATACTGTTTTAATTTCATACGTATTTTTCTTTCTGTTGAAAAAAAATATAAAAATATCATTTTACAATTCAATTAAAAAAATCTTAATTTATAAACTCTTAAAACTTGTCTATACTGCATACTCTCCATAATAAAAAGAAATTTTGTCTTTTGGCACTTACCTATCTCTAATTTCCCAGCTGAAGATGCCAGGGTTCTCTCTGCGGTAATCTTCTACCCTTCTCTCAACATCAGGGGTGGCCACTCGAGGTTTGCTGCCGCCGATCACGCCAGGTCGAATGGAGCCGGTCTCCTTTTCGAAAACAAGAAAAGAGGCTCAGGTCAGTGAGGGAAAAGCGCGTATTGTCAACAGGTAGAGGGGAAAGTATAAAAACGCGTACAATTGAAATCAACAAGTTTATGGCTCCACGGAGGCCGCGCGTTTTCCTTTCAGGGGAGAACATTTACACGACGACGGCGCCCAAGGGATTACATATTTTTGCTCTTCTCTTTGTTTGCTTGAGGTATCAGACACTTTTGAGAAGGATTGGCATGGGAAAGAAAAGTGTTCTCGGTGCGAATTTGTGTTTCTACATTTCAGATGGATGAATTTATGGCGCCAGACGCGAGGGTTGTTTTTCCTTGCACGGTCTGCTGTAAAATTTTAAAACGAAAGGCGCCGCCACCAGACCGATAGTAAGTTTTTCGGTAATCTTACAAGAGGCGCGACCTATACACCAGTATTTAAAAATTAGGTTGGTATGTCGCGCCTGCTGTAGTGGTTTTATGTCGCGCCTACTGAAGTGGTTTTATGTCGCGCCTACTGAAGTGGTTTTATGTCGCGCCTGCTGTAGTGGTTGATAAAGAAAACCGGTAATTATAGCTCACAATCACCGGGACTGCAGGAAAGAATAAGGGCCTTTGGGATGGGTTCAGAAGGGGAAGACAATCTCTTAACTGATTGCAAAAGACGTGACCTACCACCAATGTACGGGGAAAGGGGTTGTTTTTATATGTCGCGCCTCTTGTAATGGTTCACTACAACAGGCGCGACATATGCACGCAACGCCTGTGGTAGGTCGCGCCTCTTGTAATCGACCACTACAACAGGCGCGACATATACAATTAATAATGCTAAAAAAAAAACGAAAGCAGCGAGATTGTGTGCACACCACGAACCAGACCACCCCACAAACCGGCAACTCGGAGGTGGGCAACCCCCCAAGATTAATTTTTGCAGAAGCCGCGAGCGAGGGGTGGAGGCGCAGCGAGGTCGAGGACGTGGGGAAGGCCGTGCGGAGGGCGAGGACAAAAGGGCGGCTGTGTTCGTGGGGGGGCTCCGCAGGAGCCCCCCCACGATCCCCGCCCTTTTGTCCCGCCCGGAGCCGGCCTTCACCACGTTCTCGGGCGAGCGCGCCTCCAGCCCGAAGCTCGCAAACCCACAACGGAGTTGCCCACGAAGGGAGTTGTGGGCACCCACACCGTTTGCTTTCAAAACACCCTTTGCAGACAACTCCCTTCGTGGGCAACTCCGTTGTGGGTTTGCGAGCTTCGGGCTGGAGGCGCGCTCGCCCGAGAACGTGGTGAAGGCCGGCTCCGGGCGGGACAAAGGGGCGGGGATCGTGGGGGGGCTCCTGCGGAGCCCCCCACGAACACAGCCGCCCTTTTGTCCTCGCCCTCCGCACGGCCTTCCCCACGTCCTCGACCTCGCTGCGCCTCCACCCCTCGCTCGCGGCTTCTGCAAAAATTAATCTTGGGGGGTTGCCCACCTCCGAGTTGCCGGTTTGTGGGGTGGTCTGGTTCGTGGTGTGCACACAATCTCGCTGCTTTCGTTTTTTTTTTTTTTTAGCATTATTAATTGTATATGTCGCGCCTGTTGTAGTGGTCGATTACAAGAGGCGCGACCTACCACAGGCGTTGCGTGCATATGTCGCGCCTGTTGTAGTGGTCGATTACAAGAGGCGCGACCTACCATGAGAATACTTGCATATGTCGCGCCTGTTGTAGTGAACCATTACAAGAGGCGCGACATATAAAAACAACCCCCTTCCCCGTACATTGGTGGTAGGTCACGTCTTTTGCAATCAGTTAAGATTGTCTTCCCCTTCTGAACCCATCCCAAAGGCCCTTATTCTTTCCTGCAGTCCCGGTAATTGTGAGCTATAAATACCGGTTTTCTTTATCAACCACTACAGCAGGCGCGACATAAAACCACTACAGTAGGCGCGACATAAAACCACTACAGCAGGCGCGACATAAAACGGGATACCAACCTAATTCTGAGAGAGTGGTGTATAGGTCGCGCCTCTTGTAAGATTACCAGTTTTTCTAGAAAGGGGAAAGGTTTTGTTTGTAAAAGAAAAAAAGGGAGTTTACCTGGTATCTGTTGAGGATTTTGGAGACGCAACCGTGGGAAACCCTGAGTTGGCGGGAAATGACGCAGGGTCGGACCCCGGCGGCGGCCATTTCTACGATTTTGAGGCGAATGTGGTTGGGCAAAGGGCGGCCGTTGATGAACACGCCACCCAACTGGTTCACTCGGCCCTGACCTACGACAAAAAAACAAGAACGATTTATGCAAATGTTGCGGTAAATTAAAAATAAGTGGCAGAAATAGTTTGATAAATATTGGAAATTGAAGAGAATGAAGCCTAAAAAAATAATAATACGTCTGAAATCACAGAAATTTAATCCTAATAAAATTATAATTTTATATGAAATGAGCGAACCCAGCATAGACAGGAGGAGATATTTTATTAAATTTCCTGCAAGCTTTGGTCAAAAATGTATAGGAAATTGCTCTCATAAAACGTAATGAAAAGCAAATTAAGTAAATGCATTCTATTAAGAATGACATTTCTTTAAAAGTTATGCCATTTTAATCACGCAACTTGGTGCTGATGGACGCAAAGTCAACATTGAATGTCCTGAGGGCGCGTTGAAAACATGAGAATGTGCTAATAACAAGAATCAATTATTAAGGCATTGATCATTATCAGATGATGATGACGTAATTAAGGATTGTTATCTTGAACTTTGATCAATCGGTATACAGACAATCATTCACCCCTTAATCACTCTAGTTTCAGAAATTTGTTTATTGGGTTCAAAACTGAGGGCAACTATGCCCCATACATGAACTCATCCATAATAATGACAAAATAAAAATTTAAAATAAGAGAGAAAGACAACATTAATATTTCTCAATGAATTGCTTTTTCAGCGTTGACTTGAAAAAATTTACATTTTCATTCAGACACAAGTTTGGTGGTAACAAATTCCAATACCTGTAGCTTTGCACTTGGAAACAGTTTTCGGGAACATCAACACTTACAAATGGAGCGAGCAGTTTCATACGGTGCGCTCTAGTACGCCCTAATAAGTTAACGTCGTACATAGTTGTTACAAAATCATTTAAGTATTCCGGGCAATTTTTATACAGAATTTTATGCGTCTGCACTAAAATTTTTAATTGATATCTATCAGCAATTTTTAAAATTTCACATTTTTTATATAACGGAGATAATTTTTGGCCGATTTTTACATCATAAATATAGCGGATTAAATGGTTCTGCAACACTTGCAATTTGTTTACCTGGGCAGATGTCAAGTTGCAGAAAACAATGTCACAATAATCAAAGTGAGGTAATATTAAGCTCTTGACCAAATTAATGCGTACTTTTTCGGGAGTTACATTTCTAAATTTTTCTATGCTCTTTAATGTGCCGTACACTTTTTGCGAAATCCGCGACACTTGCGCATTCCACGACAAATTTTTATCAAACATTACTCCAAGATTTTTAGCTTCATGTACAAAATTTACTTCCGCATCCTTAAGGTACAATTTCGCAGTCCTGGTCTCAGCGATTAAAGCACTATTCCGTTCTGAGCAAACAAACATCGCTTGAGATTTAGTCGGGTTGAGTTGTAGCCCATTGGCTTCAGACCAGGAAACAATGTCTTTTAAAACATCATTCATAATTAGTATGCACTCGTTAACGTTGTTAGATTTACAGCTGAGATATAACTGAGTGTCATCCGCATAAACATGATATTTGCATCTATTATTTAAAACTGCCGGTAAATCATGAGTATATAAAGAGAACAGAAGGGGTCCAAGAACCGATCCCTGGGGCACGCCGCATTCAATTTTACACCACTGCGAAAAATTGCCATCACTGTTTTTAATTGCATGTTGGCGGCCTAGTAAATAACTCTCAAAAAATTTAAGGACTGGCGTTGAAAAATTTAATTGGTCTAGCTTATGTAGCAAGAGACGGTGGTCAACTAGGTCAAATGCTTTTGAATAGTCTAAGAAAACCATGAGAGTAACTTCACCTTTAAACATTGAAACTCTTAGATCTTCTGCGATTTTTAATAAAGCGGTTGTTGTACTGCGTAACTTACGAAAGCCAGATTGAAGCTTATCAAGCACTTCATTCTTTAATAAAAAATCCATCATCTGATCAAAAACGATTTTTTCCAAGACCTTCGAGGTGACACACAATAAACTTATTGGCCTAAAATCAGAGCTACTTGAAGGGCAGCGAACCTTTGGCAGTGGCATTAAAATTGCTTTTTTCCAGATAGCTGGGAAATGAGAAGTTTGCAGCACTAGGTTTATAATAAACGTAAGTGTTGGCAGAATTATATCAACAATATTCAAAAGCATTTTGTTGCAAATACTATCAGTGCCTTCAGCTGGCGACTTAATACTTTTCAGAGCAAGTTTAACTTCCAATGGAGTTACATGTTTAAAATAAAATTTTTCACCCGTTATCTTGCGAGGAATTGAAAAATTATAATCTAATTTATCTAATACATTAGGCGATCTTTTCACAGTCAAGTCATTCACAAGCTCGTCCAAATTTTGCGAGAGTTCAGCTACTCGCGATTTATCTTTAACCAGTCCAAGAGATCGCAATTTACTCCACATATGCTTAGAGCCTGAAGTTTGCTCCAAGTTCTTATAAATTACTGACTTTTGAAAATTCAAAATAATTTGTTTTACTTTATTTCTGAGCGACTTAAAAATATTAAACGATGCACTTGAACAGTCTTTTTCCGCTCTCCTTCTTGCCTTATCACGATCTTTAATCAAGGATTTTACATTCGCTGGAAGCTTCGGATGAAATTTTTTATTTATCTTTATTTTTTTCTTTGGCGCTATTTTATCAAAAAGTGAGATAACCTTTTTATTAAACGATTCTACTCTGGCGTCTATCGACATATTCTCAGCAACCTCGTGCCAAGAAATTTTAGTGGCTTCAGATATAAGCAAATTGCGATCAATTTTGGCAAACTCCCTAATAAATTTGTATTCGCTTGAGCACTCTGGAAGCTCAGCTTCTATTATAACATAAAGAGTAAGGTGGTGGGACAGCGAATTAAATATTTTTCCAAATCTTCCGCATTTGACTTCAGGGGAGACCATTATTGCATCAATTGTAGTTACTGCATTATAAGAAATATTTGTATCTTCAATGGGAAGTCTTTTAATACCAAAATGATTGATGTGTGACTCTAAATTGTTAAGGAGATTAGATCTCACTTTAAAATTGCAGTTGAAATCACCAAGCAAAACGCAATTATCATATTCTAAATAATTTTTTTGCAGCTCCTTAAATAAATCATCAAAGTTTACTTCAGGTGACGGTCTCCTATAAATGGCCACAAGAAGGAATTTCTCATTTAGTGCTTTAATTTCAATCATTAAAAATTCGGCTGAATTATTATTACTATCAGCAGAAACAGATATTATTTTATATTTCAGATTTTTTTTAACATAAAAAGCAACCCCACCTCCACGCGTTTCTTTCCTATCATGTCTTATTAAATTATAACCATCAATTTCAAATCGTTTAGAAATATTGTGTTTATCTTTGAGCCATGTTTCAGAAATCGCAACAACATCAATACATTGTAAAGATAGATTTAATCGGAGCAAACGCATGTGATCTAAGTCGGCAAGTGATTGTGCATTTAAACTAATTATTTTAAAATAATTTTCAGATTTCAGTTTTTTATCACAACAAAAATTAATCACTTCACTTACTAATCGCAGTTTTGGCTGTTCGCATCCGAGTCCGATCCGCGGTTCCTGTTGGCTCCTGATCGCAGCCTGTCCAAGCTCCTCGCCGACGTGCCCCTCGGGGGATTTTTTGCCGCCTTGTCCTTGCTGTTGGACTTGCTGTTGAGGGGGGCTGCGACAAAACCCTGTTGGGACACGCCGGCTTGGGGCTCGGAGGGCTGCTCGTTGGGTGAGAGTGAGGCTGCAGCACGGTTCCTCTTGTTCCTCTTCTGCTTGGGTCGGCCGTCTCCGGCATCTGTGCTGGACCCCTCACTCCCACCATCCATCTGCTGGTGCTGGTCGAACTGCGGCACGTACTTACGAAGCCAGCCGTCCTTGGCCACCTCGGCAGCCGAAATCTCGTGCCCATTGAGCTCAAGACCCCGGCGGCGCAGTTTTGACTGGACTCCGAGCTTTCTAGCAGTCTTGTGGGCCTCGACCAGCTTCCGCCTGACCTTTCGTTCCTCTGGTGTTAGGTCATCGGACACGACAATTCCAGTTCCTTTCAGATTTGCAACGTTTTTCATTGCTGAAAATTTAGCTTGGTCGGTTTTAAATTTTAGAATGACCGGGCGTTTTGCCGCGTCCTCTTTGCCGATCCTGAAAGTGGCCTCGAGCAACTCCTCCTGCGGACGGTTTGGCATCTTCAGCTTGCTGAACAGGAGATCACCGACGGCGCTCTGCAAGTTGGTAGCAGTAGGCACGCCGAAAACCACCAAGTTTTTCCGCCGCAAGTCGGATTCGTGCGAGGCCAGACGATTTTCCAGTTGGGTGACTCGGGCTGACAAATTAGCGTTTTCCACTTGCAGTGTTTTTACTTTCACCGCCTCTGCCTCCACTTTGGCCACCAGTACATCCATTGTTGTTTTTAGCTCTCCGATGCTGTCGTTTGTGTACTTTAATTTATCATTAAGTTGGCCGTCGAGAGCTGACAGAAAGAAGGCCTTGTCGTCCTCATTCAGAGGGCCGGGGTTGCTCTCGATGTCGCCCATAGCGAGCAGTAAAAGAGACAGATAGAGACCGGTGCCGAGAAAAAAAGTCAGAATTTCTATTCCGTTTCCTACCTCTTCAGACAGTTTGGCGGCGATACAGCTGGTTGGCGAGCGAGTTGTCAACAAGCCGTGAGGCAACAGCAGAAATCTTGCAGGTTCATGCACGTCAAGGCCGCAGCCCCGGCGCGCGATCCTCCTCCTCACCGCTCGGCTGGTTCGTCCTTGAAAGCAACCATAATGGGCGAGCAATTGCCAGACGGGAAAAACCGGCCCCCGGACAGAAGAGGCGCCGTCCGCGCCGTCCGATTGCCGGTGTCCCGTCTGGGACCATTCACGATGACTCTGGTCATGATTTCCAGATGATGGCAGCTGGAGAACCGCTGAAAAACACAAAAATAGCAGCAGCCGCTGCAGCGAACGTCTGTCGGCGGCCATGTTTTCCCCCTCTCGTCTCACTCTAGACCCCTGGAGCAAGCAAAGGAAAGGGGGAAAGGAATTTATACGCACGAGAATTTCTAGAAAATTTTAAAGATCAACAAGCTGACAAACACTGCGTAAAAATTAAAAAAAAAATAATAAAAAATATCTGATAACCCTTAAATGGTTAACTTTCAGAATCCCTTCGTCCAAAATATCTCTCTGCTGGATCGGAGAGTGTGATTTCTCACAAAGGAAGATTAAATTTAACGCTACTGGACATGTGTGTGCGTAATGACCGCTTCTTGAATTAACAGGCGGCAGGTAGCATATAATTTGTGATGAAGGCTGTAATTAACTTTCCCACGCGCCTGCTGGGTGGGCGCGCATTTACATTGGTAAAAACTTCAAACACACGCGTAATATGAGAGCGTTGGAGATTTGTTTGAGCCGGTTTTACGATGAGATAATTTAAACGACCGCTATAGGAAAGAAATATAGAGAAGCTCACTCAGACATAGATCGAAATAACGTGAAAAAGAAGTTATATGAATTTGATTAAATTAAAATTTGAATATTTATTACGCATTTCAAATAAATGCCTTTCAGTTAAGGAACATTTCTTATTTAAATAATTAATTCCATTGAAGTAATCCTCGAGTGACAATTTATTCAATAAAACTTAATTCTATGTTGGCAATTTTTCCACTAATCCAACTTCTATACCAGATTTAATGGAAATTTATTTTAAATAATGTTCCAAACCCATAATCCTTATATTTCACCGTAATGCATAAATTGACTTACCTTGGAAAGGGTATCCAGTAAAACACGGGCGCATCATGCTGCCGAAGTTGGTCACTGTCATCGCAGTCAGTCTTTAACGAAGGGTTGAGGGTGGTTAGCCCGGTGGTTGCGAACCAACTGTGCCTTCGTGTTGCCGGTGCAAAACTGACCTGCGTCCTCTCGGGAGGGTGCTCGGCCAGAGACTGCAGCACAGGGGCACCGTTGTCTGCCGTCCACCCGCAGCCGCCGACCGCCTCCCAAACTCCGCCCCCGCCGCCGCGCATTGGTGCCTCGCGCTCTCTCCGCCTCGATTTTATCGCGGCCGCCGACGCTGCCGATCAAATTTATCAGCAGAGGTGGATGCTTTTTTACACACCAGCTTCCTATCCTGTTTTTTTTAGTTCTTAGAGAGCGCTTATAAAGTCAATGTAAAATATAAGATCAATATTTCAGAAAGTTTATAAGTTACAAAAATTAATTGCAATTTTATTTTTCATGCAAAAATTACCAACGGAGCCAATCAATTATAACCTCACTATTATTTTATCTTTTTTTTTAAATTTTTTATCCCTGTTGTTATTTAACATAACACCGGGCATTGTATAAAAACCTTTTCTCCTAATCAAATTGTATTCAAAAATCCCATAAGCATAAAAATGTGAAGAAGAGTCACAAAACGATCCTGTTTATTGCAAAGATTGGGAGAAATGAAACACGTTGGTTTTGTGGCCTTTAAAAGAATTCCAGTTCCAATTGAACATAACAAGATCTAAAAAAACTGAATCTGGCTTATCTTAACCCAACATGCAATTTACATGGAGGACTAAAAATTAGCCTGGGCCAGGTTAGGCTTGATTTGCTCTTTATGATTATGTACCATTAAGATTTAATGGATGGTTTACAGAAAAATTAGCTAAAGAGGCTAAAGTAAAATGACAAATGAGAGACATTGGTGCAATAATGCGCGCTCATGAAGTCTTTTGATTTAAAGAAAAATAAATTAGCAGAGGCCGTTTTGATAATATGCTTAATGAAAAAAATTCAATAAATATACACTCTTATAATATAACTTAACAAATGCATATTATTAAAAACATTTTGTATAAGTATGTATTATTAATTTTACGAATAAATTAAAATGTTGCGAAAAGAGTGAAAAAGCGCAGCAATAATTAATCAAAACACTATAATGTATAGTAAATTTTATTTTAGCTCTTATTACAAAAGACTATGCAGATTGATTAGAGAATATGAGATTAAATTTATTCAAACAAATTTAAGAAAATGTTAATCTTTGGAGATTGGAGATTTATACTAATCAAATTGTTAAATTTATTAATCTAAATTGATTAACTTAATTAAAAGCAGATTTAAATTTTGAATATTTTCGGTTGTTAATGAATTAACTCCTTCGTCTTTATTTCTGATGAAATTTTCAATTAACGAGATGACAGACGCTGCGAAATCTGGTTCCCCTCGCACGCGGGCTGATCTGTTTGCTCAAACACGCAGTCTCGCATTGGAAGAGACAAGCATTTTGACACGGCGAAAAATCAAATTTTCTAGCGCTAAATGCAATTTGCTCTAGTATTTATGCTATGTAAAGAAAATTTATTAAGATTGACATTTCAAATAAAATTTTTATCGATTTATTTCACTCCCCATAGCTTCAAAATAAATATAAAAAAATGGTAAATAACTTCCTGTCCGCAGCGCATTTTTGGTCTTGTCGTTGAAAACGCAACTTAAATTGCCAAATTTTTATGAATACTAAAAATTATAAATCCCTTCAAATGAAAAAAAATGCTTATTGACAGATATTTTGCTTTAACACGTCAGCACTTGTCGCTCATCAAAACTAATCGAAAAATTAAAATCATTATTGTGCTAAAATTTACAACCATATCCGCGTCCCACAGTCATAAAAAATGGAAATTTCCCGTCAAACTTTGTTATATTCATAAAACGCTCGTTTAACAGCATATTTTTACAGCTACCATGAAGCATTTTTGAGGAAAAAAAGATCATTATGCATTTACAGGTTTTCAAAGGCCTCTGGACATCTTTCTATTTTATTATATCAACGCGCGCTTATACAGACATGGGGAGCAGGCGCAGGAAAATAACAACACTTTTGGGTGAAGAAGCGCGCTGCAGTAAAAACGTTCGAAGGTTGTAAATCACTCCGCTGCTCTTTAGGCTAATTGTTACAACTTTTTCGCCCCGCGCCGTGTCCTGCAGCTTTTATGGTTTTATTGTTCGGCCCATATGCTTGCATACAAATGAGGGTGGAAAGAAGTCGCCCTTCCCGCTCCGTAAGGCTGACCATGCTTCCTTTTCCCAGCAGCACAAAAGTCGTCCCACTGAAGAAGGAAACAAAAAACCCAAGTTGACCTGCTGCTGACGGAAAGAAAAGTTATTTTTTCCTCGCTCACCAAAGGCTCTGCTCAAATATTTTATGTAGTTTTTGTTTGTTGTTTAAAAAAGCATTAAAGCATTCCTTTCACGAGGGTACAATGTTGAGAAAGGCAGTCAATAAGTAGCCATTAATCAGCACCTCTCAGCTGTCATCACAATTAACTGTTTTCTAATGTTCATTATTCATAATAGCATACTTAATGGGCAAAATTATAAACTCTTTGCTCCTTACTCTCCAGTCACCTAAGCACCGGCCTATATAATTGACTGAACTTGTAATTTCTTACAAAACTATTTTAATAAAGATAAAATACTTAATGTTCGTCAACTTGTGTGCTCTCATACACTATTCAAAAAAATTTTTTCAACAGTTACATTGTGCGGTATCACTCAATTAAAAAAGAAAGTCTTTTAAATTTAGAAAGAAACAACTATGGCATTTTATTTCAATTTATTTAGCATATATAATGATACCAGGATGTTTGCTGACTTCATTGAAAAAAGTCAGATAATTATTTTAGTTTGTTAAAAACAATCATTTTCACGCTTTAAATTTTTAATAACCCTCTAATATTGATTTTTAGAAACAATTTTTTTTAAGTAATGATTATCATCTTTTAAATTATAAGGTATTTTAACGCCTATATTTGACACAGTATGGCACCTAATTTTGCAGCATAAGAAATTTCTAAAAATTTTCATCCATTAATATCAACTTTTATTAACAACAACAAATTCAGTTCGAGCTTAATTTACGATGTAATTGTAAGTTGTTAATCTTTTATTAAATCCAATAGCGCAAACTTGATGGTTTGTCAGGTTTTGTTTAAGTTTGTGCTGGGGTCCAATTAGGGGGTCACCTGCCACACGATACATGAATGAGACAAATCACTTTTGCTTTTGAAGAGGGACATGTGCCCCGACATTGACAAAGTGCGTCGCGACAACGTCGGCGGTACGAAAAGCGGAAATCACTGTCACACCCTTTTGTATCAATTTAGCTTTCTTATTTCGCCTTTACCAAATTGCACTGCAATTATTTCATTGAACAATTTAACTTGTTGATAATCAAGTATTATGCTTAATATCTTGTAATGTTCAAAAAGCCAGGTGTTTATTTGCAAAACACCTAATATACATGTCTCATTCCAAATAAAAAAAAAATTAAAATTTTGCTATATAAAGTCTCTGGATTGAACTTCTTTTTGAGATCTTTTTTTTAGTTAGGCAGTGCATTATTCACTTGTAGGTATTTATATTAACAACAATTTCATAAAATTCAAAAGAGTTGATAAAATTTACACATTTTTCCCTTTCGCTGGCGGGGGCGAGGATGATTGCTAATGAGGCAGTCGGCAGATATTGTGAACCTCAAGCCAGTTGCATTCGTCATGTTTTACGTGTCAGTCTTTGGGTCGATGGAACAGCAGCTTTTTCATATTTCGCCGTGACGATTCGCTTCGAAACGGTTTGTGCGGCGGTGGTAAGGAGCTGCGGCTGCACAAGTCTATTTCAAATTCATCACCCGCTCTCGGGCTCACCTGTCTATTTAGCCATTTATCCGTGCCGGCTCGTTCGAATCAGACAAATGTTTCTATTTTAATGACGCGTGCAAGTCTAACTATATCAGTCGGTTCATCTATACCTTTTAATTTACAACTTTAAAAACAATGACTACCTCTTATTGACAGATAAAGACAACACTTCTTATAAATATTTTTTATTACAAAAGACTAAAGAAATTCTAACTTATCGGATATTTTATTATTTAACAAATTTTTTAGACAAATTCTCTTAATTTAATCTTGCAAGGAATCCTTGTCAAAGACACCCTTTGCCAAGAATATATATAGAAAAGTAAAACTTTTCTTAAAAGAAAAAAATGACGAATACACAAAAGCTAAAAATTAGCTGCTTCTTAGTTCTGTAAAATGCGGAATTGGCGTCAAACATTGCAATTCAGCACTTTATTATTAGGAAATTTCAGGTGCTTGTGAAAAAAGAGACGCGGCACCCGCAGATTGATGATGCGGCCGCGTGCTGTCAACTTCCCACTGAGTGCGCCGATTGTTCCAAGGATGAGCCGGATATCTACCATCTGACACTCGCAGCATTGTTGTAACAACACAACGCAGCAGCACACTCTCGCGCAACTGGCAATGATAGACCCAAAATAAGCCCTAATCATCCTCTTGGCAGAGAAAAAAATAATAAAAACAAAAAATTAGGAATCCTTAATATTTATTAAAAAAAAAATCCATTAAAAACTTCTATCAATTCAGAACAATTTTCAGTAGATTTTTTCGTTTCTTTATTAACAGCAAAAATAAAACGTCTTTCTTCTTTTGTTTCTCAAAAAAATATTATTATGCTTTCAGTGCAAAGAAGAAATTTTAGCACCCATCAGGAGAAAATCTTTCGGGGCAGAAGCCAAAATACGACAGGGAGCCAAGAGAAGATCTATTTGTAATTAATTTGGTTTCCACGCCTGCGATAATGCGTGAAAAGAGCCTGGTGGTCCCATGGCAAAATAAATGATGTCACTGCTGCTCCGCTCGCGCCGGCCGCTCCTTTCTCGAGAAAGAGACACACACGCATTAATATGGGCTGGGACTCTGCGTCGCTGTCTGACTCGTGTTCCGCCACATAACTCTTCATCTGCTCTCTTTTCGTGCACTCTGCACCACCCAAAACTCAAGACACCCTCTGAATTTTAATTGCGAGAAAAACGTCATAGCACTGACGAGAAGTCGAAAAAGAAGGGAAATCATTTCAAAATAGACACGCGCGGTATAATACTTTGTAGAAGATTTTGTAACAATGAAGTAGTGATTTGCATAACAACAGGAATTTGCAATTTGTTTTCTGTTTGTTGGTTGTTTAAAAAAACGTAAAGAAACCGATATTGGCACTGGAGCAAAAATTGGAAATAATATTAGAAAAGCTCCTGAATATCTCTTAAAGGGAATTTAAACCAAATAAGTGCGTCAAGTGCGGAAATAAAAAAATGTTAAAAACTAAATTAATTTTGATTACATTATGTAATACATTCAAAACAATTTTTCAACTAAAATTATCTGTGAAACTAATTTTACAGATTCATGAATGAATACGATAAACGATAAATTAATGTAATTGTCTGAATAAATACATGAAATAAATAAACTTTTTACTTATACTTTAAAAAAGTTAGATTAAATATAATTGTATACAGTAATATAAAAACATACAAAAATATTACTGTTTATGCCTCCATTGAATAATGTAATTAATGGCTAGTAAAAAATTATATTTTTTTTCTTTCAGTTTTTTTTTAATTTGTGCAATTTTTAAACTCAAACTGCCATGGGTCGTCCCTCTTAACAAGCACTTTTTTTATTAATTTTATTCCTTATATAGTGTAAAAAAAAATTATGAATCTCTTAACTTGTTCTAATTACGCAGCGGCCCAATAATGGGCAATAGCATGCGCAATTGTCCCAATAGCGCAACAATTTCCATTTCACAGCAGCGAACCGATCGAATCAGGAAGAAATTCCCTGTGCTCATCCTCACTAAGCTCGTCTGTTTGCAGTTTCCACCTGAGAGATTTGTGCTTTGCCTCGATCTGCACCGACCGACCGATTTCTATTTGCGATCGGCGAGCAATCATCGATTATCTCTTGCTCGCCACGCTTTTTTTGCCGCCGATCTCGTCACTAAAATCTTCTGTCCGCTGCCGTGTCACGCGGTCCAACCCTAAAAGCAATCTCATCGCGTTTTAACTCCATCGGCATATTGGAGCGTGGGAATTTGCCCTCGAAGGCGGTGTGTGCGTTCACCGGCCGCTCTTTTTGTGTGAAATCATCACGCTTGATCATCGTTTTCTGCCTTGATTAGCTTCTTCCTCAGGCTGAAAATTGTTACATTATTTTTATATTTTTCAAATAAAAGAGCATCATTTATTTCGCATCAGTATTTTGAGAGGTTTTAATTTTGTAACAAATTGCAAAACGCTTTGCGCAAGGTTGATGACTACAAGCCTTGTTGTTTAAACAAAAACGCAAAGAAAGTAAACAAAACAGCAGCGCGCGGAGTGAGCTCTTCGTTGTGCACGGGGCAAAATAATACTCTGCGCGCAATAATAAGATAAAATGAGCAATTATATTCCGAATGTTGAGTTTACTTTTGTGGCGCTTTGGAAAATTGTTTTTCTACTGAAACGCACGGAGGAACTGAGGCCAGTTGCAAAATTTAAGTATAAAAAGCGCATCACGCACCATTTCAAATCATTTGCTTGACACAACACAACGCATTATGAATCGGCTCGTCTTTCGCTTTTTCTGTAAGTAATTGATTTTTATTAATTCAATCATGTTTCAAAAATAATGTTTATTTAACATTATATTATTAATTTATTAGGTTGACACAATCGAAGTTAGTTCATTTTTACTTGTTGTTTTAATAAAATATCAAAATTTTTTTAGTTGTGACTTTGGCATTGATTTTGTTAATCGATGGTGGATCAGCACGACACAAATCGAAAAAACACAGTTTGAGTAAGTTCAGCGATTTCTTTTCATGCAACTGAATTTGAAGAAAGATAATAATTATTTAATTGTTCTTGATATTTGTATTAAGCTTTGCAAGGTTTTACAAACAGAATAAAGTTTTTTGTATTAAAAAAATATGGAACAAATTTGCTAAATTACCAAAAATACATTTCATAAAATTTAAAATTCAACAATAATTCTTGAATGATTCCATATTGTCTTATTTATTCAAAATTAAAATAAAATTACAAGAAAATAATAATTATATAGTAATAGTCAAGAACCTTTATCTTCAAAGTTGACTCTTCTACAGGGCGGCACAAGCGTGAAACGGAGCCAACGGCACAACCAACTGTCCCAATCGATGTAAATCAGAGCACAGTGAAGATTCTGGAACTGTTGGACCACATCGTCACCGTGTCCACCAACCCAGCCAGGCAAACGGCCCTTGAAGCTCTTGACCACATTCTCAACGCAATTTCCGCTAGCCCGAACAATCCAGCGGCCGGCTCACTTTTGCATGCCCTCCAGCAAATTCTTCCACCGTTTCCCAACAGAACATTCACAGCAAGAGAACCGTTTGTTCCAGGTGCACCACCTGTTCCAAGCATCAGTCAAAACACGCACTTGGAAGTTCCACGGATGAACGAAAATGAAAACGCGCAATTGGAGGAAATCACCCAGACTGTTCATTCAATGTCCCAGCAATCTTCCAAAGTTAATCAGGAAACTGCAGTTTCTGCAGCACCGGTCAGAGTTGAATCCACGACTCCGGATGCAAAATTAGCACAACCTGAATTGCAAACTGAGATTCCTAAACTTGAAGCGACCAATGACATTCAAAATTTTAAAAGTACGGACAGTTTGAAATCAGATAAATCTACATACCTCATCACTTCTGACGGAGAAGTTCTCGATTTATCCCATTTGCCACTTTCTGATATTATAAGCCTGCCTTCTGAAGCAGAATCCAAGCCTATTCCTCAAGTTCTAATTCCTGAAGCAACCATTGCTGAACACAAATCTGTAGAAGATTCAGCAGTGGTGGACGATTTTGAATCAACCTCTGAAATACCTGTTGTCCAAATTGAATCTTTGGAAAAACTTCAAGCAGGTATTCCAACCACTAAAGTTATCAACCCTGTCACTACAGTGCCTGAAACGACTCCTGCAAAAGACAATATCAAAACTGAAGAGATTCCTGCTGCAATTCAGGAAATTGTAAGACCTGTTTTATCAGTCTCTGAGACAAATCTGCCCAAAAATCTGCCAATTTCTAAAACGAGTAACGCAGACAGCTTTAAAAATCTATCTGACTCAAAATTGGAAACATCATCTATTGCTAAGAGCGCAAGTCCTAAAATAAGAATTTCTCTCAAAATGCCTAAAAAATCAAAGAATGATCCTGAAGATCCTTCCAGCGCTAATGTCTTGAAAATTAACAAAAAACCTAATTTATCACCTGATCAACTTGATGAGCTGCACTTTGCATTAAAGAATGCTCTTACGGATGCAAAACCCAGAGCTGGTGGCAATGTGGGCGAAGAAAGTTTCTCTTCTACTTTGTTGAAACTGTTAGCTAAGGCTTACAATTCCAATGTCACGCCAAGAATTGGTGTGCCAGAAATAATGGTAAGATTTTTTTCTTCAAGTTTGTCTTTTCCACTTCTTTTCTTTCAAAATTTTAGCATACACATGATCCAACCACTGGGGAGAATTCTGAGAGACCGAGAAAGGAGATAATTAAACCTAAGAGTGGGAGAATTGGAGCTGACGTTGGAAGCGCCTACGCTGCTGCTGATATCAATAAGTCGACCGGTGCGTTATTTGATTTAACTCCCAATTCACCCCTATCACTGTTGTCATTAGCCACAACCAGAAACAACTCATTGATTCTGCCGTTCCTCTTGCTTTTACTAAGATTGCTGATAAACTTGTAGAAACAGCAAATGCAGCCACGCAAAACTTCCATCCGTATGCCATGCCCATCGCGTACAACCCTGCAATGGCCAGAATCTCAGGTCAAAATCTCAAGACGCCGGTTCCATGGAAAAACAGAGCCATAAAAGCAACATCGCATGAGGACTCAAACGTTGGATATATGAGTGAAGCGCCTCAAATTATTATCAATAATAATTTTAAAAATCCTTGGAGTTTGACATTCCGGCCTTTGCCAAAAGAGTAATGAATAGGAATAAATGAATAATTTTTTTAGTTTTTTAAATATTTGAGACATTTAATCAATTATTTAAAATAAATTGACTCTTAAAAATAGAAAAAAATTTAGTGCATTTTTTGAAATAATTTTTAAATAATAAAATCATTTTAATCTTCTCACAATATTTAATGTGGTTAAATAGATTTATTAAAGCATAAATCTATTTTATTTTGCATTAAATTTTGATAAAAAAAATTTTGACCCTAAAAAGTTATAAATTTAGACATTATATAAAATAGAGTTATTCTTTACTGTGTTCATACTAACCTGGAATAAAATCCAATGGAGCAAATTATTGTTGCTATTAAAAATTGTTAAAAATTAATTATTTTCTTGTAAAATGCTATACACTTCCTCCTATTTTCTTTAATTGAAAAGCAGTCTTTTTTTTATCAAATTTAAAAAATTACATCCTCCTTTGTGCGGGGGAAATAGGAAAGGATTAATATGATTTATCGGGTCGCATACTGCTCAAATGAACCGCCCCATCTCTTCCTCAAATCTGCCGTCAATTCTGTTGGAAATCAACCCCATCAAAAGATCTTTCTGTCGGTCGTAATTTGTGCTGCGTTTTGTTTCAAGAGCGTGCCGCCGCGCTCAATGAATGAGTCGATTTGACACAGCAAAACGGGGGCCATATGTTCGCTTCCCCTGCAAGATCAACCCCAGCGACCGCAACACGAATTAAAAGCTGACAAATAGAGAGAGCGAGCCGAAAATTATTGCGCCCTTGTTTTTCTAGCGCTTATTTATGTGCAGATCACCCACAAAGTTTTCTTTTCCCTCCGCCGCCCTAAGGAGAAGGGCACCTGGGCGTCCAGGCTATAAAATATAAATTCCGAGTGGTCCCTTGGGAACGTTCCGGCGACGTGTCCTTTCTGCCGCGATGATAGAATGGGTTTAATGTGCATGGGAAAGTGAATTTTGTCAAGACGGAAACGAATGCAGACGCGAGAATGCTTTATTTGCTATGGAAATTTTTAGAAAGGGAAATTCGTGCATCTGGGAATTCTCTTGCCTAACAAGCTCTATTCTCAAGTGGTTTTTCAAAAATTGCAGATTATTGTTAGTTCTTTTCATTCCGTTTCAACCCTCGAGGCGGCACACATTTAAGAAAATATTTGTAATTAACAATAAAGCTTTATTATTCAATTAAATGTAGCATCAATGACAAATTTAATAAATTTAACGTATTTAACATCAAAATGAAAAAAATTGTTCTTTAGTCATGTCATAATTAATTTAATCAAAATTAGTTTAGTTAAAAAATTTACAGTTAATTTTATACTGTGTAAGTAATATTCCTACTGAAAAATAATATTAAAACAGTAATTATTTTTGTATCTTTTTTTCAAATAATTTTTTACTTTAATTTGTACTTATCAATATTTTAAACTGCAAAAAAATATTTTTATCAGAATAAAAACAATATTACGAGACCCAACTGGAAGAGTGAGTTGTATCTCATCTTCGCGCGGCGGCACACGTGTGGAAATGCGACCCGCGACCCGACCACCCTCTGCGACGCGGTGGCGGCTCCTTTTGATTCCAAAAGTTGTCACAACGCGCATGCAGCTTTCGCCTAGCCCTTTTCCATATGGCGAAAATTCTCGCGACAGTCGCGACGAGTCAAATTTTTTTATCAGGGACCAAATTTCTAAAGATAAAAAAGCTGACGAACGCCGAGTGCTGTTTTGACCTCTGAACCAGCGTTTCCGTTTGAAAAGGGATTTGCTACCGCTCAACTTCCGCAAGCGGTGTATCTTCTTATAGGTGTTGTTTACTTTAGTGTCTTGAGTTACAATAATGAGAAGCAACAATATGCCTCTAAACGTTGTAATTTAATTTTATAAAATTCGTAGAGAAAATGGGTAAATCAGTAAAAATTATTAAATAATAAAAATAATGACCATTTTCTTTAAGATCTCAATCGATTTAAAGAAAAATTTAGAACTGCTACGGCTTGAAAATGGAAATGGAAGACAAATTCTTTAAGCAAAATCATTTCTAAACAATCTAAACTAAGTGAATTGCGGCTGCACACTTGTCATTCAAACTAACTTTCAAGGCATCCCGAGGCATCCCTTTTCTGTCACATTATCTGCGCGTATCAAATTCCCTATAAATTGAAACAAACAATCTACAAAGCAACCGCAAGTCATGCAAAATTTATGAAATGTATCAAACTTGTTGGGTTTTTTATTGCTTCCTGCAAAAAAAGTTTTAGTCACAATATTATTGTTCCAAGTAATTTGTAAACCTTTCATAAACATCGGCACAACTGAAGAAATTTTCCTCTTTATTGCTCCAAATCGATATATTTTTAGATCAAATCACTTTGTCTGAAATTTTCATAGTTTTACTCTAAATAAAATAATTTTTCAAACAATGATCCGATAAACTATATTTAGGCATTTAAATATCTCCGGCAAAAATCTAACATCCCGCACCACAAAAATTCCCGCGGCGTGTCTTTTGGATTTTTTAGGTTTGATTTTTTTCATTTTTATGAAGTTCGGCCGCCAACCACGGTGGTCTCTTTTCATTCACTTTTTTCATAATTTGGTGAGAATTTTCGCTGAGGAGTCATTACATGTGTTTTGAGAAGTTTATTCTTATTGTTTAATGGTTCGGAACTGCTGGCTGCGTGGCTGACAGGTGATGAAAAGAAGCGATCTGAAAAATTCTGCGTGACTTAAGCTCCAATAATACAGCACAAAAACTATACACAATGTAAGTCTTGCAGGCAAAAATCGGATACAAATTTTGATCAATTCATTCAAAAACAAAAAATTAATTTCATTCATAAAATAAAATTTGTTATAAATCTTTTTAGAATTGAACATATACAAATTAATTTATGCGAAAATTGTAGGATTAATCTATTTGTAGCTATTACTATAAATTTTAATCCAAATTTTGGTCAAAAATTTGTGATTTTGTATAAGAATTCTTATATATCTTAAAATATTTTTAAGCTTTTTAACAGTGCAAAAGCAAAACACTATATGAGGACCTATCTGTGTACATCAAAAGAGTATATTAAAAATTTCCACAAAGCGATGGGTAGCTTTTCCTTTCACGCCCGCCGTCGGAGGAGCAGAAGAATGGACGAGGGAAAAATTGTTAAATCGTTCTATTAAAAACCGAAGGTTCAGTCGCTCACTTTTAATGTACTCGCGCGGCAGCATTCGATATTACAAGAGAAGATGAGCACACACTCTTTCTTCGCCTTTTGCTTCTGGTGCATGCATTTGCCTCTCTCTCGCCGCGCGGCATTATTATTATTTTCTCACATCAAAAGCAGCAGCAGCGAGCAAAGTTGATTGTGTTTATATACCCACAAATGTGCTCTTCGTACTTGCTCAGGACCTTCTCCAGCAATAAGGCCTTCAACGTTAAAATTTCTCTTTGTTAGAATCTCCAGATTTGTTGTTCAAATTTATTATTAAAACTGCGATAATAAAAATTTCCAAGCTATTTTAACATAAAACCTTCAGTTCATAAAAAAAACTGTTACTTAATAGTGTTTAGGAAATAGTAAACAGATTCAGAAGATGACTTTAAAATATATAATCAAATAAAAACAATTTTATAAGCAGTTTTTATCAAAATTTAAAACGTTTTGCTATCAGATACAATTAATTTACCAGAGTTAAAGTATCAGCAATCATATTAAATACTGTGTCAACTTCAAGACAAAATTAAATTAAAAATGCAGAAAATTACGGAATTGTTGGAAAGAATATATTTTACATCTTTTGTTGAATTGTAAAGTTTCAGTTTAGTTTGGCCCGTTCTGAAGACGGTTCTGCAAAGTGCTTCTCAATTTAGGAGCAGACAATGAAAGGCAATGATGTGTCAGCAAGTTGCAGCAGCAGCGCAGGAGGATATAAAAATTTAAGGGATTCTGCATGAGATATAGAATAATAATATAATGGCCCACCACTGGGGCGGGAATGTTTTTATGCTGCATGGCAGTCATTGATCAGCAGCCACTCTTGATGGTAGAGCAACACTCGGGCAGAACAGGTAGCCGCGTTTTTTCCTGCTCTCGTCAGCGCTGCAAAGTTACCCGCTGAGTTAGAGATAAAAAAAAATCGGAGCACAGCAGCCTTGATGGTCCATTCCATCTCTCTCGCTTTTGGCTCGATCGAATCCGAGGCGGCCCCTTTGAAGCGGCGCTGCTCTCATTACCTGAAAAACCACCCGCCCGCCCGCCTTAATTTGTAAACGTGCGAGAGAGCTGCCCTAGGATAGACGCGCCGCCAAACTATTAAGCACCGGCAAAATTATAAATTAGCTCCCGGATTGATTAGTTGGTGCATTTTTTCGCTCCTCTTGTTTTGACGCTTATTCCGAACAGAGCCTTTGATGCGTGGGGGCGAAAAGAGAATAAGCAGTAGATGATTCTTTTATTAACAGGATCTCTGCATTCCTTCTTTGATAATCTTTTGTTCTGCGAAACACCTGAGGTTTATAACAAAGCACATGCGTTGGAATTCGCAAGATAAAAATTAATTAAAATTTACTTCAGTATGATGGGGCAAATTAATTCAAAACTGTGCAAATAGGAAAATATATGGGGAGCTATAGCACATGAAATGATATTAATATTAAATTAAATCGCTTTTATAAATTTCTGGTACCACTTTTTTAAATTTCATCATCATATCCAATGAAACATAAAAAACAGGTGCATACGATATTATATTTTACCTTGATTTGCTATATCCGCTGCTAATTATATACTTTCAAGTTAACTTCACATCCTAAACATTCAAAGCTTTTTATGATAATTTTAATTGTCAGAAATTATAACTATAGAGAATAAAAAAATATTTTAAATTACAAAAAAATTTAATCAACTTATTAATAAAATTTTCTTATTCGATTTTTTACAGAAGTTTTAATTTTACGATTTTTTTAATAATATTCCATTTAGTTAATAACAGTAATCGTAAGCGATGATATAACAAATTTTTCTCCGCTCGAGCGACTCAATTTCATCCCACCCACCCTATACACCGGAGGCCAAACTCACCTGCGCCAGGTTGGTCCCTTGATATTTATAAATTTCATTCCGCGCGGGCCTGCATTACACGGACAAAAAAGTGGGAGGAAGATTATTTTCTCTCTCTCATCAACACACGTGTTAGACGCAACATGTAATCTTTTTTATTGTGTTTTTCTCGCCTGTTGTAACAAAGCAGCTCCCGGTGTTGAAAAGTGAAGCAGCGACGCGCGGTGCCTCCCATTGTGACGCGCATTGTTCACCGCGCGGTGTAAAAATTTTTATTAGCTCCCGCGCGTTGCCTCTTATATAATGTGTCCGGCGAAATGTGTACACGCCGTTTTATTATCATCAACGCCGCGAGTTGAATCTCATTATCAAATAGAGAGAAGATGGCCCCGTTCACAAAAATGAATGAAGCAGCCACCGTTTTTTGCGGCTTGGTCAGCGTTATCGCTCAAAATAAAGATGATCATTTTCGACGCCACCATTTGAGCGATTCGATATGCATGCTGCTCCTTTTAATCTGCCCGATCAAGAGATGCTTTGCCGGCTCTTTGTATAACGGCTCACCTGCCCGTCTTCCACACAATCGCTTTTCAATTTCATAAAATAGCACTTCTTAGTGGATTATTGAAAGAAATGAACTTCAAGGGTTAGGGTTTACTTTGCAACTATTAAAAAAAAATTTAAAATGTTCAATTTCTTCAACCTGAAATAACAATTATTAGACAACGTGAGGTACATAATATAAAAATTATCACGCTGGGAATAATAACAAATTTTATAAGACATTGATGTCAAAAACAAACAATATTAATTGTATTCATTTAAATTAATTCACAAATGTTTTTTATGAATCATTATGTATTTTCCATGGTAGTGAATTAAGTTATTGAAATAATATTTATTGAAATTTAATTGCTAGTGAATGTATTAAAATTTTTCAGATCTCATGAATGTGCTGTTGCAGGTGTTCAAATCTCTAGGCTTTTATTATTTGTGCAACCAAGATAATTTATTTTTATCTTTTAAGACGAAACACGTAAACAATCATTAAACACTTGGCCTATTAGTAGTTTGGAATAGGACTTCTCTCTGATTGTAAAAAAGTCACGCACAAATATTATCTCCACTGCCTCAATTGGCATAAAAGCGAATGGTGGCGTTTGACGAAGCAGAACATTTGAGAGCAACTGAAATGACTCGCTTCATCACTCTCTGTAAGTATTCTAAGCATTTCACATCTCAAATTTGAAAAGTTTTAAATATGGATTCTCAATTTTATTTTTTAAATCTCTATTTATTAATTTACAGAATTAATATTAATTTGAGTTTAATTAAATATCAGGTATTTCCGCTCTACTTGCCCTCCAAGTAGTCAGGGCACACGAGGGTCATGATGGAGTTGCGACAAAATGCTGTTGCTTGAGCCAATGTTTTCTGATGAGTAAGAAACCTCCATATTTTTTCATCCCTGGAAAATATCTAATTGCGACTTTCTCTTAAAGCGACCCTTGAAAATTTGATCCCGCACATCGATTCATTTCCTGAAACTGCTCCGGTGATTCTCCCCGTGATAACCAACGCCAAAGTCAATGCACCTGCTGTGGAAACTCCTAAGCAAGTTTCACCGGTTGCCCCCCAATCTGCCACTATTGCAGAGGTGACCAGTCAGCAGCACCAAGAACTCTTGGAAAAGGTGCCCATTGAAGTGCTGCAACAAGCTTTAGCTGATAAGCTTGCAGCCGTGAAAGCTAAAGTTCCAGAAAATTTAGGAGGAGGTCAAGCCGCAGCAGTCAAAACCAACATCCACGAGATCGTTCGCCAACAAGAACAAATCCTGTCCAAACTGGTTCCCGTCGTCTCTCAGACCAAGGCGTCCCTTCCTCAGGTCAATCTTCCCAAGGTTTCAGCTGCCATTCCCAATGTTGACGCCATCACTTCCAAAGTCAACTCTGCCATCCCTGCTGAAGTTCCCAACGTTCAGGCTGCTGGTCCCGTTCAGCAGTCCAAGATCAACATCCACGAGGTCTTTCGCCAGCTAGGACTCTTCTCAAATACTCCTCTCAACACCCCAGTTTCTATTCCCAAGGTTCAAGCTGCCGTTCCCAATGTTGGCGCCGTCGCTTCAAAAGTCACCTCTGCCCTCCCAGTTGGAGTTCCTATCGTTCAGACTGCAGCTCCCGTCGTTTCCACTGTGACTGGTGCCCTGCCTCTGAACACTGGAGTCCTACCCAACCTCCCAATTGCTGGTAGCCTGGGTCTCAGATGCAACTCATGCAATAAGAAATAGGAAACGAAAGAAACTGAAGAACAAAAAATTATTGAAAAAGATCCTTAATAATGAAAAAAAAATCTGAGGATTGTACTTATCAGAAAAAACCTAATAAGATGCATTGAAAAATTTTTCCTGAATCATGTAAACGGGACTTTGCAAGTGTGTATAAATGATAAAAAAGAGAGCAAATGTATGATTGGGTTATAAATGTGTTAGGAAAAGCAAAAATAAAATGAGAAAATAATGCATCACAAAAATGATTTTTTCAACATTTTTTTACCTAAAATCATCACAGGGTAAAGCAAAATCTGCTATTTCTTGAGAGCATAGTTCTAGAGCAGATTGTACATTTCAATTAACGTTTATCTCAAACCGTTAATGTACCACCACATGACCTTAGCTGAATCCCAGGATAAGAGCATCCTCGCGCGATGCCCTGCTGCGAAGTTTTCTTTACAATTACGCAAAAATTTTATTCATAAAATTTTCAAAATAATTGCAAGAATTTTATAAAGCATAATGTTGTGGGCAAGGGCGCTTTTAAAGACTAAATTATCCCAAGAAAACTTCACCATATAGCCAATTTAAATTTTTCTGGCAGTCAAGTTAGTCTGGAAAAAGTAAGGGTCTTGGATCGCTCTCTATATTTATTGACTTGAAAATATTATGTGCTTATTCTGATGTCAAGATAGCAGTGCAATTTTTTGATATGTCAATATGTTAATAAAAATATGCATTTTTAAATCAAAATTAAAATCAGTTGAATATCTTATTTATAATTATACTTCCTTATATTTACCGTTTGTCAAACTCAACAAATTTATCGTGTTTATTGTTCAAAAACTGTAATATTAAAAAATTTAATTTTTTAATAAATAAAATATTATGATATTTATTACATGAAATAATTGCATTAAAATTAAAAAAATACATTATGCTGACATGACTGTTCAACCTTCAACCCATTTTTATTGCTAGAATGCTTGCCATCAGTTTATTGAAAATAATTAATAAAATTTATAAAAAAAAGATGAGATATTTTATCAAAGATCATTTAAGAGATCATTTAAAATTTGTTCCTATTATGAAACTTGAGGGGAGAAGCAATTTATAAAATCTAAAAAAGCAGCTTTAGGTTGTGCGAATATAAAATGTTGAACACGGTGCTACTAATTGTAAGTTTTTTTCAACTGTTATTTACTCCATAATAATAAAGCTTATAAGGTATACAATAAACTACCATCTATCAGTTATTTAAAATACAATAATGTTTTATGTTTTATCTTTTTCTAATTTGGTCCCCCTTGCAAAATGATAAATCTAAGCATGATTATGAGCCACCTGCTCGAGTGTTAAATTTATCTATTTAAATATTTGTTTGCAACTTGCAAGCTGTGCTGCTTGCAAAAACTTTAAAAGTCACGCACTCGTTTTATCGATGATACTTCAATTATACTATAAAAGCAGAACTCTGAGCTCAACCAAACAGAACATTGCTTGTGGGAACAACTAGCATGGCTCGCTTCATCACCCTCTGTAAGTTTTTTAGGCCTGAGGCGAGTACCGCCCCAATATTTGAATAGAAGACAAATAGGTTTTATTAGACCTGTACTTTATTAGCCAATCTGCATTTTATTTCCAGATATTCCATCATTTCAATAAAAATTAATTAAAATTTTTGCTTTTTAAAGGTATCGCTGCTGCGATGGCCCTTCAAGTTGTCTGGGGCCACCATGAAGGTGAAGATGCAGGGCAATGCTTCAATCAGCAATGCCTTCTTTTGAGTAATGAGCCTCTAGCCAAAGAATTAATTTTGTGCAACACTCATTAAAACTTAATTTTTTTTAGCAACGATAAAACAATTGGCCACACACGCAGAACTCTTACCGCTTGACACCCCCTTGATCCTCCCAATCATCACGAAAGGTGCGAATGGATATGCCGTTTCAAAGAAGGGTGAAAACTTTCTAGCCGCCTCTGTGCAACCCGAAGTCGCTGCCGTTCATTCCGCCCAAGTTCCAATCAACAAACAGGCTGAAGAAGCCACTCGCCAACAGGACCTCTTGGTATCCAAGTTGCCTGCTGGAAAACTGGCTTCTACTCTGAGTGAAGCTGTCGCCACTCAGGTCGCGGCTGCCAAAGCCACAGTTCCCCAAAACCTTGGAGCTGCTGATATTCACGAGGTCGCTCGCCAGCAGGAACTTCTGTCCCAGGTCAAGGCATCAATTCCTCAGGTATCCCTTCCCGTCAACCTTCCTAAGGTTCAAGCTGCCGTTCCCAATGCTGACGCCGTTACTTCCAAAGTCAACTCTGCTCTCCCACTTGCTGGCACAGTTCCTAACGCTCAGGCTGCCGTTCCCGTTCAGCTTTCAAAGCTTAACGTCCACGAGGTCATTCGCCAGCTAGGACTCCTCTCGAACGGTCCTCTCAACACCCCGGTTTCTCTTGCCAAGGTTCAAGCTGCCGTTCCCAATGTTGGTGCCGTCGCTTCAAAAGTCACCTCTGCCCTCCCAGTTGAAGTTCCTAACGTTCTGGCCGCAGTTCCCGCCGTTTCCACTGTGACTGGTGCCCTGCCTTTGAATGCTAAGCTCAACACTGGAGCCCTATCCAACCTCCCCATTGTTGGCAGCCTGGGTCTCAGATGCAACTCATGCAAGAAGAAATAGCAAACGAAGATACAGAAGAGCAAGCAATGATTGAAAAAGATCCTCAATGGTGAAATGCAAAAAAAATCTGAGGATTGTACTTTCCTAAAAAAAAAAAAAAAAACTGCTAGCGGATGCATTATAAAATTTTTCTCTTAAATTTTGTGAACACAAAAGTTGGAGAAAGCAAAAATAAAATTATTTTATGCATCAGAACTCGACCGTCTTTATAATATGTACTATTTTTATGTACCCGCGCTATCTCTATTTTTTAACATACATTATTTAAGGAATAATTAATCAATTATTTCACAATTATAAATCAGCTAATGATAAAAATAATTTAAGATTCTTCGACTCTATTTTTTTCATGTTTCATCAATTTGCTGTACACCCAAAAATTGCATTGATTCGAGAGAAAAAACTTGAAGGTCTGATAATTACAAAGGTGTGGGCGTTGATGAAACAATTTCCTGACACAAACACTCGGAGCCGAAATGAAAACATATATATATTTCTCGCCTCTCGACTTCTCATCAAAAAACTCGCGGCTGCGGATCTTTTTCATCATCAGCAGCAGCCGCCAGTCGAGAGCAACAAGGAGAATCAAGAGGCGTTAATTTATCTCCCGAAAGCATTTTATTTGGACAGGCCGCGTTGCACCAGCGGGGTGTTGCGAGCTACGAGAATTCCATTTCCATCAGGAGGTGCTAGAGAATGAATGAGCCTCTCTCATCCTCTCTCTGTCTGTTCTCAGCAGCATCACGCCGCGAGAGAGTTAATAATTTTCCCTCTATGTGGAAGAGAGGCTTCACTTGAAAACCCATTCACTCGTCAGTATATCCTACACAGCACTAGCCGCCTCGGGCCAAAATGCTACTTTTTCAGCGCACCAGCTTTTGATCAATGAAAGTCGGAGGAGCAGAGGTATTTGTTATTAACTCCCTTATAAATGGGAACAAAAAGAGAGGCTTGGCGTTTTTTGGTTCCAACATCCTCTCAAGGGGTCCATTGTGTTTTCGAAATTGGCCTCGGAAATTCATTGAGAAAGACGCATCACCGGCGGCCATCATGCCGCGACGCTTCTGCAGTAGTCGCCGGGAGATTCGACCTTGTGGATTTTCCGGATTAAGTTGATTAATAATTTGTCTAAGATAATAAATTATTAATTTAATTTGGAAATCTGAAAATAATATTATCAAATATATTGCAACCGCGAAGAAACTTTTGACAATATTAAAAAAAAAAAATGGCTCAGCATTTTGGGATAATTTACTGAATTATTTTGCTCCCAATAAACTTTTCTCAATAAATATGATTCAAAAAATAAAAATAAAATACCTCTGCTGTATTGGTTGCTTGAGTAATAATTTTGCTGATTGATTCTTCTAAAATTTGGCAATAACTGCGGGTGGACGCAGTTAATCGTGTTAATGTAAATGAGGTCAACACATAATCTCAATATACATAATTAAAGGCTAAAACGTGCTGTACTGATTTTTTTTTTAATAATTACAGTGGTGGTACATTTTTTCAACAATTCCTCACAATTAAAAATTTTAGCACTTATTATAAGATAAAAATAAGAAACGATATTTTACCAAGTGCAGTGGCGCATTTAAGATAATTTTCTCGCATAAAAGTATGGAAATGGCACAAAATCTAACCTTCTGCATGACGGCTAATTGGTAGCTGAAATAAGCAAATAAAGCTAGATTTTGATTTTGGAAATAAATGCTAAAAATGCTTGTGAGGGATATTGAATCAGGTTTGGAAAAAAATTTCTGACCGAAGCATGAAAAATGTGGTAGCTGTTTTATAGGTTTTTTTTATTCCACTTTGGAACTGCCGCTTCCCAAAATACGGTGATGAGAGAGATGCGGCTGGGTTTCTGTGCGAACCGAATTTCATTCATTCCTCTTGCCTGCTGGACCGTCGACGCTTGGCAGGCAAACATAACAGCACAAACTGCCTGCCGAACTAATCGATTCCGACACAGGAGTTTTTAATTATTTCTACACTAATTACTCGTGAACGATCTTTTTTGTTCAAAGTGTCCCTCGATCTATAGGTCCATGCGCTTTCTGTATAGAATTGATCAGGGGCAAGATAATAAGGCTAATAATTACTATCAAAAGAAGAATTTTGACTTCTAATAAATTGAGATAGGGATGACTTGATCAATGATCATTTTTTTATACTTAATAATTCTTAAATAAAAATGTGACAAATGTTCAGCGACGCCAGCGACTGCTGCGGTAGAGCGTCAGACTTATTTCTCGGAAGTGGCAAATTAGAACGGTCCATTAATTAATTAAAGCGTCGTGCACATGGTGAAAAATGAGACGCGACTTGGCTGACAGGCCGTGAGGTCTTTTCAGGCGAACCGTAAGGAAGCTGTTTATACATTCGTTTGTACAATTGTGTTTGGACCAGCGCCACATAGAAGTGATTTCTCAGAAATTTCCAAAAAGCTGCTGATCGTGGTACATGGTGCAAGAAAATATTGTGACTAATCCAACACATTGGGAAATCCAATAATACAAAGTTTTCATGTAAGAAGTCAAGTCAACGTATAGAGTGAATTATAAAATGAATTTTACAGTCAGATTTGTGCAAAAGAAACATGCAAAAATACAAATAAAAATAATTAGTTAATAATTAACAATTTTAGATAAAATTAACTATTATGATCGATCGTTAAATTTTTAAAAATTCTGAACACAAATCTTAACGCTGCAATTTTCAATGTTTGAATGTTCGCATTTAAAAAAATCTCAACTGCACAAAGCTGGATTTTACAGGTGAAAGAAAAACTTTGAATTAATACTTCGTCTCACTAGGTGCAGTGATAACATAGCAAGTCGATCCAGTTCTATACATAAATTTAAAAAAAAAAAACGATTAAAATCTAATTTGTTATTTGCAAATAACGTTTGGAAGAGGCATGCGAAAAATGCCAAGTCGTGATGAGCCGAATTCCTTTTGCAGCATCGCGCTTTGTTTTGGCGCACTCGATTTAATTAACCTCGCCTTTATACAGATCGCCGGACAAAGGCGAAAACACGCAGCACATTGGGGCCGCAGTCCGGTAGCAGCGCTATTGCATGCCTAATAACGTCCAAATCGAGTAATTAATTACAGCCGCAGCAGGCCTCCGAGATTGTTATATTACCAGCAGCGGTCATTATCAAGGGCAGCTCCTGTGTTCGCCGCCACCGCGAACTACAGCCCTCGATTATTATTACATTTTTGTATACGCGCGGGACGGTCACCGCTCGCGGCTGTTTTATCCAACTTTTAATAACGCCGAGACGCTCTCTCGGTGTTATTATTATGACGTGGCACATTACATTTCATTATTGTGTGCGAGATGCCATTTTTCATTGTTGCTGCCTCTCTTGTCATTATTTTATTACTTTGTCTTTCGGGCATCGCGTGATATTAATTAATTAATTAAATTTCGTTTTACAATCGCACAGTGGAGGTTGCTATGGACGCTCAGGCATTTCAAACTTACACGTTCATATGTGAAAAAGAAAAGAGGTCTAATTTTTTATAAGAAAGTTTATTTGCTCATTATTTAAATAAAATAAAAAATAGCTGCAGAACAGGTTTACAATTTGAAAATTTTAGATTGCAAAAACAATAAATGCAGATTAATAAAACAAAGATAAAAAAGACTTTTCTTAAATTTTCGTCACTGTTCGTCACGCGGTTGAAATAGTGCATTTAAAAGTGGATGTTTTATCTAAAAAAGTCATACTAACACTTTATAAAAACAAGATAAAACACAAGATAAAAAAAAAACGTATATTCCAACTGAAGTGTTATGTATACGATTTTTTTTCAAATAGAGATTAAGAAAATTAATACGTCTTTTAATCAGATATTCAGGGACGATTCATTTATATATTTTGAAATATTATTTTTATATATGCTAAAATATTTTGATAAGAAACCCTAAGAAAATAAAAAAATAAATACTAATAAAAACTAAAGTCCATGTGTTACATTTGAGATTGTATGCAAATAGCCTGATATTGGTTTTTCACAATCAGAACACTTCTCGATGTGTAAGTTAAATAGAAATGAATAGAAATAGCAAACAGTTTAAGCGTTATAAATTTAAAAATAAATTATTAATTTTGAGACTTGAGACGCTCACTAAACTTGTGGCAAAAATATTTTTACCACTAAACTACTGCCTGAATTTTCATATTCATATTTAATCTCTGCCAAATTGGTGACGGGAAAATTTCTCCGTTTTGTTAGTCAAACAACTTCACACTTTAAGATTATGATTAGCTAAAGATTCGCAGCTGCAATGTCGAAAAAAAAGCAATATTGAACCGAAAATTAGATGTGTATGTCTCTATCGCCTTTTCATGCGATAGGACGTCATGATACAAAAGAGCACACTTTTGCTATAATAACATGAAAAGTGCATGTAAACTCCAATTTGAAATTTGAATACACTTTTGTGCGATGCATAATACAACAATCTAAATGTTTATTTGCCGCATTCGTCACACAGCCCAAGCAATAATAAATGTGCCGACAGAAAATAGAGCAATCCAGCCGCTTTGGAAATTATCTTCCCAGCGGCGGCGCGTTGGGGATCGCGACACGACACTTTAAACAGCCATTAACATAAATTACCTCGCTCGAAAGCTCGTTTTAAAAAAGCGAGCGAGACGTTGTTACATATAATGGGAAGTCGAGTGCGAGTTCAACTTGATTTGGGTTGAGGAAAATTATTTCGGTGCCAAGACGACCGATCGGAGCAAGAGAAAGTGGATTTATTTATTGGCTGTCGTGGGAAAATGATGTGTTGGTTTCACAGAGTGCAGTGACGATAATTAAAAATGTGCTGACAATTGTGTTGCTTAAGCACTTTTTGTTTTTTTTTTCTCAGAGACAACTCAGGCTATCTTTTAGCTCTTTGATAATATTAAATTTTATGTAACATCATAACTTTAAATAAAAACTTTTCAATGTGTAATTTTTTTTAACAATTTAATCAATTAAAGACTTGATTTGACTATGTATATAAGAAGTCCTTAATAACAGACAAAGGTTTTATCTTATATTTCATTGGCTCGAGAGGCAACAATGGAAAACAAGCTAGAGTTAATTTTATTTCAAAACTTATAACAAACACACTATACACCAAAAATCGTAAAATAAATGACGAGTCATTTTAATTTTCTTAAAATAATATAGCAAAAGATTTAAGTATAAAAAAATTACATTAAATTTTAAAAACAAAATAAAAGTTAATTAATAATTCATCACTGATTTCTTAATTTAGCGTTGCATGAAATTACAACTAGATGCAGTAGTGACGTGAGAAAAATTTATACAGGAATGGTATTTTACTTATCCATCCTCTTTGGAGATGAAATACCCGTAAAATGATGTACTTTACTGCACGTGATCAAATTTAAATTAAAAACGAGAAAATAAAATATTGGGCGTTTAATTCCTCTTCATACAATGGACAATCTCTCAAAATAATGAGTAAACTGGCGCCAAAATTTCCTTCCGCGAATCCCAAAACGGTCTCGGCGTGGGAATATAATTTGCCAGACGAAATTAACTCTCCTCGAGAGAGAAATAAATAAATTGCTATTTATGTTGCTCCACGGCTGCTGAGTTTCTTCATTAATCCAAAAAGAGTGGCGAGGATCGAGAGAGAAGAAAAGGAAAAAGAGTAATCTCGGCCGGCGAGGGAAAATAAATAATCAACGCGCGATGATGATGACTGAATTATGAGAAGCCTCTGCTATCATTGTTATTATTTCAGTTTTGATTGTGTTGCTGCGTAAAGCTGCATGCAGAGCGGTGGCCCACCGCGGAGCTCTCAGACGTTTTTGCTCAAACGGCTTCAAAACATATACATGGGGGTTTAATTAAGCACTACTGCGTCTCATTTAAATGAGATGGACCGCGAGAGCAGAGCGCGCGGAGAGTAATTTGTTTCATCGCGATGATAAATTAGAGGGAGCCTGGTGGTGCACAAAGGGTTGCTTCATCGATATTAATCGCGCCAGAAAGCTGAGCTGCTGGTGCCTCCGGAAAATTAAGCCTTAAACCATAAATACTTAAAAAAAATGCTCTAATTTGAAATAAAAAAAATAATATGGTGAATTTGATTATTTGAACAATTTGATATGGTTATTAAAAAAATATTATTGTCAATTAAGTTAATTAAACGTTTTTTAATATAAATTTTTACAACACTTTTGTTTCTGTTAATTTGATAAGATTTTTTGGATGAAATTTGACTTTCAAGCAATTAAAGATACAAATTGTCAAGTTGTTTTAACAGTTTTTTTATCCACATAGACAATTAGGTAACTTGACTCCATAAAGACAAAACATCCAAACAAAAAATTAATCAATAATGAAAAAAATTCAAGCCAGAATCTAAAATATAATTTAAAAGAATGAAGCATGTGCACTCAAGAATTAAAGTTAGGAATCAATTTTATCACGTTTTCACGACGAAATGGAATTTAAATCAAATAGACCTAAATCTGATTTTTTTGTCCAAAGAAAATAAATTTCAAACAATGATTTATCGTGTAATTTGACAATGAATTAAGTTTCAGAAATATATATTCGCATGGAGCAACTTATTTAGTTTGTTCACTCTGCTAATTTAAACTGAGCAATTAACAACTGAACGCGCCATGAAATAATTTTCCGAGTGAGTTACTTTTGAGAAACCAAGACGTCCACCCACCCGCGCCTTTGCGTTGCAAATATAAACACTTCAGTTGAAATTTCCTAGAATCTTGGCTGCTCAAAAAAAATTTCTTTCGCAGAGAGAGTCATCAAAATGATGAATCGGTGTTTTAATCTGAAGTTGCACGGTGGCACCGCTCGCTCGATTTGAGCGAAAACAACTTGCCGGCTAATTATAAAGTGATAACACGTCCCGTGTCGTTAATTAGAAAATAAGCGTGCGCTTCTTCTTCTTCTCCTCTCTTATTTTTTGTTGCCCATCCTAATAAAAGTGACGGCGGCCGAGTGGGAGGTCTATCGAGTATCTCAAAATAGACAAACAAACGCCCGCAACTTGCTTGCTTTTCTCGAAAATTTATATATAATGTGCTGGTGTAATATATACGTCGTGTAAAATTACGCCAGTCCATTCGATCCGCCCATCGTGTCTGCGTGCACGCACCATTAACAAATTTTTCAAGTGGGCGGCCGCCCTGAAAATCAGAGAACGTTATGTTTTTTCTGTTACATTATGAACAGGTGTTCCAAGAAAGAATCGAGAAAATTTTCAGCGCATTTTATATTAAAAACGTTCATTCAAGGCAATGGTGTCAAATCAAAGTACACAAGTGCATTATAGCTCAATGAAAAATAATAAATAGAAAACTTAAAAGAAGAAAAGTTAATTTATATATTTATTTGAATATTGTTAAAAAAAAAACTGAAATTTAACACACTTTTGAATTGCTGCGTTATTGATTTCATTTTGATAATTTCATGTACAGAATATTTAAAAAAATGAAAATTAATTTAGAAACTTTACTAAAACAAAATAATGCAATGTAAACCAAACAACAACAAGTGAAAAAAGAATTGCCCTTTTATGTGCAATTCATAGCAGATTCTTTGTGCAAATTATAAGTTTTATCCAGGTTTTATCTTTTAAAATAACGAAAGTTGTTTAATTCTTAGGAAGAAAATTTTCTAAAAAAAAAATGGTTCTTGAGATAAACAAAATCAATTCAAAATCATTATCAGCGTTTACATGCTCAACATTTTTTAAATTGAATTTTCAGTGCAATATTTTAATTTCTAGGTTTTATTCTGTTTATCAAAATTTAATAATCAAGATCGTTTTTGTATCAGACTTTAGTAATCGTGATACGCAAGACTTTAGACGTTTTTCTCTCTCGCTTGCGGTCCAGCATCGCCATCCAGAGATGCTGCGTCATGAACGGATGACTCCACATACATAGAATGTATCTCTGATGGTGCTGCATTATATGATGTGTGCGAGTATCAAAAGCAGGCGGAGCTACTTAAATTCCCGCCCACCACAATGTAATTCATCTGGTGGCCATTATTTTATCTGCAAGAGATGCACTCACTGCAATGATCAATATATATAATTTGATAAGTAATTTGATTTTCAACTTCATATGGAGTAAAAATATAAATCAATCAATCGATTACAAACAAATCTGCAAATATGGAAATTAAATAACACGGAAAAATCAAATTTATTACTTAAAAAGTAACAAAAAAAAATTAATAAAAGAATGCAAATTTTTCTACGAATAACAAATAAATTTAAATGCATAATACACATTTTTATCTGGCCACAAGAAAAACAGTGAGTGAAAATAACAAACCGTGAGTGATTTTTTTGAGAAAAAAATTATTTTGCCTTTATTTCCTAGCAAGTAAGTCGAAAAAATTGCAAATTTTACTTTCTTAAATTTGTGTGAACTATATTGCAACAAATTTTTCAAACAGATGTTCTTCTAACTTGGCAATAAATATCCGCCCTATATAACAAATTATGAAAGGGGCGCTAGCCGGTGGTAATTACCCCAAAATGTATACACCCCGTGAAGCAAGAGGGGGCGATTTCACAGGCCGTCTGCGTTAAATTTCACAGAAAATAAATCCACAGCACATGCCACAAACGAAAATACAGCACGAGCTGCGGTCCTTTTTAAACCGTCGCTCTCGTTTTATTATCGAACGTGTGTCATCATTCTCGTCAGGCAGCGAAAATCAATTAGCCAAGCGCAGGAAGTGCAATGATATTATCCTGCGTGCAGGCGGGTGGCGAACTTAATTACATGCCTCTTTCTGCGTTTCATATAATTATATTATATATTTTACAATGCGCACAGAGGGATGCCGAATGGAGATTTCGTCGTGAAAAAGTGAGAAAGGAGCGAGAATCTCACGCCGTTTTTACGCGATAACTCGTGTGACAATCGCGATTCACTGCTCGCTATTTTATGCACCAAATCGATCGCTGAACGCGTTTTATTATGAATGTTATAGCAGGGAATTGCAATTAGTTGCCACCTTTCTGCTCCTAGCTAATGAATGACGATACAATGGTTTAAAAGCCGATTTGTTTGTAAATTCAAAAACTAATGTTCTAAAGTTGTTGTCATGGAATTCAGTCATCTGTTCATGCAAAACTTTATGGCATGGGAGATATATTTATTCTCCATATAAACCTTACATCGCATATAGAAATTATTAAATAAATTTTTATTATTTTAAAGACTTTCCATCAGAAAAAAAATGTCTGAAAGGAGTAACCGAATATCAAAAGTAAAATATTGCGACGATTTAAACTAAAAATGTTCAGATCTAAAATTTTTATAATTTTATAGCAAAATTTATTTCATTCTTAATGTAAATGTACTGCTTAGTTTTGTTTTTAAATGTGTATTTTAAAAGTAAAAATAGCGCTTTGTCTAATTGACTAAATAGATGAAGAACTTCCCCGAACTTCCAAATGATCTCTTCGTTTCGTTTTAAATGGCCTGAAAATTCTCGTTATGCATTTGGTCCTGGCTTTGTTGAGTAATTTTGATCAACATGAAAGTGGTTCTCAAGAACATAAATAGTAAGGAAACACTAGCCGCTGCAATAATTCCGACTTATATGCTGATAAGAGCCCGTCTTTTAATATCTGCTGATACATGCTGATAATCGTTTGACTGTGAGACAAAAATTCAGCAAAAGACTTAATAAATATACCTTAGACTTTTTAGTCCTATGACTTAATAGCAGATGCCGGGATTAGATAAAAATGCGCTGATGCGTCTAATTTACCTCAGTGTTTAGTGCCACTTTCACGTTAAGAGTTTTGGTTCAATTGGAAGAAGTTCGCTTGCTGTATAGTCGAATTTTTACAATGATGTCACAAGCCAATATAAATGACGTCTCCGCCAGCCAACCTCTCAACCCGCAACCTCATTACAAAACACGCCGCGTGGCAGCAGAAACAAACCGTCAGCAGGCCAAAATTTCTAATTCTGATGAGAATGAAGATCAATCTGCACCATCGCCAGCAGGTACCAAGACACGGCTCAAGAATGGGACCAATGTTAAAAATCGAAAAAAGGACCGCACAAATCAACAGGAGCCACAAATAAAGCAAGTTCTCAACTATTTCACTGAAAATCTGCCGAGTATGCTTCAAATAATAAATGAGTCTCAGGGGACCAAAGAGACTGAGGATTCTACACCAGAGACTTGGAAGAATAAGTTGAAAGATTTTCCATGGAAAATGACCTCACTGAAATCAGCAATAATTGTGTTGCTGGCCCTCATCTTCATTACTCACAAGTGCGACGTCAATAAAAGTTGCTACGTCCACATTAAGATTCCGGCCAACTCGGCGGCAGTGATCAACTTCATGAACTCATTGAGCGAAGCGGTGCATATAATCAAAGGAAAGGTTAATAGTCCTGATTCAAATGAGAAGGTCAAAACTTCTGGAGCCAGCAACGATAGCAATGAAGAAACGTCAGTTATCAAGTGGTACATTTTGGGAGACAACAATGGTAAGAAAATTCAGCTTTTCGCAAATAATTCACTTTGTATTCAGATATTTCGGATTCAATGTGAGATTAATTTTTAATGTAAAACGAAATCATCTTTATGATTTCATTGTAAGAGAAAAATATATTATTTTCAATTAATAACTGATCATTTATTTGGATAATGCAAGAATCCAAAATGAAAATTTATTTTTTAAATTAATTTAAAGTAATACATTGAATTATTGGCATAAATAAATTTTTTCAGGTCTTTGAAATGCATTATAATTTTATTGAAAAATATTGAAATTTTCAGTTGAATTCCAATTCGAAGAGCGCCACCAGAGAGAAATGGAAAATGCGTACTTCAATGGAGAACAAATCTACGCCTTTTACGGGCCAGAGAGAGAAATTTTTGAGGTCAACTTTTCTAAACAATCGCTTATCAAGAAAAACGACCCTTTCTACGTGAAAAGAATAAAGCGCAGGATAATCACAAAAGGTCCTGAATGGAATCAATTTGGTCCAGTAGTCACTGACTTCAACGACGAGAAAATTCATAAACCAAAAGCAGCCGACTTTCAACCACCCTCTATGGACGATTTGTAGAATAAAAACTAGAACAAGTGTTTTAGAAAAGAAGTAAAGAAAAAACTTTTTTACAGTTGAAAGCATTAAAAAAAAGTGTATATTTGCTTGTTGATAAAATTTAATAATAATGATGATAATAATTTAGTAGTTTGATTTTTACAATTTATTCCCTGCTATATTCATTTCAAAAGCAATTGCTACTACTTGAGATTTTTAATTTCTTCATTTAAGTTTGTCATGTTTTTATATTTCAAGAAATGTCGATGGCTCCACTTTAACTAAAAAATATGATAAATATTTTGAACATGATCGCAATTGAAATTTATTAGCGTTGGTTATCTGCATAAATGCACTTCGGACTTCAGAAAAAAAATCATTGAACTATCGCAGTGCCTATAATTCCAATTTAAATTATGAACATTAACCTAAAATTATTTTTTTTTAACCAAAATGAATTACAAAATCCATGTAATTTGTTTGATTTTAATTAAAGTGAAAGATAACTTTTTTATTGCACCACAATTTTATAAAGATTTTTAAGGCAGAAAAATTCCCGTGAGATTGGAATTATTTACCCACCGCTTTGCAGCTCGGAGTTGTGAGATTCTACTTTGGCTGGGGATAAAAAGTGGCGAACCTTGTTGACGCATTCCTCTCCAGCTTTTATACATTGTGTGATATTTTAAAACAACGTATGACAAATCGGAGTTACGAGCCGGAGGATCTTCGTCTGTGAAGTGGCTGGAGTTTTTTTTTTTAATCCGCGGCAAAGGTGAGAAAAAGCGAATTTGTGCTGAGCTCATCGGCGGCGTTCGATCAAAGCGGGGGTGTTTTGTATTTTTTAATTCCCACATCAACAACAACAAAACACGCCGGCCGAGAGCGCTCTCATTTTCCACCCTCGATCGGGGGAAAAACACAGGCGGCGAATAAAAGGTGTAATGAGGAAAACGACACCTACCTTAAAAAGTTTTTTGCTGGCTGCAAACTCACATGCACGGCAGCTGAACAGGATTAAAGCGTGCGATTCGAGCAGACTCCACGCAGTCTGTCCGATGCAGCTCTCCGCGTTTCCCTCCAGACCGACCGGCGGCGGCGAAACTTTGTTGTTTTTCGTCCCTTGCGGGGGTTCAGCTGATGCCGGCGTTTGTCGTGTGCTCTCTTCGGCAGGTGCATCCAGTTAATTTTCTGCAAATGAAAGGTCAAGAAGATATAAAAAAGCTGGTCTCTTTAGCACGAAAATGCACTAAATTCGCGAATAATTATCAAGCCTCGCGCAATGCGCATTACAATGATCGGAAAAACTTTTTTGAATTATTAATGAGTGTTCCAAATAGTCTTGTTGTAACCAAATCAGAGAACCCTAACGAGAAACAAAATATCAAAATTATCAAAATCTTTATTAATTTGTGTGATGCGCGAACCCCGATTAGCCTAAAACGTTTGGCGTAAGACAAAATTTTACAAATCCAAAATAATTGAAACTTGAATTCTTCGCATTAAGTCTTAAATTTATAAAAAAGATCTCTACAATCTAAACAATTTATTTTTATTGATATGTTTCACCGGGAAAAAGTTTTATCAAGTTCCTTTTGGCAAAACATAATTAAATTTGAGCCCAGAGTTGGCGAAAAACGAAATCGTGTTTTCAAATTGAGAAATACCTGGTGCCGCGGCTGGAAGCTGGAACGATGATCAAATTGAGCACCCGAATCTGCTGGGGGGTTTTTTTTTTTCGAAAAAACACTCGATTTTTGGGACCCATTTCTGAACTGACACTTGCAGCACCACATCACCTGGCTCTTTGTAAACAATTACTGACCCCGCCCCCTCATTTCCCTCGCTTTGCGCAACCAAAAAGGCGCGATTGCATATTGACTGATTGGCAGCAGGCAGCGCTTCCAAATTTTCAAGGCGTTGAGCGCTCTGCAAGATGCCCCATAAATCTGGAACAACTTGGACTTTTTATTTCAAAATTTCGTACTTTACCAATTCTGACACGCTTAATTTAATACAATGGCTATCCCAAAAAAAATTATAAAAAAATTTTCTTAAATAGTACAATTTTATTTTATTTTTGAGCATTTTTTACAATGCCAAAAAATTATATTGCCACAAAAATTAAAATTACGCAAAGAAATGTCATGATTTTCCCAATACAGAATCATATGCATATTTTTTCATTTTATTCGTGAGAAAAATGGACTTTGCAAACCCTTAATTATTTATTATGTCACATATTGCCGAGGAAAAATTTGAGTTGTGATTTATATCACTACATAGCTCATTTATATATCATTAACATTATTTAAAATCATTGCATTATGGGGTGTAAATTTAAATTGGTTTTGTAAAATTAATAAAAGTATTGAGAGTAATAAAAGTAATGAGTAATAAGCAATGAGAATTAAATTGTACAATTACAATAATTTAATCTTTATTAATCGCGTACATCAAATTAAATATTTTCTCTGAAAAATCTCAAAAATAAATATTTATTTGTAAATAAAATTCATTTATCTTCGTCATCTATGAATTGAAAATATATCAGTTCTGCAGCTTCTAAGCTCAATGAAATTTATTATTAGTGTCCAGTTCGCTTCTTCCTGAGTCGCATGATCCTGAGGTTGGTTGCGTTTTTGAAGTAGCTGTCGTTGATAACTCCTTGCAATCGGTTGGACGCGAGCCAAACCTCATCGCCGTCAAAACTGAAGTCGGCGACCACCTGAAAACGCTTGTTGTCTTCGGCGACCAGGACGGGCTGAGGGCCAAATCTGCTAGGGTTCCACCTAAGAACATTGGTCTCGGTAATCATGGACATGTACACCGTGTTGTGTCTGTCGGTTGCCAGGGGGATACCCTGTGAGCTCTGCTCCATCAGTGGCCGCACTGGCAGGTGCTTCACTGTCGGGTCATTTATGAACCTTTGAATCAAAAACAATGAAAATTAAAACCAATTGTTTACAATTTTTACTATGATCTGTCTGCAGAAACGTGTTTAAATTCCACAAATTGAAAAAAAAAATTAATTTTCTCGAACAAGAAAATTTAAAAATTCCCAATTACTAGGAATTTAAATAACTTTTTTTTATAATTCGTTCATTTCAAATTATTATGATTCACCTCAAAGGTACATAGAACAGAGTTGTTCTGGCGTAAGGGTGAAAAATGAAAACCCTTTCACCATTCAAAGTGGCAACTGTGCTACCGATGAGACCATCCCCCATATTAAATCGCTCTCCGTTGATAGACGACCAAACCTTGGATGGGTCAGGGTTGAAAGCGTTGTGCTCGTGGCGCCAGAAACTGTTTCTCTTTACGTCGTAAACGACCAAACCTTCAAAGTAAAAACAATTTTTATATTATTGCACTAATTATAAAAATCTATTTGTGTACCCCAGCCCAGTGTGTCACTCAGGTATATGTACATGTCGTCGCAGTCTCCCCCAGGCACGAATTCCACACTCAAATATGTGAACGTGGTCATATTGTTGATGACCTCGTTGGGCACCGCCACGCTTTTTACGAAGTGGCCCGTCTCCAAATCAAAGCCCAATATGCGAGGGGGGCAAGGCACGCGAGGGTTCAAAGGTGGTGTCGACCCCAGAGCGTTAATTTTTCCAGAGTCGATTGTCCAAATTCGGTTGCATCGGTCAATTCGAGACCTTTAATTGTCACTTAATTTTAAGGCTTTTTTTCTAAAAAATTATTTACCTGAAAGTAGAGACAAATCCTCTGCACTGTCCTCGACCTTCTGCGTCCTGCCAAGAATAATCAGGAAAGGGTCGAATTGGTTGGTCAAAGGTTGGTGCGTTTTCGAATCGGGGGATCCAACCAAAGGTGATTGGAATGTTATCGTAAAGTCGCGGGATGTTGATGAAAATTTTGTCTCGCCAAACTTGCATCCCGGTGAAAAACGCTTTTTCCGGGTTGGACGATTTGGCGTGCAGATACTCGAGATAGCGCCATGAATGCATTTCTTCCACTTCCAGCAAATTTTGCTCGCTGCAACTCACCATGGCAATTGTGACGAAGAGGATCAATCTAAAAATTAATTTATGAATAAAATTAAATAACTCTGCAATAAAAAAATATACTTATATAGTGAACTGAATATTAAAATGTTACCTGACATTCCGCCACATGTTTTGAATCTTGTAATCCAGAAAAGGAGAAACAATCCCTTAAGCTTCTTATTCCGTCAAACAGCAAATCGTGAATGAACAGTTTTCCGCCAAAACCGGTATGCGTCATTATTTATCAAATGGTAAATTTAGAACAACGGTTAGATAATTATGCCCTCAAGAAAATATAAATTTTTCTCTCCTAACAATTATCTTTTTCCGTTAATAATTTTTTGAGCTTTAATAATAAGGGAAACATGTTTGAAAGATAAGAAATTCTTAGGTATATTTGTTTCATTTGAAAGAAAAGGTTGAACTTTTTATACAAAAAATATCATAAGCTAAATATGCAAGACTGCATTGTGCAAGCCGAGAAAGTTTAAGTGTCTTGGAGCGTGATATCCACGAAATATGCTAACAAAAGAGCAGCCGGCGGGTCATCCCTTTTCATTGTGTTTCCTTCGTTTTTCCTTTTCGACAATAAAGTGCAAGTGCGCTACTCGTAACGCTCTAATTACCTTGCTAATGTCACCTTGCAAAACGATCGACACACAATACTCTCACCGCCAAGAAAAAGAGTTTTTGTTGTGCCGCCGACGTTTGCAGGTTTTTTCATAGCCTTTTGCGTAATAAACTCCAATCACAATTTCGCGTATAAATCTGAATTTTTTTAATTTTTAACTTTTACTAAAAAAACGGAATTTTTTATTAATTTTTTTTGCTCTTTGCTGTCCCTGACGAGATGCGTGTCTTTGTGTGCCGCCATCGCTGATGATTTTTAACTCTTCCTGTGCCGCGACCGCTGCTGCTCACATTCACAGGTGGGGCGTAAAATTTCTCATCTCCGGTGCCGAACCCTTTCTATTCATCGCAGCCCTTTGTATGCACACACATATACATTGTCCAAAAACAGCAGCCACGCATCGCTCGATGACTGCCGCAAAGTTTCATTATTTTCCCATTCGAGAACATGATGCAGCATCTGCAACCCTTGTTTTCTCCAATAATTATTTTCAACTCGACCCTTGCTGTACATGTTCTATCATTTCCCTTCATTAAAGGGATTGAATATAATGTATACAGGAGTTTTCTTGTACAAAGGACTCGTGCCGAGCAAAGGGTTTTCCTATTCGGATATTGTCTTTTTGATCCCTTATTAAGGAGTTTGATTAATTATTACAAGCATCATTTAAATCAACACCTGTAAAGTGCAATGCGTTATTCACGAGGTCAAATGTAACTCTCAGAATTTTTTTTTTAAGTCATGAATAAAAATTTTACCGTCGTTCAAGATTTTGCTAAACAGGCGTTTAAATGTACAACAGTAAAACAAGCTGATAACCCCCTTTTTTAATTATAAATGTTTAATTTGACAAAATTATCATTTAAAAATAAAAAATTTAGGTAAATTTAATCACTCACATACATAAACTCCCCTTTTCTCCAACACTTATTGAATTGTTAAATTTTTTAATTAAATTGAAGTAATTTGGGACATGTATTTTTATAAATTACATTATTTTTTTAATTTAAATTTAAATTGTTGAATTCTGTGTTGATAAAATCTCTCTTATCTTTTTGTATGTAACAAAAAATAAAATTATAAGTGTTTATCTTGTTGTGATTCAATGTTGATTTAACAATTTGAAGCAGCTCGGCGGTACGTAGGCAGGGAAAATTGAATTTGCTTCACGCACCGTGGCAAAAAAGAGCGAGCAAATCGCGCAGCCATTAGCATTTCACCGCTCATATTCTGAGAAAATCGCGCTCCTCACTGGCTAGCAAGAGATAAATTATTAGAGGCCGAAAGGGGCCGCGCATTATGCATGCACCTTCTCAAGATACACAAATAAATGCGTGGACCTTTCTTTCAATTTTTTTTTCTTCAAACATCCGCGGCTTCTTCTTGTTCTGCCTACGTTGGCCGTTCGGACAATGAGGTCCGTGTGTCACGGGCAAATTAGGGTAATGACAGGCCGAGTAAGATGTCACTAATGCACCCCCAGAGAGTTGGGCGACGCCATAAACAGGCGCGACCCGCTGAGCGTCGCTGCCAAAGAAAAGAACCGACCCGAAGCGAACCTTTTCCCACGCACTTTGCACGCCTCCAGAGAGCAAAAGAAGAAGAATTATCCCCGTCGCTGACGTGCACGCAACACAGAAAAATACACACACAAATAAGTGTAAATAGAGCAACAATGAACGAGCCGTGGAAAATCATTGACGGCGTTTAGCGCTTGATTTTATGCTTCACGCGCCTTTCTAACTTTTATTTTTTTGCGCAAACGGAAGCAATCAAAATTGTTAAGTCAACTCTTTTTACACACTTAGAACATTTTTCAAACTGAATTTTTATAATTTTTAAGAGAAAGCTGCACAACGCAATCAAAACAGGGGAAAAGCTTGTGGAATTAAATCATTTAAAAGTATAAATAAATTACTCAAAGATGAATTAGTCCGAATTAGTTTATAAGTAAATTATTATACAAAATTTTTTATACAAAACAATCTTTTCTGACTAAAATTTTTAAGATTTGTTTGTACTTCTTATATATTTGGTTTGAAATTTGTAATTTATATCGGACGATTTAAATGGAAAAAATATAATTTTAAACTAAAAATATTATTTACTGCATTAGCTGCAATGCTCCGAGGTGACATTATGTGCACGTTTGGAAACTCTGCGTTGAATAAAACCTTTTATTATTTGCATGTGAACTGTGTTGCTTATGTAAATTATTATTAGGTTGTTGTAGTTTTCAACCATTATTTGAAAAATAAATTTCATTGTTCAGAAATAATAAAAAAATCTACCAAAGTTGGCACTTATTTAATCATTTTTTAATTTTTCCCTGAAATATTCTACAAATTGCATTATTTTCTATTAAGAATACTTTTTGCTGGAAGAAAATCAGTGGATGGTTCGATTTCCTCCAAGGCCGGACACTTTCCTTCTTCAGAAATGGTCCGGCATCTTGAATTAAACCATGACAGAGATTTGTGTCGCACTTGAGGTATGCGTGTGTGCGGCGCATCTCCCCTGAATGCACCCTCGGATCCGTCAGCAGCTTGTTTCCCATCTCTCTGTGTGTGGTTTGGTTTACAAGCTGCTTTCCTTTTGGCGACGCCGCCGCTTTTCTTCTCAATCGCCACGAGCACCATTGAAAATCAATTTCTGAAGGGACATAACATATAAGATGCGAACCCACGCAGCGTCATAAATTGTCAGAAAGTGGACCAGGTATTATAGTCTCTCCTTCCACATTTCCAATTAAAATTTTCAGTGGAAAATGCTAAGAAGGTTTTAAATGGAATGTCGGCCGGAGGACCGCTTGCATAATATAATAATATGTATTTTCTCTAGCAATCATTTTTGTTATAGAAAAAATAAAAGATTCTACTTTTTAGTTACTTCGTCCAATGGATGGTAGAATGTTCCATTTACAGCAAATCACAGCAAATTGACTGTCAACTCTTATCATCCATGTCAAATATTAAAAAAAAAAGCCTGGATGAAAATCCAACATTATATTTTTCAGATGAGTGGTTTTCGATGTAATTTTTTTAATGTCATAAGAAAAGATGACTTGATTCCTTATATTATAATTCCAACTGATTTCTGAAGACGTTTTTTTGTATATTAGTTTTTGTACTGACTAATCATGATCCAAATATTGAAGCTCTTGTAGTTTAAAATTGTTTGAAAAAAATGATAAGTGATTTCAAAATTTCTTTGTTTTTAAATCAAGATAGTGCATACCTTAACGTTTTTTTAAACACGAGTATTTTCTTTGCGGTATTTTCCCTTATTTAATAGTCATGCATTTTTAAAGCACGACATGTTTCTGAAACGCACCTGCTTTTATCAGAGAATGAAAAATTGATCCAAATTGCTTGTGGATAATTCTTAATTTCAATTGTTCTTTTGTCAGTTAAAATTTTTTGCTCGTTCGCAATGCTTCGGTGACTGTAAATTTATTCAATCAAAGTATACAAAAGACACTTCATTGTGTTTTTGCACCGGCGACATCAGGAAGTTTTCGCCTCAAACTCTCATCTGCGCCACTCTAGTGTATCATTCTCCTCAAAAATTATTCAGCAGAAGCAGCAAAAACTTAATATTTTAAAACAACTGTTAAGAAAATTATTACATACGAGTGTTATTTTAATTTACATTTTAAACTGAATTTGCTCTCTTTTTATTTTTACAATAACAGATTTCACCCAATTGGAGTCCAGTCGGCACCTTACCGGTGCCATTGTGTTTAAGGTGGTTGCATACAAAGCCAGAGGTGTGGAACTGCTCATATCCGTGCCAGGGCGGAGGTGCAACCATTGTTCCTATGAACGACAGCATCCGGCGGCAATCACACACACACAACAATCCATCTCACTTTCACTCTCCGCCGGATAAAAAATTAAGCGTTTCCGGTTATTATTTCGATTAACCTGTTCCTTGGAGGATAAAAAATGGCGCTGCCTAAGGTGTTGGTCAACACTTTTCATTGTTCGAGCCGTTTCAAACGCACACACATTCTTCGTTTTGGGTTCAAGGATCTGAAATTCAGTTCAGTGCACTTTCCCCTAAACAATGGTCCTTAACATTTTGTGCACAAAAAGTGCACGCGTCAACGCGAATGCCCCTCTTTTGTCTCATTCACCACCCCTTTCGGTCAGCAACCCTTTGGCTTTAATGGAAGAAGAGCCCGCTCAGTTTGACCGACAGGAACAACTGATGAGCGGGCCTTGTGTATACTATGTGAGGTGCATTTAGCGTTTAGAGCAGAAAAATTAAAATTTATTATCTCTCAAATTTTATCGTGAATTTTTTTTCATAATCCATTAAGGTTCAAAAGTAAAAAATTGAGTAATTTGAACATTTTCATGCAAAATTCCGGCGAGATTTTTTACAGTAAAAATTATATTAAGTAATGCCAAAATGATTATAAAAAACTGCAAAATTTTTTTGTTAATTCCAATATTAATTTTTCATTTATTTATTAATAATTTATGTATTTTTCCTTCAATCTTTAAAAATAAATTTTTTCAATTGATACTTGCTAAGGCCGTCGATTTTCTAGGACGTCCTTGCTTTGAGGTTAACACTCGGAAGAGAAACTCTGCGATTTTATGCAAACGCAGTTACAATTCCAAATAATGAGAAGAAAGAGTTGGCTGAACATACTAAAAGCGACCTCTTTTCTTTCTGTTTCTTTCAGCCCTTAGGAACGAAAAGTCAGACCACTTATTCGCATATCAGCTTTCCTCTCAACCCTAAGCAGCTGCGATAAATTACTTCTCAGAAACAAAAATTGCCTTTGGCCCTTGGAACAAAACTCAGTCGCCATTGTGTCTAGAGTACAAAACCTTGAACGTTATAGGGATTCTTTTTTTCCTAAATCTGGACAATGGGCTGCATTTTATTGGGGGTATTTCACCCCTATTCTGTACTTTGTATATTCCTAAAGGCCAAGAACCTGATGCCAGGGTGCGGCGGCCGGTTTATGACCCCGCGCGCAAGTCTTGCACGCGCGCCTCGAAAAATTCTTTTCATAGATAATAAATCAGGCAATAAAACTATAAATTTTGTCTGGTCCTCTTGGAAAGGGGTTGTGATTCTTAAAAATCAGCTATTATAACGTGCCCTTGCTTACAAGTACGTCTGTATTTTTGTGTGGTAAAGGGGACATTTTTTTGAAGAATATAATTATAAATATAGATGATTTGAATTGGAGCACTTCCCCCCAAGAGGATTTATAAAATTTGTAAATACATACTTTTCTTGAATATAATAATTTTGAAATAGCAAATATGTTAGTGTAATTTAATAAATAAAGTAAAATTAACACAAAATGCAGTGACAGTCATAATATTATGTCTAATTTAAGCAGACCTTTCCCATTATATAATCAAATTTGTATGTCTTATTTGATGAATATAATTTTTTTTATAAAATATAGTCAGCACTGAATAAAAACCATAACTTTATTTTATTTTCAATTTTCAACATTCTTCAATTTTCTGTAATTGAAACAAGTGGGCCAATAAAAAACGTAAAAATTAACAAAGGGGCAAAAAGTAGCGTTATATTTCTCTAAAATATGGTCAAACAAAAATACCAACTCATTTTTTTTTCTCACCAACCATGCATGTGTCTTGAATATATTTTTTGCAGAGCGGGTTTGTGTTATATTTTCAGACGGCTGGAAGTAGAAAAATGACTGGGGCGTGATTTTTTGGCTTCGAGGTGCAATTTGTAAAGAGAGGCAAACGGCTCTTTGACAGCCGATCTAACTGTACTTTCTTGGCAAGAGCATGCGGCGCGGGGGTTGTTTTTATTCACTGGAATAGAGAAAGAAAAGGAATAGAGATGCCCAGGGTCAAAAAGCGCTAACATGCAGCAGTAGCCGAGAACAAACGGATTCCATTATTCGTCAAATAGTGCTGGTGGGTCAACAACTCTTATTCGGGGCCATCAAGGTCTTCCGCTTTGCAGTCAGATGTGCGGGGGTCATTATGAGTCATGAAGAGGCCTTGAAAATCCGTTTTTCCGCCACAAAATGTGCGTAGCAGACGGATTATTTGGACTTTCCAAGAAGGTTGTTAAAGAAACAGGAAATATTGTGATCTTTTTTACAAGAAATGTTTGTGCAGAGGGCGGCATAGTGTGTATCACAGTGTCATGATATTTGATTGAATTATTTTTTTATAAGAAGACTTCAGAAGTAAGATTCTTTTTTTTTAATTTTTAAAGAGAAATTTTAACGAAGCATGTTTATTATGAAATAAAATAAAAATCAATTTTGTTGTGCGTTTTTACATTATAATCAAGTTCTTCTAATCAAGTTGCGGATCAAATAATAAATAATCTGAGAAATTTGAAACATTAAAAAAGTGCATTTTTATTGCTGATTTTTCATGGATTTCTCAAAAACTGGTGAAATGCAGTGAAATGATTAAATATATTATTGTTTGATCATCGATTAAAAATATTAAGTTTTTGCTATAAATACATTGCAGAACATAAATTTTTCACTTACCAATATAAAAAGATTTTGGCAGAATTTAAAAATTTTGATTTTCGCAGTATCCAAAATAATGGATTTATTTAATCGATAAATAAATTTTTTTATTGATTGATAGATCCATGACGAAATATCTAGGAAAATTGAGCTTTGTTCTAATGTAGGCAACCTGCTCAACAGACTGGTTCCCACGGTTGCGTTTTCGCCCCTGAAGCTATTTCGTAAGCGGAACGAATTGCAAACAGCTCCCGACTTGAATGTATAACGTTCATTATTATACTCACCATTATGAATTTTTCAATCAAATACCTGAGGTGTTTGGAATATTAATACTATTTAACAGGCTGACGTACAGCTCCATCCTCTCTCAAGATGAACCAGAGAATTTTCTCACTTTTTATCAAGCATCACGAGGACAATAATCATTTCAATGTAATATAATAAAACAGTCATAAAATCATTTTTCGATCTCTCTGGATGATTTTGAATTATTAAATTTTGAAACTGTTTATTGATAGTCAGCTTGATGAATAAAATAAAAGTAGAGCAAAAAAGCAGCAGGAGTCATTCGACTCAAGAATCTTCTTCAAATGGACGCAACACAATGCGTGAAGAATAAATATTTCATGGGACATTTCACTTCATTCATTCAAGACTGGGTAGGATGTAAAATTTTAACACCAACCGACAGAGGCGCCGAAATAAATATTCATTCACTCACGCGAGAAATGGACCATGTAAAAAATTTCATTTCATACACAACGAGTTCGTCTGTCGTCACTCACTGCTTCTTTTTGTCTTCTTATGCATCACGGCTCTCGCAGCAGTGGAGTGGGTGCGATTGTTGTCTGCGTCCGAGCCAACAATGGCCGACGCAGTTTGCCGAGGGGCCCCGCGGTGTTTTGAATAATTTTCATGCAGCGTGGAAACGCTACTTTTGTCCAAGAATAATCAACACGCCTGGACATACAAACTAATCCAAGCATAAATTTTACCCAACATCAAAATAAGTCGCGGAGAGGCGCCAAGTGATGATTTGGATAATACATATTTCCTGAATATATAATTTACAAAGCGTTTCAAATATTTGTAACTTTGTATGATTATTTGAGAGGAAAATTGATTTTTTTTTTAAATATTTAATAAGAAGAGCGCTATTAAAACTAGATTAGATTAAAAAAAATTGCTAAATTTGAAACAAAAAAAAATCAAACTTGTGGGTTCACCTCAGCGGTTGTGTCTCTTTTGATGCCAGGCGTTGAGTATGGTGGTATTATGCTCCACATTTTTTTTTGTGTGACTTGAGCAGAGTAACAAAAACAATAATAGAATTAACAATTTATTGTTTTATACCACTTTTATTCTAAGCAATGAAAATTAGATAAATTTATCCTCTCTGCGCCTCTCTGTTGAAAGATGTAAGAGAGCCATTAAAAAGCATTTAACTTTTGACGAAAGCATCTCTCCGCAGAGAGCTTAATGATCAAAGCAAACACACAAAGCACGTCCAGAAGTGTTGATTTTTTCCATTCCGCAAGCAACTGCAGCAAACTCGCACAACGGCATTGAGCAAATAGATGGACGGCTCCTCTCGTCCGGTCATTAAGCGACCATTGTTGGCGCATCTTCACACTCAATCTCTTGACGGCACAATGGCCAATTTCTCAATCAAGATGGCTTGAGAAAAATGCTGTTTGCAGATTTACGTATTTTATTGCAACGCTTCACGAACAACTGAAGTGGAACTTCACATGTGTAGAAAAATTATTCAAGTTTTTTTTTTAATATTCCCAAAAGAGGGGCATAAATTTATTTTAACAATATTTCATTTAAACACTCGAGGTGGATTTCATGAAAAATTGGATCCGGGTAAACCTCATTGCAAAGAAAAAGAGTAAAAAAAAATGAAATGAATTTTACTTTTTTTTCTTTGTAACGAGGTTTGCCCGGTTTAAATTTTTCAATATTTCATTTATTGTTTTAGTTTGATTCATTCTTAAACCATTTTCTTTTTGGCGATTCAGGTCAGATTCAGGTATTTAAAATTACAAACATTTTTCTACTTCATTTATATATTTATTTCTTCGTAAATAAGGTCAGGAAAAATTTTCATTTTGAACAAATATGGAAGTTAACAATGTTGGTTAATAATTCAAAGAGGCGGCGGTTAATTCTAGTAGGTACGGTTTTTAATGGCTAACAATTTAGCTGAATACGCACGGAGCAATTTGATTTTTGTTTTTGCATTGAATAAGTTGAAGAGTGGATTAAAATTAGCTAGACTAGAAATGCTACAAAACTTTATGACATGAGAATTTTAAATATCAAATTTGCAGTGATTATATTATTTTATAAAATGCTCTACATCACAAAGTAAATTGATAGCGATTGTCTCTAATTTAAACGCAATTTCTTGTTTTTATTTTTGGCAGAAAATAACAAATCAATAAATTTGTCATTTCCCTGATTTTCATCGTTTTCTTTTGCGTCTGCCTAATTAATCAACATTATTTTATTTATCTTACGAAGCTGCCTTGGTAAAAGGTGCAAGGAATTCGATAATTCACAACTTTTGAAATTCAACAGCTTTAACAATATTTTTGTCTCTTAATTGGTAAGGAATAACTTCAAAAGGCACATTAAAAATGAGAAGGTTTTTTTAGCATTTCCAAAATATAACATAGCGTGCATAATATATGTTATCAGAAAGATAAGTAGTGTCTTTGTTGAGTAAATATCATGATTCTGGATAAAAATCTTTTTGACTTTCTCAAATTCATGTATTTTTATAAGAGTTAAAATATTGTCTTCATTATCTAATGCTAATTTCTCATAAATAGTTAAAAACTTCAACAATAACCAGATGAAAAGTGAACGATAATATAAAATTAAAGTGTTTGTGATGTTTGCTGCAAAATCCTTACTTAGCCACATGCTTTGAATCTACGCTTGAATTATGCTTTTACTTTCGATATTCCCTTAAACGTGAATGACGCTGAGATGACGGAAATAATAAATTATTTTATATAACTTTTCAACTGACTACAAAACTTCAGCAGTCTTAAATAACCTGTGAATAACTTACAATTAAGTTCCAATTTACAGTGGAAGCTAATTTTTCTTTAAATATAGAACAAACGTTCAACGCCTAAACTATCAATTTGAGACTTTTGAGAGTTGGAGAGATAATTGATTATTGTCTATAGTGCAAGAGAGAAATCAAAAGTGGCTTACACGGCTGTGCTTAGGCTATAGGTGGACTCGTTGAGACCAGCGTCGCGATCGTCCGACTCATCCTCATCGCCAAGTATGCTCGTGTTGAGCAAAATCTCGCCGACACAGGCCGAGTGGCTCATGAAGGGGAAGAAGGAGCTTGGGTTGTTCTGCAAACGGCTGCGCAGCAGCGCGCTATCACAGGCAAAAGAAAATTCCTCGGAAAAGTCAAAGGGCGCCACCCGGTCGGGATGCCCGCCTTTGCGGCAGATCTCGACCTTCCTCTGCAGTTCGACGATCTCCTCTGCCAGCAGACGGACCTGGAAGTTGACCTGCACGCGACCCCCGCCTGTCATTTCCAGCATGGGCACCCACCGGCAGTAGCACTGCTGCCATACCTCCAGTGAGGACAGGCCGCAGCTGATGGGCAGAGCACTCAGTTTTGTAGATAGTGGTTTTTCCAACTTGAGGGCGTACAGAGGGTTGCGGAAGAGAGCAACATCTTCAGGGCCATACTGCTCCTCCCAGTCCCAAACCGATCTCAAATGTAGAGGGTTGTGGGTGTCCTTCAATTAAAATTTCAAGTGATATTAATATTCAATTTCAATCCTGGGTAATTTGTTTCTTTTTTCCAACAATTTCATTAAATTAATTATTTGATAACAATATTTTCATATTGTTTAAAAAAAATTTAATGACTTACGGTTGCTGCACAAGCTCGTTCTCTTTCACAGTTGAAAATAAAAGTGTCGAAGATTCCCACATGGCAAGCGTCCCACAAGGTGGTCAGATACGTCTCGGTGAATTCAAACTTGCCAGGAAACTGATTCAAAATTTGCCAAACACAGTCCAGGAAAAGCAGAAACATTGGCGACTGCAAATTAGAAATAAAAAAATATTGAAAAATTAAAAAACCGCCAATCGAACCTGATCAACCTCCGATTCAGCAATGAGGCCAAGTCTAGAGCAAAACGGGTGTCCCAGTGCAACCCACTCCTTTTGAATTAGGGACTGGAAGCCTACGATGGAACGAGTTGAGGGGTTGCAAAGCAACTGAACCAGGCTGCTTACAATTGTTGACGCGTCACGTCCCTCGCCCTCTAAAATAGCAAAATTTAGGAATGAGCATTTAGTTATAATTGAAGAGAAAATTACCTTGAAGGACAACAGTTGCGCCGGAAGCCAAAATCTGAGCAGCCTGTTGAGCAATCGACAAACAACCAGACACATAATGCAACCACCTACTGGAGTCCATCCGGCCAAAGAAATCTGGTTCCTGGTTCCAGAACCGACTGGCCGATTCTAAAAAAATATTAATTATCAAATAAAAATATTAAGTTTTAAACTATTTTTGCTCCCAAGTGGCTCAAACACTAATAAAAATTTCCTTGCCTGGCGAGCAGATATCCCGGAGTTTGCAAAAGCTTATTTGCAAGTCCCTCGGTGTGGGCAGGGACTTCTGCAGGTCCATGATATGTGGTTGCCTTTTCTTAGGGTGAGCCTTCCTAACTTGCTCCAGCATCACATTTTCCTGCACCCTGTCATTGATACCAGGCAGCATGTCGGCCATGCGCACCAGGGCTGCACCTTCGTTAGTGCCCCAGCACCACACAGGCGGTCGATTACCTCGGAAGTGTCTTGAGGCAGTTTCCAGCTGCCAGTCGAGGGCTCCCTCAGGAACAACAAAAAAGGAAGGCAAACTTTGAACAAACAAAAAAAAACAATGTTTATAATTAAATTAAAAATATTTTAACAAGTAAATATTTTTACAAGTTAGGAAGGCCCAAAAACTATTTTAGGTATTTTTGGTAACCTTATCTACTCTAGTAAATTTGTTTTAGGCTTACTTTGCTGATAAGTTGTAAGATGTGTTTGATGACGTAATTCTCCAGCCAATGCAATTTGACTTTTTCAACTCATCCAGCCAATCTGATTGATCTTGAAACATTTGGGTGTTGTTTTGATTGCTTCTAACATAGGGTTCTCTGAAAATCATCAAAATTTCTTTAACATAAGAAATATCAATAAATCTCATTGACGAAAACTCACCTATAATCATAAGCAAATAAAAGGTGGTGTCGTCGAGGAAAAGCGTAATGCAGAAGTGCATTGGCAATGCTCCTTCCACTATTCACATTGGCAAACTTGAAGCTGAATGTGAGTGTTCGCATATTCTAAAAAAGAAAATTGTTATAAAATACTAAAATAGTACGATTCGTTTGGAAGAAATACTAACTTTGCAAACAACCAAAAGTCCTTTGATTTTACTAGAAACATTTTGGCCTCCGACCAGCTTCCTCTTTTTATCTCGAGTGATATGGTAGATGCAGTCGATGTTGCATAAACTCACATCGAATTCGTCAAGTAAGCTACTGTGCTGGCATTCAGGGTTCTAAATATTTTAAAGTTAAAAAAATCGATTTTAGTTTTTGGCAGTAAAGCTCACGTCTGTTCTAGTTGAGACGCTTGGGATGAAGGATAGTTTGAAGTTAGTCACGTACAAAGTGCCCGACCTGCCGTGTTTTCGTTCACTCAGTGAAACAAACTGAAGAACATTGTCCTCAGTTGCGGTCACAGCCTCGCCTGTGGATATGAAAAAAATAATAGTAAAAAGTGAATCATCGTTCGAAATCAAAATTCAAAGCAGGTGTGAGGTGTGACGAGCTCTCACCCTTGAGAAGTCGCGGTTGGCGCTGTTCGATGTAAGACTCATCGCCACTGGTGTCCAGACTCTGCAAATTGCGACCACTTTTAGAAAAAATCGCAGCTAACATGTAGGAGAAGCTCATTTTCTTCATGAATTTCTACGTCCCAGATGCATAATTGAATTTCTAGGCTTGTCGTGTCGTCGTGTGAGTGTGCACCGTATGTATAAAAATGTGTACATATTTTTACCTCGGCACCGAAGTGGTTTTCCTTGATGTCGATGTAGCTTTTGAAGCTGTGCGTCATTTTACCAACTGAGAAGGAAAACTGACGAACAGAAATTTAAGTCACATGTTCAAATTAAAGTAACTTAAATGATTAAAAACAGCAACTGCAAACTGAAGCTCCGTGTGTTTACATTTGCGATGCACCTGCCAGATAATTTTTGATGACCCTCCTCTGCTTTTTCTTCTCTCCCACGACGACAGGGCTACCAACTACATACCAACCGCTACCAACGTTAGATTATTTTGCGTGGCGCATTTTGCAGAGGCATAATAATAATATGATAAATATATTGCAATAATTTAATTTATGAATAAGAAACAGAAATGCATGATGCTATCTAATTTATAGATAATTTAAATCTTTTTCATGTAAAATTTTCCATGATCTTGAATAAAACAAAATTGTTTTGATCAGAGAAAAAATTAATTTATAATGTAATATTTTTATCACGTATAAAAAATCAAGGAACATTTTTTTGCTTTCTTTAACAGCGCACCTGCTTTATGTTCCAATAGCACAAACAATTAAATAAAAATCTATTTTAACCAGTATTTAACAAAAATTCAGTTTGTAACACACATATTAAGACTTAAGACGCAAGAAAACATTGTTTAGTGAACTAGTACTTGAGCCGGAATAAACTGCCAAGTGATCCCATTGCCATTGAAAATGTTGACAGAGCGGCGGGCACCCGTTTAGCTTGCAGCAGCAATGACCCTGCCTCTGCCTTGTGTCCAGCTCTTAAGAGACATTCAACAACTTCTTCGATTAGTTCGGTGGCTTCCTCCTTTAGAAGGCATGCAATTATGTAAGGGTAGACAGGGGTCGAAATCACAAGTGTCACAAGATTCCTCTCCAATAGCATAGTAATAAGGTCTGAAGAGACAATCTGTTCCCAGTCCGTTTCCTAGAAATGATGAAGATTAATCTTGCTCTTAAATTTAATCTAAGTATTCCAAACCTTATTTTCAAACAGAATCAACGCCTGTTCCTTTAAAATTGTGTCCTCATTCATCAAATAGAGCTGCAACTTTTGATCAACGCCACGCAGTGGTTGAATCAATTCCAGAAGACCCTATTTTTAATTTTAAACGTCAAAAATATAATTATATAACTTGTCTCAATCACCTCTGACGGTATTCCCTTTGTTATGACAATGTCATGCAAAATTTCAAATATTTCGTTTTGGCACGAGTCTTTCGAATCCAGCATTTGTGGCACCAATTGCGTCCAGAGGTCATTGCACTGCAATCTTAATTAAAAATAATAAATTAAATAAAACCTATTTATACTTAAGTTGATAATTACATACCCTGCTGAGTGCCAGGCCTTCAGCACTTCGCTTAGAGCAATGAGCTGCTGCCAAGATTTTGCTTCACTCAGCAAAAAATCGAAAAGTTTGTTCCTTGTCTGCGGGCTCTCCAGATCCTCGCTCTTCACAGTCACTTCCTGCGAGTCAGGCCAAGCAGTGGCCAGCACAGCCTGTGTAGTGTAAAGGGCACAACTCTTGCCGTCAGCGTCGTCAGATTCCACAGACAACTTTTGAGCAACTCTCTGAAAATAAATAATTGAAATTTAAAAAGGAAATAGCTCCAGAATATAGTTATTACAGGGGTTAACTTCAGAGCTTGCAGTCGGACAGCTGGGTCCACATCCGTGTCAGCGCAGAGTGGCTCAATCTGCGCTCGGAGAAGCGATTTGTCCACCAACATGTCAGGCATATCACGGAATAGTTGGTTCAGTCTTTTTAATATAGCACAGACAAGATCCCATCTTAAAAAAATTTAATTTTTAATTATTTATGGTATTTTAACTTAAATTAAAAAAAAATACCTCTCAGTTTCCCGAGCAACCTGCAGTTTCTTGGTGAGATATGAACCTAAGGGAATGTCTAATATCTTTAAAGAGAGCAAAGTCGTTACACCTGAAAGGGGAATTTCAGACAAGAGGATGTCATCGACAACTGCTTCCACTTCATCCTCCTCCCCTCGAGACATTTCCAAACGCCTTAGATTAGATTTGATTATTATATATTTTTACAAAATTTCTGCAACATTATATACTTTGCAAACTCTAATGAAATAGCCGAGCTTAAATTTTCCATTTTGTCGGCAGAGAACAATTCGAGGTGGTCATTCCAGGTTTGGAGCTTTGTGGCAACAGCGCCCCACTCCTCACTGAAATTAATCAATTCATAAGATCCTCATATCAGTATTTATAAATAAAACATACATTTGCTGTCTTCCTCTGCTAAATTTAAGCATTTCCGACAAAAATTCTAGTCTGCATTCTCTGGAAATATGATTGTATGCGTCACGAGAAAAAAACAATTCTGCAGCCACATCTTCAAACTCGGAGGCACTGAGCTTGCTAAAGTGCTCTTTGCAAATGTTGAATTTTCCCTGCCATTGCTCGTCCGTTGAGTTTTTAGACACCTTAAAATCCAAAACGTTAGATAAAATTGATATCATTAAACATAACAATTTATTACTTGAAAGAATAATTTCAACATCCAAGCTCGGTATAACTGTCCAGGTTGAATAGTGCACCTCAAAGAACCTGGGAGGATTTTTAAGAGTTTGGAGACCATCAAAATATTGTCCTTGGACAAAATTTTGGCAAGCATAGTAAGAACACCATCCGGGTCAGAGCTCAAAATCTTGTAGTCGATGTCCGGGGAAGTTGCGCGAACTTTCTTAATGAGTTTTATGTGCTGACTTGGTGGCAGACCATAGAACAAGTTGGCGTCGCTTATTTTTTGTAGCACCATATAATAACTGATAAGGCGTAAGTGATCTGTGCCAGAGATGTGCGGAAGAACTTGATTTTCAAGCTGCTCTATCTCACCCAGAGAAAGATTTTCCTCTTGTTCTGACACAGCTTCCATCAATCTCTCTTGGTTTACACCTAAGAATATTTGAAGCTTCAGAATAGAAAACAAATTCAAAAAAGAAATTTACCTTTATCGTCCAAAAGCAAATGAGTCAAAAATGAAATTGCCAATTGCGATGCTGAGATCTTGTACTTTTCCGCCAGGCTTTGAGCCAACTCAAGTTGTTCAGGGTTGTCCGTCCTAAATGTGTAAATTGGAGAGCTCGAATTTTAAATAAATTTGCTTTTACATTGCTAGGCCTAAAATGGAATCATTTCTGTATTGTTCATCGTGTGAGAATCTCAAAGGATCAACTCCGCAGTCCAGACTTTGAAGCTGGAGCGTTTGCAAAAATTCCCCTTGCAGTGCGATGAAAGACGAAAGGAGCTTCCGTGCCTCGGAACTTGTTTCCGTGGGAGTGCAGTTTGGAAGTTTGTCCTGATTGATTACATGGATGAGCTGCAAAATATTTTATAAAATATATTTTGCTAGCAAAACAAATAATACAAAGAAACCTGGAAGGGATTGCTGAGTGAGGAATTCACTCGCGCATCAAAATTATCAGGTGGCAGTTCTTCGGCACACACTTTCAGAGCAAAGTAGTATGCAGCTGTTTGCAGGGTAACTATTGATCTTGGAAGCTGCAGGAAGAGCTCCTTGGCTTGGGATAGATCTTTGATCGACGCTAGAAGACAGAGGCCAAGATGGAAATCTTCAGGCAAGACGCTCTTAACAGCTTTGAGTATGACTACAAATTGAGATCATCAGATTTGTTAACAAAAATGTTATTTGTTACCGTCGTCATTCAGTCCAACGTCTTCAGAATCCTTTTCAGTGATTTCTTCCAAAATCGACACTCGCACGATTGAAATCAAGAGATCGATGGTTGGATCACTTAATGGCATGGAAAAACTATCATAGTGATAGCCAAGGCTGCTCTCGTGGCAATTAGGACCATGTAAGTCAGAATAGAAGCTGTGGAAGCCTTGAGTGAAAACTCGGTCTGTGATGGAGCATCGCTCATTTCCAGCTTGTGGAAGCCAACTATAGGAAGTAAAAAATTTAAACATTGTTCCCAAGATTTTGGTTATTTGTACTCAAATGCTGATTTCCAGTATGTCTCATTGCCTATGTTTTGCAGGACGTTTCTCGTCTTGCTTTTCAAAACAGCAGCAGACTGCTGAATTATCCTTGGAATAGCTATGAACTCCTTTCTCTCAACTTCAGGCTAGGATTAAAGTAATTTAAGACTTTTTAACACAGAAGCAAAATTTAAGAGTTACCGAAGAGAGCGCATCACAAAAGTCATCATTGGTTGGACTCATTGCAGTAAAACTGTTCATTGCTCCATCAGCCATTTTGCTACCAATCCTTTCATGCAGCATTTGCATTTCTAATTTGTGGCTAAAGAACATTATGGTTTTTAAAGTCAGCATTAAGTTTGAAAATTATTTATTACCTCTGGTTGATCAGCTCCTGCATTGCGACAGGCTCGCAATTCATAAGCGCAAATGCCAAAAGGCGTCGTTTAACAGCAATATCATGAAAATCAGCACATTCTGCCAATTTTCTTGCAATTTCCCAGCCAGAAGTGTGACATCTATCCATCATTTTCTGACAGATGTCAGCGCAACACGTGTAATCACATGCCTGAGGAAAACGTTTTCAGTTTTTAAGCAAATGAAACTGGTGATATTTACATTTAAAGCAGCTTCAGCAATCAAATTTAAAACAGAGGCTTCTCTTGCCCTTGAGTCATCTTTGCAGATACGCAAAAAACTTGCTAACTGAAGAAGGCGCTGTGAACTCCGGTACGATGTTGCTTTTGCCCTCAAGCAATCTCTCAGCAGCTTCAATTTGTTGGAAGTTAAGCGTACTGTAAGATCGAGTAAGTTTTTTTAATGGAGCTTAAATTATAAGAGGCACATACAAACCTTGAATTGGAAGGATCGAAACTCCAAAATCTTTAAGAATTTGGAGCGACGCAATGAGATCTAACTCCTCCTTGATCTCATCATTTTCATCAGTAATCAACAAAAGGCAACACCTTCAATTCATAAAATTTATTCTCACCATCAAGGTAGGATTAATTGATTTTTACTTTGCGTAATCCATGCTGAGGTCTGCCAGACTTTCAGAGGAGTCAAAATATTCTCTCGAGGCTTTCAGTATAAGAGAAACACTTGAATCATACTGAATTTTCTGTTGGTTATTATCAGACGCTTCGCTTTTGCTGCACTCCATAATTGAGCCAGCATATCGAATGTTTGCTTTATTTCCAGACGCCAGCATCGTTTCCGCATAAATCTGCAGATTTGGGCTATTAAAACAAAAATGGGGGGAAATCAACAAACCTCAAAACATTTTTCCAGTTCAATGCACAAGAAGACTTTTGCCTGCAAGCTTAGCATATCTGTCAACAGGGCACTCCACTGAGCCTGCGTTGCAGTTGGCGTTCTAAAATAGCAGATTTTCTTAAAACTAATTCATATGGATTTTTTGCCAACCTACCTCTTGGTGAGGGATCGAGCCATTTGTGTCAAGGTCATGAATGATGCTTTTTCGTCATTGCCCATGTCTCTCAGTTTGGAAATTGGCAGGCTGAGGTTGGCATGACGACTGAGAATTTCTGCAGCAGCTAAGTGCCCTTGGAGTTTGTCTACTTGATAGTGAAGTTCGAGCACATCTTTATTTGTCTCCCTTTTGTAAATAATTCATTACAATACAATATTCACCAGAAATTATTGAAAATAACTTACCCATAACTCTTTTCAGGCAAGCAGTCAATGTACTGAAATGCAATGTCGAGCTGGTCAGCACCTGGATAAGAGTAGACACAATCCAGAGCAAGAGCGAGTACTTCTTCGGTTGAAGACACAAGAGGCCCAGTTTGCTCACTCTTAAAGTGACGGAACACCTACATAAAAAGAGGGATAATAATTTTGAGTAGGTGCGTGTAAGGTAAAATAGGTATATTGTTCCAAAACAAGCTGTTCCGTGGCCAATCAGATAACTATTCTCCAAGCATGGTATAAATTAACAATGGCACGCAACTTATTTAAAGTGACCTATCTAGTACTCCATTTGTGGTTCAAAAGAATTTTCAAATTATTCCCTATTCCCCCCAGGACATGCCATCAATGCCGAAAGGAAAAAAAATTATTATCGTTTGATGGGACATAAAGTTGATATTTCACTTTCTTGATATTTCGTAGTAGCCAATCGACGGAGGAATTTTTTTTGTAGAAGAAAAATATATATCTACAATATTTTGAGTACATTTTCAATAATTTGCATTAAATTACCTGCAGTGGAAGCACCAAACTTAAACGACTTATATCAACAATCAGGTCATGGAATAGTTTCCTTTTACTCCCAGGCTGCTTCTTTTCGCACCTGAGAAGGTGAGGGAGAAGGAAGCGCCGACAGTCACTGATAAACGTTTCAGACGTAGACTGAAAAGGGGTTTGTAGCAGAGTTAATTATTTAATTTAATAAATAATTATAATAATTACCTTGCTAACTAGTAAATGTGCCTGCTCAAGATTGTTGTACTTTCTAAGACCAGCAAGACTGAGTTTCTCAAGCTGAACATCGTACACCATTGTCTCTAAGGTTGATAGCTCCCCATACAAATCTTCCAAACCCTGGATAATATTTTTTTATTATTTTATGTGCCTTTTGGCTGCCTTGCCTTTGCAAGAGCTATATTTTTATACCGTAACACTCCTTGCTTGGCCAAGGGTGATGAAACTTAATGCGTGGTCAACCAGTTTGCTCCGCTCTTCTAGCTGAGTAGCCCTTGCAATGTACCAATTTGTCACCAAATCTTTATCAAGTACAGGTTTGGCAAATTCTAATAAAGATGGATTTTCGTCATATAGAAGCTTTCCTTCATCATCTTCCATTCTGGTTAAATGTATTTCATTATTATCAGTGTGCATTAATTTTATCTCAATAGTAGAAAATACCTGAAGTAGAAAGTTTCGCTCCAATCCTGATCCCGTAAAATATCTGTTATCCGAGGGACAACTTCCTCCTCGTCGCATTCAGGCAGGAGAGACCTGTTTTGGTTTGAAATAAAAATTAGTATTTTTTCTAATGCCCAAATTGTCTTATCTTCCTATTTTCCATAAAAACAATGGGTGAAGTCCCACCCACAGATTAGACAATTTTCTGCAACAATGATGATACGATATTGTTTCAAAAAAATTATTACCTGTATTCATGAGGATCAATTGTCTCTGGTAAATTGGAGATTATAGGAAGTCTGTGTTTCATGAGACTGTGGCTGTGGTAAGTAAGCATTATGCTCACAGCTTGCCAATTTCCATTACGGGCAAATTCCAGCGCCGATTTCAAAGGAGATTGATTTCTGAATTTGTCATAGAAGTCTGGGTTGTATAGGATGTCGCTTTCTTTGCCCAAAATCAACTAAAATTGTTAATTTAATTTAATGCTAAAATATTAATTACTATTTTTAAGAATTACTTCGTAAGTGGCAAGCATGTCCATGAACTTAAGGAGCTTCTGCCGACTTCGAATGATTTCTGTCTGCTCTGCATTTAAGTCCTCTTGGAGAAGCTGTAATAAATGCATCCATGAAATTATTTATGGTTTAAACTGGGATTTAAAATTTACATCACTAGTGTCAACATTATCAAATCTTTCGGGATCATCCCCATCTTCCAGCGTTTGCAGCTTTGACTCAAATCCAGTCATGCTGTCTTCACTGCTGGAGGCAACAGAGAACAAGACTCTTTTGCTTGTAGCATGAAGACCAAACTGAAGCAACTCTCTTGCTGCTGCTGCAGTTTCAGGTACTCTCTCTGTACTCTCTTTCAGCACCCACGACCTTTTGCTGATTTTGCTCTGAAAATACTCTTCAACAACATTTCAATAATGAAGTGAATTTCCTTACAAGATAATCATGAATAGTTGCGACAGACACTTTCTGGTTACGCCACTGCCGCTGATAAACTAAATCACAGTCCAGACCATAAGCTCGTGCAAGTTGCAGTGCTTCTCCATACTCCTCATTTTCAATCTAATCAATTTCCATTACTTTCGTGTTATTATTTTTTTTTTCAAATAGAAGATATTGAACCTTTCTAGAATAGAGTTCCTCTGGTGTTGTGCTTTTGAGACCAAGCAATCGATATGTTCGTTTCATTATTTTTGGATTAGACCTTGGAGGCTTAAATTTGTCACTATCCGTGACCCAGTACAGAGCGGCTTTGACGGCACCAGCACCTTTGGCCAACATAGAGGCATCAACATTTACTTCCAGGTCATCACTGCTGACCTGTAATATTTTATTAAATATCATACATAAATAGCGCTTGGGAAAATTTTACTTCTTCATCTATCTCTTCCTCTTCCGTAGAGTCGTCAAATTGGGAGCCTGACCTTTTCTTGCTGGTAAAGTTTACTTCGCATTCAAGGCTGAGAAAACCCTTCCCATCCCCATAGGCCGCGGAAATCTGTGGCTGCCCAGCAAAAAATTCAGGAGATTCGCCCAACAAATTTTGTAAATCAGATATCGAGCACACACTGACGGCTCCAGAATATCTTGAAATTATGAGCACCTATAGTTAAATAATTTTTTTTTTTTTTTTAGAAATTCCGATTTCTCTTAATGTGAATTTTCTTACCTGCTCAGACCACCAACTAATGTCTACAGGTAAATAATCGATGCAGTTTTCTTGATATTTAGTTTTTTCCTGAATTCCTTGAATCAGTTGCGGATTTACAGCATTGTGGTCAGGCTGATCTTTTAAGTTCCAGTGTTTGAAAAGACGGAGGGAGGGGATGTGCCAAAGAGAAATAGCACCAGATGTGTGTATGCAGGCCAGGTATCTGCTTTTTGGAGAGACTCGCATGGCCAAAACATCACTCTGTAGAGAGAACAATTTGTTAAATATTATGCAAATCTTTCCCAAAAAATTTGATTTAATTTTATACTTCAGCTTTCTTATCCTCAAATGTATGCTAGTAAGAATATTAATAATCTTAATTTTATTAAGTCATTATTACTTGGTTTGGTAAAAAGTAAACAATTATCAAATAATAATAATATATTACCTGTTGACTGTATCTGAATGAAGGCAACCAGCCCCAAATTCCTCTTGGGCCTTGAATACTGAGCAAGTCCTCCTCACTTGACATGGCAGGAATATAGTAAGGGTGGTCGCTCAAAACCCTCCACACAGATATGCCAGCACTACCACCCCTTCCCTTTTGGTCCATCTGAACATCAGAGGGGCCTGCGAGGAGAAGCAAGTTCCCTGGTTGTAACAAGCAAACGGTGGTGATTCCATTTCGATAGTAAGACGAGAAGTTGAATGTGTGATGCTCGCGGAATCCTTCCGTAGGTGACACCAAAAAACTGCGTAGGTTACCCTTGTAATCGATAGCGATTAGCTCGTACGACCACTTCGGGCTTTTGACCCTATCCTCCAGGAACAAAACTCCACTGACAGCCTCACTTGCATTTGGCCACTCTTCGTTTGGAGGCACTTTGGGCTAAATGTGAGGTTTAGTTTGATTTCAGTGGAATAGTCACAGTCACCTCAATATTTAGAATGTTGCTCCCAAGGAGGTCATAGAGCCCAATTTTTCCAGAGCTAAAGGCACAAGCCAATAAACTGCAGTCGGGACTCCAGACTGCTTTCCTGTACTGCGGAAAAAGGTCTCTGGCAACTGCAGATTATGCATTAGAAAATTTTGGGGGAACCCATTTGATTATTTTACTAGAGGCTTTGCCGACAATTGAAGAATATTCGTCCCTGGACGTTCTGATTTCCAGCATGGTGTCCTCTATGATGGCCACCACTTTTCCTTCATCTCCAACAGCAAATTGCCATGGCAATCTAGCAGAAATCAATCTAGAATTTTTCAAATGCTTTAAATAGGGAAAAAATTGCGCAAAAAAAAGATATTTAAATATACCTGGCAATTTTGTCGTTGACAGTTTCTGATCTTGGAATTAATTCCTTCAACATCCACGGATGAGTTGCAAACTTAAGCAGCTTGTTTTGCGGCTTGGTTAACTTCAACTGAAAACACAATCGACGTATAAAATTACAGAAAATATCAAGCACATTAACCCTTATAATTTCAGCCTCATAAGATTTAGGGTTATGTACTTTATTTTTTTAAATAAAAAATGCTTACAAATATTTCTGGCTCTTGAACCCATTCTGAGTAGACAAGTAACTCATACAAAATGCTGTCACCCGGTTTTTGTCCCATCTTGCAGTTTCTCTCAATTTTTGCGCATTTGGAGAAATTTCAAACTTTTCCAAGAAACTGAAAAGCAGAAGCGATCAGTTATAAGCTGCCAAGCTGATCGTTTAATTTCAGGATATAGTGTTTTAATGCTATAAAATTCGACAAACCTTTGTTCTCACTGCAAATAAATCTTCTTTGATCGGTCAGCGAAGAAAAAATAAAATACAAACATTTGCAGCGATCAGAACATCAGAACCACACCACGTCAAAAATCGTCCTGAAGAAACACAGCTGAGCAGTCAAACACCGGCAGCGAATCAGAAAGTCGGTCCTCCGATTGCAACCAATCAGAATGGGGTGGCTACAAAAAGAAGCGGGGAAAAACCAGACTGCAGATTTAATATAATTAAGTATAGCTGTTATTTCAGTGATGAATATTTTGCTATTTGCATGCATGGCGAAGCGCCTTGCTGCATTAAGCCGAATTTTTTAAATTATGCAAAATAGAAACCATATAAAAATTTTGTGGATTGATTCATCTAAAATTGTTTTTGTTTTGTAATTTTTTTTTAATATTTCGATCGTGCATCTCTTTATAGGCAGAGATTGCCTTGTGGTTAATTGATAGACTTTATTTTCAACTAAATCTCAAATTTTTTTTATTATTTAGATATATATTTATTTTTCTCAATTATTAGACCCCTTGAAGTACATTTTTTTCAACCGGTTGCAATATGAAAATAACAGCATATCTGGGTACTATACAATAATTACCTTAGCATGTACAAAAGCAAAATTACTTTAATACATATTCCTTTAACTGCTTATTAGCAAATAAAAAAATCAAATCAACAAATTAAATAGTGAATGTCAGCGCTTTTGAACTATAACATGCAGTTTCTTGAAAACACCATGACTCAAAATTTTTATATATTACACCATATTAGCATGAAATTCAATCATGCATCAATTGAATCAGCACTGTCATTACGAGCCTCAGCAAAATCTTGATCAGATTCATCGCTAGGCTCGCTGGGTGAGAAAGGGCGCCAGCATTCCACGGTGTCCCATACCCAGCTGGATTTTGTCAAGGGGGTCCTCGACGCATTCTCGGAAAATTTTTAAAGATGACGGGTGTAGCATCTGGCGCACTTTGTCCACCGTTTCTTGCAGCACTTGCAGCTCAAATGCATTGTCACCTTCAGCAAGCACCAAACCCTAAGGAATATAAAATTCATCAGTGTTGCATATAAAAAAATATAAAAGAACTCAAGCAATATAGCTCAATAAAAGTAAAGTGAAGAAACATTAAATTTTTACTATTTTTTTACCTTCAGCTGAAGCATAATGCTGGTCAAAGAGGAAATAAGATGAACTGCCCTATCGCTCTTAACCATATGATTTTGTTTTGCTTCGTTTTGGCGAATAACAACAACTCGAGCTTCTTCCTCGCTGAGTTGACGCAAAGTAGAAGGTGCCACAGCAACCGCAGAGCCAACGGTGTCGTCTACAGACAACTGTCAAAATACATTTATATTTATCAGTTGAAAATTTTGAATTATTTTAAATTATCTAGAAACTAGTTTTTTATCCTAATGAAAACTATTGCTTGTATATTATTGTAATATATAGTATATTTTTAAATTTTTACTAACCCCATCACCACAATTCTCCTGCATGGCATTCAGCAAATCAGACAGAGCGACATTTAGTCTGTCTAGTTCCAGCACAGAAATAGCGTAGCGTCGTACAAAGTCAGGGGGGAACGGAATCCCCATGGACACGCGCCGCTCAGCTTCAGAGTTCATTTCTCTCAGGGAGCTGACACGGAACTGCTTGATTTTCAGAATTTTTTGCAGCCGGACAATTGTCTCCAACAATTTGACAGGGAATCCTCCGGTGCTCTCTGCGTGCTGTGGTTTGAACTTAGGTGGCAGCAATGATGGAGTGTTGTCCATCTTCAAGCGTGAGGTCATCTCAGACGGCAGGCTGCTATACGACCTGGGGCGCATGCGGGCTGCAATGCTTGCCACAGAAATCATCTCAGGGTTATCATTGGACTAAAAAAAATTAAAACTCAGCTTAGATGACTTCACAATTGGCTTGTGGAATTTTTTGAAGTTCCATTACAGTCTGGTATATTTTTGTAATTTCCTGTAGGGCAAAATGTACTTACTAAGACTTCATAATCGGGGATAGAGTGGGTGCCAAGACCCTGTCGGTCGAACGTAATACGGTAGGTGTTATTTGAAGTATCAACAGCGTCAATCGAGCCAGAGAAGAGACCATCTTGGGGCCTGCGAAGGCGAGCCGTGACCTTGGTGCCAATGGAGAGTTGCAAGGGAATTTCATCTGGCAATTCCTTGAACATTGACATATCCGTCGACGCTTTTCTCTGCTGCAGGGCTCTGATTTTGGTTCTTTTTCTCTCCAGCTCACGGCGCTCTTCTTCGAAGAAACTCTGAAAATAATTTAAAAATAACCAGTTTATTAAAAAAAATTGTACATTTAATTGAACAGAACTTACTGGGGAGCACCGACGTGGTTTTCCCATCATCCTTCTTATTTTGCACCACTCGACTCGTGTCAACTTTCGAGTTTTCAGCTGAGGGAATGACTCCTTCAAACAAGTCATGAAGTCATTGTCACCTTGAAACAGAGGCCTGAGAATACATCAATTATTAGAACTGAGGCACTGCAAATTTTAATACGAGATTACCTATCCAAGTTGCTATAGAACCATTCGTAGCAAACCCATTTATGAGCTTTGGGCAGCTTCAACAAGTTTCTGAGCCGAACGCCAATTTTCTGTGCAATCTTCTTATCTGGGGCCACAAATGTGTCAGACGTGAGGATTGAAACACCTTTGACTTTTTTCTCTGACTGAGGCTTGGTCTCTTTTTTCTTGGGCGGCTCTTTTTCCTTCTCTTTGACTTCTTCTTTATCTTTCGATGTTGATGCAACCGGAGGTGTGGGTACCACTTTGGGGGTGGATTTCATGGCAATCTTGGGGGTCGTCACCTTGGGGGTAGATGGAGGGGTAGGCTTGGGTGTCGCAGGAGTGACTGCTGTTGCTTTTTTAGGCGACTGCTTGGTTGGAGTGACAATATCGTCATTTTCATAAAGCCTGTTTTTCTTACGAATGCGCTGTGGCTGTGGAAAAATTGCATAACATAGGAAAATTAATTTGAGAACTTAAGTTTGAATTGTTAAAATCAATTTTAAGAATAAATAGGCATGCAAAATAAAGAACAAAATATTTTAGCTATAAAATATGCAACTGCTTAATTAATTTAAATTAACGTTTAACTTTGAAGAGAGGAAAAGTTTGTAAAACGTCACAGATTAAATCAAATTCAAAAGATTGTATTTATGCTATGACTATATTTAAATAATAATATTACCATTCCACGTTTGTTCAGCACAGTGGCAGCAAGGTCAGGGGTCGGCTTTTCACCTTTTTTCGTCTTTTTGCTGGTGCTGGGAGATGGAGCTGCCTCCTCCTCAGGTTCATGCTTCATTCTCCGTTTTGAACTCATTGTGAGAAATTGCTAAGACTGAAATAAAAGAAAAGCATGAAAATTCTATTCACAATTTTCGTAATTTACAAACTAGAAAAAAAATTGTATATAATTCTTAAAATTAAATTTGTTAAATTTTACATAAAATTTAAGAATTGAGAAAATGTTAAGTAAAAAACACCAAACTATAGCTCAATAATGGTGGCTTTGTGAAAGTATGTAATTGTAAATTAAGATTTTATCAAACAAGCCGGGGGTCCTCTAAACTGGTCCTATATAAATTTAAGTTTAAAATATTATTTATCGTCAAGTTTCTTTCATCTGCAATTAACCTTAGGCTAAATTCTTAATTACATATCAATAGTTATAAAAATGACAACAGAACCAACAGCTCTAAGTTGCTGCATGCTAACGTTATACACTCAATATTTAATTATCTTCTGGGTACCAATACCAAAATGGTATTATGTAGTGGGCACCAAAAAATAATTGAGCCATTTTGCAGCTTCACAAATTTGGTCCAAATGAAACGATTTCAAATTAAAAACACGCTAAGCTCTGGGCGAACTAATTAGAAAACGCAACCTAGAATTTGATTTCAAGTTATTAAATGAGCTATGGAAAACCTTCGATCAGAATTTTGGCAAAATAACTCCCTGACGAGTCCGCAATTGTAGATAACCCGCCAAACGCAGACATACAAAAACTCCCGGGCTGAACGAGTCCAATGGGGAGGGACGAAAATACTCCAAATGCCACAAAACTTATATTTAGCATGCAAATTTTTGGTTTAAGTTTGGAGATTTACCAAATATATTGTCTCCAAGCAGCAAAATCAGGCCGAATGAGCGTGGCAAAGTCGAAAAGACTGCAAAAAGCGTCAGGCATCCGCCATCTTCCTCTGGCTTTTTCAAACGCGACGCGCCGCACGGGCGCAGACTCGTTGCGCAGTAACTCGGCGCACTATCTGGCAACGTCGGAACTGTCGGAAGAGTGGGCCGTGCCGCAGCTACACCCACAAAATTGAATGAACTCCGGCTGTTCATTGTTCATTCACCATATATTATCACATCCATTTGACACGACAAGACTCTTTGATCTACTAATATTTCTACAAAAATGGCTAAAGTATAGAAAGAATAGCATTTTTTACCCTTCTTTACAAACTTTTTACTTCAATCTGTTATAACGTTTTGTTTTAAGGTTCACGAATTCACTGTTGAGATGACTTGCGAAGGGTGCTCTGGTGCCGTCGAAAGGGTTCTTGGCAAACTGAAAGGTACAGCAAGTTGGTAAATTAATTTAATTTTTAGTAATATTCGCCTTCCTTATAGACAAAGGTGTGGAAAAAGTTGAGATTTCATTGGAGAAACAGCAGGTCCTTGTGACCTCCTCAATTGATGCGGACAGCCTGCTGGAGACCATAAAAAAGACGGGAAAAACCACAGCTTATGTTGGGTCAACAGATGCTTAGTTTTATGGTTCCTGAAAATTCCACTAGATAATGTGAAATAATGTTTATTTGTTTGATCCCGTTTAAATTTTATTTTTGTATGATTAAGTTAGGATAAATTCTTGTTACCTCTCAAAACAAATATAATTTTGCTGATGCGAGTGAAAAAATAAAATAAATTACCAAAGATTCAGCTCACTGTACTTTTTTTTATTGAAATCTTGTTTTGAAGTAAATTTGGACACTTTTCGCCACTTTATTATAGTGAATGAACTTAATGAAATTAGAACACGAAATAAATGCGAATGACAGATATTTGTTAGCGAGGGAAAGATTAGGTGAGAAAATGCTCTTCATCGTTCAAGTCAGTCACATTATATTATGAATATGTGTGAAAATAAATGTCCATAATTGAGATCTGAATGCAACAAATTTGGTTAATGAGTTAACTAATCAGTTACCAAGAAAACGTCTAATAGACACCCAATCAAAGTACAAAACTTGCATGAAGAGAACAAATAATGGAATAATGAACAAAATAAAATGTAACTGCCAAATTATGGTGTTGGGACTTCTAGGGAAGGGTCCAGATCGGGACGACTTACTAAAAATTGTAAAATTCTCGGCCAAGTGCCCGATGATCGGATTACCGAGGACTAAAGCTAGTAGGAAGTGGCAAAGAGTTGCACTAGAATGTCCTGACCTTGACCCTTTCCATAGCCGAATTGATACAAAGATGAGTTTCGAGTGGGTTCGTCTTAAAATTATCAATTAATATAATACTTAAAATCACGTAAAGTTTGTATAATCAAAAAATTTTACATATCAACATCGCCTCTTTTCACTTCACATTTGTGATACAGGTGAACTGATTTGCTTTTTCTTAGGTCCATCGATTGCAACAATGAATGATTAGCTTAAGTTTACTAGTCATTTCATTTTTCTCGTAATTTCTCTTGAACAAAAAAAAAGAGATGCAGAAATCTTTCTCTCTTGTTGAAAACAAAAGACTTCTCTCTCATTAATAGCGCTTTAAGTGGAATTCATCGTAAGTTGGGAGCTCGCCGGACAGAGGAGACACACATTGGGGGAGAGTTAGTTCCGTTGCTTAGATGGTAGGTTGATCACGAGTTGTTGCCCTCTGTGTCTGCTTAGTGTCTCCTTGCCCTGGCTCCGAACATGTCTTACTTGACGTCTTACTGTTGCTGCTTCACAGGCTGGCTCTGCTGCGGCCTTGGGTTAGGGTTGCCCCCTGGGGCTCCACGACCACGGCCACCTCTGAACTGTCCATTGGGACGAGGACCTAACAGAGATAAATCTTTGATTAGAATTTAAAACAATTAAACATTTCAAAAACTAAATCAAATTATTTTTAAAATCTTCTAAGTATTGTTAAAAGGCTATACTAAACATAATATCCAAAAACAAAACTTCCTTACCTCTGCGGCCTCCGCTGTTGTCCCTTGGCTCCTTTTGGTCCCGCCACTCCCGAGAATCCTTCCACTCCTTGTTCTCTCGTGGCTCGCGTGGTTCACGGAACTCCCGTGGCTCGCGTGGTTCACGGAACTCCCGTGGCTCTCGAGGTTCGCGATACTCACGGGGCTCACGAGGCTCTCGGAATTCACGTGGCCCATCTTTTGGAGGACCACGACGGAAGCTTCCGCCCTTCTGATCAGATACACCATTCTCATAGCTGCCTTTTTCACCTTCTGGTCTGTCCTGGCGGTAGCCACCTGAATTGAAAATTTGAGGAATACAGTATTTATTTACAAATTCCTGTATAAAGCTTAATATTAATAAAAATATTAACCAAATGCCTAAATGAACCAACAGAATTTTGTTTAGCAGCCCGACAAAACGGCAAAATATTTAATACATTTATTATGTAACTGAAATAAAATATTACCAGGGCGTCCCTGACCATTCTGCCTGGGCCTGCTACCATATCCATTGCGATCAGCACCTCCACGACCACGACCTCCTCGGCCGCCTCCTTTTCCCCTGAAGCCACCTCGCTGTTGCTGGTCGTCACCCTCAGCACCATTCCATGTGTTACTCTCCTTTTCCTTTTCCTGCTCTTGCTCCAATGTGGGAATTGGCTGGAACTGGCTCTGCTGCTGCACCTTCTGCTGCTGTGGTGGGAAACCTGGTGGTCCGTTGGTTATGTTCTGAGGCTTTGGCTGTTGGGTGAGGCTGCTATAGGTGGCCGCCTGAGCAAAAGAGGCGGGGGTGGCCGGCTGCTTAGGCTCTTCGGAGCGTTGTTGCAATGGCTGGGTTTCTTCAATGAAAGCAGGGGGCTGCTGGGTTGGAGGGTACGGCTGCATTGTGGTTTTTGGGGAAACTGACTGTGGGTGAGGTGCTTGTGGTGGAGGAACTGCACCTTGGGCCATCACCTGAGAAACAAAAAGTTTTACATCATAAGTTTAAATATGATATTACAAAATCAAAAAGAAAAATAATAATATTAATGAACTTCAACAAACCTGGAAACTTTGGTTTGTGAATGTCTGCGATGGAATGGCCTGGATAAAGTCTGGTTGTGGCACTGCTGAAGCAGCAGGTGCAGTCGGAGGTGCCATGCCTGGAGGGAATTGTGCCATCATGACTGCTGCTGGTGGTTCGGCCTCAATCTGCGACTCCTGCAGAAAGTCAAAGGCGCTGTTGCTCTGTCCAATGACATCACTGATGGTCTGGCGGGGTGGCAAGTGGACGGGCGGCTGTTGTGGAGGCGGCACAAAGTGTTGTGGCGGTGGCGCAACCTGTGCTGCGACAAAGTATGGTGTCTCGACCGGAGGGGCCATCAGAGGGGCATCCACGATTGGAAGAGGGGCAACCAGTGGGGCAACAGGGGGCAGGGTTTTCAGGGAGGGTGAGCCACTTATCTCTTTCTTTATTATGGCAGGATCCACAAGGGTGTCTTCAATTTCAACCACATCAACCTCCTCAGGTTCTGGTTCCTTATAAATAAAAATAGATGAAAGTTAATAAAGGTTGGGTATGTATTATCTTGTTTAAATACTTTTTAGCTTATAAGATAAAATTTTATTATCGATATGATGGCACTGAAATTTGTTAAGTGATAACCTAAATTTGTACTTAATTCGAAAAATTTTGATTTTTTTTTAACATTTTTTCTACTTAATTCTTACCTGTACAACAGGAGTGGCTGTTTGTACGTTCTTGATGTTTCTAAAGTAGTCACAGTTGTTGACGGTCATGATCAGGTCAAAGATTTCAGCATAGGTCTTGGTCGTCACACTCCACTCCTTCTTCTTCTTGTCCAACAAGTTGACCAAACTTTGGGCAGCACCAGAGACAATCTCGTCATTGCCAGACTTCTTGGGGAACAAGAAGCAGGCCAATTTTTCCAGAACGTCCACATCCTCTTGGGTAACAACGACAGCGCCATTCTTGCCCTCGAGGAAGTCAGATCTAACCAGCTCATCTTCAAAACTTTGCAGTACGTCCTATTGTACATACAAATTTGTTAGAAAATTTTAATTGAAATGATTATTTAAATATATATAATTTTTTTTTATCAAATCTACCTGAATAATGATGATGTCCTTGGTTCGCTGGATGTCCCTTTGATATTTATCAGACTGTTCCTTAGCCAGATCCTTTTTCTGCTGCTTCTTTGTCACCTTGGCGTGGTCCACTTCCAACTGTTGGATCTGCTTGACCAGATCGTTGGCAAAAGCAAGGGTCTGGATGACCTCATCGTACTTGGCCACTGCCGATTGTTGCTCGCTGTTCAGCTCCTTGCCATTCTTCTGCTCAGTTTTATAGGCCTCCAGCTTACCCTGCAAAAACAATTGTTTAAGTTTTGGAGATTGTGAAATTTGTGAAGAAGTTCAGGGACAGCGTACTAATAAAAATAGCAGGCAATCGTTCGTTGATGGAGTACATAAATAATAATTCATCATGGATTAGAAATGTCTTTTTAATAATTGAAGAAGGGTCATTAATTTTTTTAAATAATCAAACAAGCATCCCAAAATTTTTAGACCCTTATTCAGTGCTTATCTTTATTGTAAGCAATTTTAATATATTATTGCATCAACATTGAAATTTGTATGGGGGCTGATACATAAATAGATTCTCAATTATCTTAATTTTCATTGAAGCCATTATCTTCGTTGTCACACAAACAACACGTAATGAGCATTGTTCACAGAAAATTAATGCGGAAGTTTTGGCCGTGCACGCAAGCGACAGCCATGGCCTTGGACAGTGCGCCTTTCACGCGCCGGCGTTTGGCCGCGCCCGCCGAAAACGGCCAAAAGAGACCACTTTCCTACAACTAATAGCCGAAATTACGGCCGATAAACTTAGTGAGCAATCGGATGCCGTAAATGAATGTTCCATCGAAGGGAGGGCGCATTCGATAACGAATCAGAGCACATGGCGAGGACCGAAGAGCAACATGGCGACGACGGGAAGTGATTTTCAAAGGGCGATTTAGGGGCGAAATTCAACGCGTTGGCCGACGATTTTTATACCTTTCGCTTCTCCAAATTGCGCTTTTTGTGCTCGATCATGGTGAGAACCTGCTTAAGCGGTTCCACCACCTCTGTGGAGGTTTGTTTCTCCAGCTTCGCTGAGGCAGAAGGCATCCTTCGTACGGCAACAACTCGGATGAATTTTTCGTTCCATTGCGCAGATAGCTTGCGCAGCAAACAAAAGACGGTGCAAAGTTGCAAAAAAATCGCACAACCACGCCCCCAGTCAGTGGACTCATTGGAGAATCGGCAGCTGATTGTCAAAACAGCAAACAAAAATTTTGATTATCGCAAGTATGTAGGACAAAATTTTGTATTTTCATCTCTTCTTTAACTAAAATTCCATTCTCTATGTTAGCAGATAATCAATAATGCCGAAAAAATTTGTTGGTGAAAACAGTAAAGCCGTGGTTGCCAAGGCCCGAAAGCAAGCAGCGAAAGAAGAGGAGACTGCTCGTAAACAGAAGGCCATTGAGGATGAGTTTTGGAGAGACGATGACAAGCAGTTGGCTAAGAAGCAGCAGCGAAAAGTATTTCATTTTTATGGCTGTTGAATTTTGAACCGAGAATACAAATAAAATTTTTAGGAGGAGCAAGAGAAAAAGAAATTAGAGGCGCTGCAGAGAAAAGCAGAGAGCAAGGCCTCCTTAGAGGAGGAGGTTAGCAAAATTAAAATCGGAGGGAAGCAGACACAGGCGAAAGTTACCAGAGCTGAGATTGAGGTAATGAAAGATGGCAACCTCTTAATGCTTAAGTTATTTATTAAAAACAAACATACAATTCACCACAGGCTGAAGCTGAAAGGAGACGTGTGGCAGCACTTGCCGCCAACAAGAAGGAAGAGGTCAAAACACACATAGAAAAACCCTTGGTCGAGAATGTAAACCGCTTGGATGTTGAGGGACTTGAAGCTCGCAGCATCGATGATGCAATCTCAGTCCTGAGGTAAAAAAAAAACAATTTTGTGATGATTTTTATAAGTTATTAATTGAAATCATTTGATTTTTTTAGTGAAAAGGAACCTGAAATCGACCGCCACCCTGAGCGAAGACTGAAAGCTGCTTATGCTGCGTTTGAGGAAGAACGTTTGCCACAGCTGAAGGCTGAACACCCTAACATGAGACTATCGCAAATCAAGCAACTGATTTGGAAAGAATGGCTGAAGTCGCCAAAAAACCCAGTGAACCAGAAACCACAGGCTTAATATACATAGTATCTATCTGATGTTGCTGTGAAATTCTAAAACTGACACTGCATGTTACTGTGCTTCGAAATTTTCTGTAAATAAAATAACCACAACTTGAACAATAATTGCATATCCAAAAACTTGTATATCCCTCTCGGGTATGATTAATTTGTGGAGATACTTGTTTATTTAAAATATTTTTAACAATGGACAGTAAAATCCAATTAATAAATGCATTATAAAAGCATCTTTACATTGAGGACAGCATTTGGTTGGCTGCAATACTGGGCTAATCAAATTTAATGAGTATTTCGGTCATAATTTGTCATGACTAAAGCATATTAAAATAAATTAAAAAAAAAGGCACTTCCGTGAGAATTCGCTAAATATCACTTGCTCAGTCCCTTGCCCTTTTCCCACAACGTTATGAAACAATGGATCATGTGGCACAGTTCGTCGGGAGTCTCTTGCATTGCAAAATGTGTGGCCTCCGGCAATATTTCCAGAAAAGAGCGTGGGATCGTCTAAAAAAAGTGATAATTTACAGCAGTAATTTAAATCGGGCTGAATATTCACCCTCTCCATTTCACATTCTTCAACGAGTGTTATATATGGGTCGTTCATCCCGTGCACCAGGAGTGTGGGTATGGTAATGCGACGGTGAAAACTGGAGTCGCCCTGAGGCCAGTGCTGGCCCTGTCGCAAATAGAGTAAAACTTTTGGTGGAATGTCAATGTTATCACAGAAAATCAGATTCTTTCCTCTTGGAGCATAAAAATACTCCCTGAAAAAATATTATATTTAAATTCAGATACAATAAATTCAGCATGAAATTACCTTCTAAAACCACAAAGGAGAAGAGGTTTGGCACATCCAAGCAAAAATCTTGGCAAGGCATATATTCCACTGGGTGGGGCCAAAGGGGTTGGTCCACCTCCGCTTATCATAACCAACTGGGAGATACTTTGTGGTCGGTATCTTGTTACTGCAGCACCAAAACTGCAACTGATTTTTTGTAAGGTTTAAATTATTAAACTTTGCTTGAACTTTTTTAACAAACTTTTGTTTAAAAATTATAATAAATTTTTACCCATAGCCATGTGTGATAAGAACACATTTTTTGTTTCCAGTGACATAGGTATCAAAAATTTGCAACGCATCTTGTAGTAGACAAGCAAAAGAATATGCTTTGCTTGAATTTGGCGCAGAACTGAATCCATGTCCCAACATATCAGGTGCCAAAACCTCATAGCCTGCTAGTGCGAAGTAGTCAATAAGGTAAGTCCAGGCTTCAGCACTGGAGCCAGCACCATGCAGGAACATGATCATTGGTTTCTGAGAAAAGAGAAAATATTAATAATTAACGATAATTAATAGCATTAAAAATTTCATCCAAGAGCCAATTAGAGATCATATATTTCTTAGCACATTTAATAATAAATAATTAATACTAATTAAACCTGCTCTAACGCGCACCACAAACTAAATATAAAAAATATAATGACGCTGTTTTCTGCTTAAATGATATATATAAATTATGAGACTAGAAAAACTTGCTTTGATTTTATTTTCTTCTTCCGCCGTCATTTTGATGGGCAGCTTAACTTCTTCTACAACAACAGCAGGTTTGCTAATTTCTCCGTGCAAATCTAGACCACCCTTAGGCTCGTCACTAACAAATGCTTCGTTAACAAAAGTGCTGTCGATAGAAATATTAATGTCGGCAATGTCCACGACATCTTCGTCTCTGCAGGTTGAAATGATTTTTTCCGACGCAGCTGTGATTGCGTCTTTGAACACCTTATCCAGCAGGTCATTGGCAATTTTTTCAACATCTTCATCCTTTTCAAGAGGGGCATCCTTTGTGCCAAATTTAGGTGGTGCGTCAGTTTCCGACACGTCCGACGACAACTTCCTCTCCGCTTCCTTTTTATGGAAACTGTATCTCACAGAGTCTCTCCTGATGAATGCTTCCAACTGTTTCTGCTTAGCCTTAGCCTTGTTTTTCATCAACCTGTGTAAGAAAGAATAAAATTGAAACATTCAATAGCAAAAAAGCATGAAAAATAAAAATATTTTAAGAAATATGGAAGTTGTTAGACAAAAAAACAAAAAAAAAACAAGTCATTCTTAGCTTTAATATTCCACTTTCAAAAAAAAAAATTAATTTTTAAATTGAAAATGAAATAATCAAAATAATGAAGGACTTAAAAGTGTATAGATTTCAATTTTGTACAAGTTTCAAACAATTTTAAATTTAACAATTTTTCAGTGTTTATTTTTATATGATTTTGAAGTTAATGAATATATTTTTGACGTCACTAATAAAAGGTTTATAATTATACCTGTAGGAGCAGTGAGACCCTCGGACAAACCAATACTGATCACTTGTAGGTTCCACCGACGGTTCCTCGATATTCTCCACCTCCTTGTCAGACTTCTGCTTATTTTTTTCGTCATCCTCAGGATTGTGGTGGATGACCCTGATGCGGCGCTCAGGGTTCAGTTGCAGGTACTCAAATTTGTCATCGTCGGCCTGGCTCAGGTCCGTCTCTGCAGGACGCACCCTGTGGTGTCTACGCAATACGGCGGGGATGCACCTGTTGCACAAGTGGCCCAGCAGGCGCCGAATGCGCGGCGCCGACAGGGCGCCGTTGCAACGCTCCCCAAGGGTCGGTTCCGGCATCAGGATTCGGCTCATCTCATAATTACGACGTGTAGAGGAAGAGCCGCAGGGTCGAGGAATGTTCAGGGACTTTCTACGCGCGGCTGTTGTTTACATGGTCGATATTTAGCATTCCCCGTTCAACTGCTTTCCTGATCGTTGATTGTCACACTAGAGCTAATCCCTATGTCACACTGTCACAGTGTCACTTTTGTTGACTTGACGGAAAACAAAAAGGGAAAGGAAAAGGAACGCCTTATGCTTTTTTTGTAGTGGGAGGGTAGGGGAAAAGGGGAAACTATCAGGTGGGGGGAAATAAGTCAGGCGGCGGCTTCAGGCTTCAGGCAGAGCATGAATTAAAAGTTCAAAACACAATTTTCAATAATTTTATTGGATAAGTTTTTAAATTCTTTTAATTATTGCATAAAAGTATTGTATTATGTTTCAAATCTTATTTGATTATCACGGATTATCATATTAATTCTTCAAGATTGTTGAAGATCATTCAAGATAATAATGTGCTTTTTAGGATGTCAAAGGGGAACATTTAAATTTGTAATTAAAAATTATGAACGATAAAAAGTGTGTTAAAATAAAGTTTTTCTCTCTATGCCGACATATAAATAAATATAGATTTTTAATATCATTGGAAAACTATTTTGTACAATACAATATATTAATTTCGATACTTTTTTCTGATATTGGGTTGTAAATAAAATTTTTGAAATTTTTGCTTAGATTTGATTATAATAATCTATGTGTGATTTTATTAAGATTATTATCTAGACTTAACAATTGGATTAATATAATTATTAATTACAAGTTGCAACATCTAAAACTACCAGAAGAGGATGACATCTCAAATCTTATGTATAATGGCTCACTGCACTTCTAATTTGAGAGTATGACTCAATTTATTTAAATGAGTATAGTTTCTAATAATTATTGTTGTTTTTAATGCATTAGTCAATGTTCTCATAAAACATCATTATTCACAACGATGAAGTGACATGACAAATTTGTTTATTACAATTACAATGATATGTGTAATGCAAGAGCAGTGCAGTTAATTATAATAACTTGACTATATGTGCAAAAAGTGTCAACGTCAAAAGAAAATATTTCATCTTTGATTCAAATCAATGGAAATGGAATGCAATAATTAAAAAGATTTAGGTGCATAGAAAAATAAAATAAGTATTTCATAAATATTATAATAACGTAACAAGCAAAAAATATATTCTTGTACATCCATTAATTGGCAATTCATGAAATTAAGGTCAAAGTTGGAAAATATATACTTTATATAAAATACTATTGTTAACAAAGAATTACGTGTGATATTAGAAAATTTCATTAATTTTTGGCCACAGCTAAATTTGCTAAATTTAATAAATTGTGGTCACGTTAATCACAAATATTTGATAAAATGCTTGGCTTTATTTTAAGAAGCATAAGCAAAAAAATGTCGATTGAGAAAATCCAAGCCAGAAACTGGCTGCTATCAACACCCAACCCTCTTTAATCAATTTAAACATTTTGCTACTGCATCATCACAATGATATTTTAATGTTAAAATAAAATTATAAATTTTGTAGTAGAATATTAACGATTGAGGGTTGATTCATGGTGATTTGAATTTAATGTCTGCTTTTTCTTGATGGTTTTTGTGTGTTTATAATTGTTTAATTAAGAAAAACAATATCCTGCTCTACATGTTTTGGTTGCGGGCTGCAGCCATAATTCATAAGCTTTCTCGGAGGTGGTCGAGAAACATGAAAGGGCAGGATATTGTTTTTCTTTAACAATTCACAAACCCATCGAGGAAAAGTCGATTTTAAATTTAAATCACCATAAAAGATTTTAAAGTTTGAGGCCTCACTGTCCAATACTCAATGTTTCTCAATAATTTAACAAATTCAGTTATAAAAAATAATAATGAGTTATACTTTTCAAAATGTATTTTCAACATACAAAGCTGCTAACGAGGCACACATTTTTTTTTTTTTTTTTGAAAAAGATATTCCTGATAAATCCTGTTAAGCAAATTAAAAAAATCTAATAATATAAATTTTGCTGTGGGTGTAATCCTAAGTATCCTTTTAAATTTTTTTTTTATTATTAGAATTTAGTGCAAAATATTAACCAATGGCTTTCCAGCTTCTAATTGATTTACACATTTTTCGTGTTAAATTGATAGATGGGTGCTTTCATGAGGAAAAATGATGAACATTGAGATTTTAGATTTTTTTTAACATTCTAGGCTCAATAATAATTACCCTGTCTAAGTACATATAAGCTTTAATTGGGAAGACGGGTACAAAATAAATACAGTTGTAAAATGCTCAGGTTATTTAAGGCCAGATTTTCATTGATTAGAAAGGGTAAAATCTACATTTTCCCCCAAAAAAAGGAGTTTTAACAAACCCCCTGATATAATTGAGTTTTCTTATATATAGTGTATATTATCACGTAATAGAGACTAGCAAATAATTGGTTTCTCTGAAGAAAATTGCACAATTTTGGTGTTTTCTGGACAAATAAATTAACCTAAAATACCATTTCCTGCTGACAAGGAGGCCGCAACACTTAACTCTTTGGTTTGCTCTAACTCCTCGTCCTATCCAAGAAGAAAGCAGGGATAGTTAGAAAGTCAAAGAATAAATTACTCAAGCTCATACTTCAGTGTCCTGAACATGCTGCAGACCTGAGCAGCAATGGAGCATTAGGACAGTGATTGCCTGGACTCGTTTCTCGGACTTTGATAGCAAGAATTGCCGAGATACCTTTTCACTTTCATCTTCTGCTTCAGCTTGAAGAGCTTCTTGAATTTGCATTTCGCGATCCATAGAAACTTTCAACTTGGAAATCTGAAAAATGAAATAAAAAATTTGCTATTATAATACCAATCAATAATAAATATTAATTTTGCTTTTACAAAATCCGTAAAATTAGCAGCGAGTTTGTTAAATATACATAATAAATAATCCTGTGAAGCAAATTAAAAAAATCTAATAATGTAATTAATGTAATAAATTTTGTTGTGGGTGTAATCCTAACATGGATTTAGTAAAGCAATGAACTCTTAATCCTAATTCCTAATAATACATAATTATAAAGCATCAAACATCCCGCTGTTTTCCCCCACTCAAATTAAACATTGAAAGCGGTAGTTTTCACACTCAATAACCGGTTTATTTTTTGTAAAAAACTAAAACCCTGCTAAAATTGACTAAAATCATTTTATTGTCATAAGATTATAAGTCATTCATGTGAGAATTCTATTAAGTAACACATAAATTAAACAAATATGTTAATTTTCCAAGAAATTATCTCAATTCATTTTATAGCATGATATAAAAAAACCGGTTTTATTTCGAAAGCGGTATAACCGTTTTCTGGCATACTAGTAAACAAAACAAAATACATAAATCCAGCAAAGAAAACAAAAACTGCATATATTATTTAACTCTGGTTTTGAATAATCAACAAAATCAACAACGTGTAATGGTAATAATTGGCACATTATAGACTTTGACAAAATATTCGTCAATTTAATTTATCAACAGGAAGAATTCTGAGCCAAAAACGATCAGTGTGGCAAAATTTAGCAGCTTCGATTCAGAAGAAGGACAAAAACCTGGTCAAAATGGGAGTCACAGTCTTGCTTCAGTACCCCATTGCCGAAAACAAGACCGGCCCACAAACGGCAGACCAGCTAATTAAGCGAATCGGTGCCCTTGGAGCATTGCAAAGCGGCCAATTTCTGGTCGACTGCGAAACCTACAGCTCTGTGCCCTCGATGGGTGGCCCTCCTCGTACCGTGCACGTTCTCCACAATTCAGAACAGCCGGCTGCCGTGTTTGCTTTGCTTGAGAGTCCGGGCCCACCACCCAAGACCGTGCCTTTAGTGGCCGACGGTCTTTTCGACCTGCTCATGATCAAAATGGGCAGCATCTACCAGAACAAGAAGCAAATACGAATGGAAGCTCGTGGTGCCCGATTTGAGCTAGGAGACTTTTTCATCAAAATTGGAACAGTTACGATGGGCCAGAATTTTAAAGGAGTGCTAGTCGAAGTCGAGTACCGCCCGTGTTCCATTCCAGCAAATTGTTGGGACCTGCTGCGCGAATTCATGCAGTCCTTTCTCGGAAGTGTTGTCCAGAACTCTCCTCCTCCTTATTTCCAAATTCAGAACAAACTGAACGAAGTGTACCAACCCTTGGACACAATTCAGCAGTACCTTGATCACTTCAGCTCGTATAGAAAAGTAGCCGGGCTCTAAATTATTTCATACTGTTTATATATCACTAAATTTTTGAAATGTAATTTTAATTATGTAATGCTCTACTTTCATATAATAAACATAAATAAATGTTAAGCTCATAAATTTCAGTTTTTAAATTTTAGGTTGCTGGCTTCAAAGCTTCTTTTTAAATAATAACTTTTCAATTCTTTTATACATTAAAATTCCTACTTACAAGTTTGTTGATTTTCTCCTTGCGTCCAGGTTGTCCGCAGTAAAGCTCCTTTCCTTTGTCTTTGGCTAAAGACATTATGTCCTCATTGTCAAAAGATCTTTGCAGAAGTTGCTCCATGGCTTCCTCGACCAAAATGTCATCGACGGTATCATCAAGAGCAGCCAGACCTCCAGGTAAGTCAAACAGCGCAGGGTCTGCAATTGACGCCTGAAAATATAATTAGGACTACTTCCTAATGGTTAATTTTGCCAACAACTACCTTTCTACTTGCTGAGGGTGACACTTGCGGAGAGTGAGGTAGACTACGAGAGAAGCTCAGAGACAATGAAGGTGTCGTGTTGTTTGTGCTCGGTGCAGATCCCGTTCCATCTGGAGGAGCTAAATTGCTGGTCGATCCTGCTCGTTTCATGTTCCTGTTGTGAGCTGCATTAGCAACTGAAGCCAGCAAGCCTCCAAGTCCTCGTTTTGAACTCTAAAATAAACAAAATTGAGGAAAAATTCACGAGCAAGATTTTTTCCTCTTTTACCTGTGGTGTTGGAGATGCAGTAATATCTGCACCTAAAATTTCACCCTCGACTTCGGTGGTAACAATCTCAGGCGTTTTTGTTGGAGAAGTTCCTTGAGAAATTGACTGGTCGTCATCACATGGCACACAAACTGCCGTTGCCTGACACTTAGTAACACACTTTTTGTGGCACGTCATCTTGCACGACTTGCACTGCACTGCATCTTTCAGCCAGATCTTTAAAAATTTAAGGAATATAAAAATTATAAATTGAAAAATATGAAGTCCAGACAACCTTTTTACTGCAGAAATCGCATTGGGTGGTTCTTGAAAAGTGGGTTCTGACAAAATCATGTGCAGTTCCATCGTCGGCGCAAGTAACCGATCCACCTGGTGTTGCAGGTTCGTGTGCTGGAGAGTCCTTGCCAATTGGTGTATTCAAAAGTGATGCTTCCATTAGGCCCTCAGCATCGCCTTTAGCAGAGAAAGATGCTCTGGTTGAACTTGGAATGTAACCTTGACTCTGAGAATCTTGAACCAAGACGAAACAAAAAAGTGCATCGCCAAAACAAAAGGAAGGGTCAAAACCGGAATGTCCATTCAGTTGATGAGGTTTTCTAATGTTGGAAATTTCAATAAGTATTTTAGGATATTGTTATAAAAGTTGGAACTTACTGTGTAACACAGGGTTCTAGTAGCTGCCACTTTTTGATCAAATGGCCGAGACCAGTGATGGTGCACTTGTCAATTATCTTATACAAAGGAATGCTTAGGTGGCCCATCAAAATATCCTTTCCATCGTTGGATCCGACTTGAGTAGACCATATGCCAAAGTTGAAGTACTTGATATTTTCGCCAATTTGGAATGTTACAGAGTCGTTGAAATTTAGGTCCTAAAAATTAACATTTTATAAAGCTTCATTCAAACACTGAAATTTTAACCTACTGATGCCATTGGTAGTTCTTTGGTTCTATAAATCTGGATGCCACACTGCGACTGTACTGCAACCGAGCTCAGTTTTCTGCTTGTTATCAGTGGTGTTGTTTCTTCAGGTGCTTGCAGATTTTTTATTTTTATAACTGATCTTTTAATGGGAGAATCTGAAAATATGAAAATTATATTTAATTAGCTTTATTACACTGGTGCCTAAATAGTTACTTGATGGGGATGCTGTGCTTGATCCACTACTTTCTGTTTCACTTGGCGCTATCTGCTCATTCTCGGGTATTGTGAGGCGTCTGCGAATGCCAGATGGACTACTTTGGTGAGTCGATTTAATTTTGTCAGCTGTTTCCTCTCCAGTCTTTTGAATGTCCTATGTAATTTAAACACATGAAAATGAGAATCAAAAACAAAAATATGAACCAACCGCATTGGATAGCAGACACCGCTTTCTTTCAATCCTGATTGTGAATCTTCTTGCAGTGGTTTTCAGCAGTTTGCTTGCATGACTCAAAGTAGTGACCTTAGTTCCTTCAACAGCCAATAAGATATCACCCTTCTTCAATTTGGAAAAATAGCCTGGCGTTCCTCGTTCAACAATGTCAACAACAACAAGATCTGGAACAGTACGTGTATTATGTAATTTTCAAAATCTAGACAATGCAATTTCATACTTGGTTGCTCAGCTTTGAAAGTTACTCCCAGATTTTGTGACGGTTTCCTAAACACGATGAGATCAAGAGTCATGACAGCAAAGGAATCTGTTTGGACAAGTTCAGTCCATGGTGCTTCATCTAATTGTAAGAGGCAATTGTTTCAGAGAAAATCAACGAGAATAAACATTTCTACAAACTAACCCACAGCCAAAGTGCAATAAATATCTCCACAAACAAGTTCGGGATTCAGTCTTGTGCATTCAATCAAAGACACCTTTAATACTCCAGTTGGAATCAGAGTAGCATCGGACTGGTCAAAATTGTCATAGAAAGATGGCGAGGTTTGCAGCGGCGCTTGGAAAAATGGCTTGTAACGGAGCTTGAATTGCGGAATTGTGTGTTTCTTTTTAACTGCTTTTCGAATCTGAAAAACGTCAATGAAATATAATCATTTATGTGAAGCGACTGTAAGGTTAAGGTACCTGGCTGACGATCAGTGAGGTAATTTGGGGAATTGGCCTCCCTTGAAAGTGCGAATCAACCTGCAGTTCAAGGCTTGGCTCAGAGTAGAATGTGAAAGACCAGTGGGAATATGGTTTTCTTGTAAAGCGCAATCGAGCACGGCCAGACAAATGACACACTAAGGAATACTAATATTAAAAAGCAATCATTAAAAAAAATTCTGCAACCTTTGACAGTAATGATGGCTGGGGCGCCTAAAATGAGACGGACGCTGGTGACCAGTTGGAAGCCACCCTCATAGTGGAGATCAACACCAAGGTCAAGGGTTTCAATGTACTTCTTAATTGGGTGCAGCTCAACATCTTGGATGCTTATTCCATTGAAGATGGGAAACTTTGAGCCAAGATCAATCTCCTTGATCTATGAGAATCAACAAATTTCATAAATTAAGGTGATCTTAAGATAAGTGATACAAAAAATATTACCGTAACTTTGTCGATAAATTTGCCAGTCGTAGTTTTCGTAAGCAGCTCATCAAATTCGAGAGTCAGTTTTTTCAGGAACCAGAGACGGACTTCCTCAGAATTTCTCAGTTCGTAATATAAAAAGTGGAATAGCAGATTTAATGCAACACAAGTCTCTTTTTTCGGCGAATCAGTCGCGTTGATGATTTGCAGTAGACTCTTAAAATTTAACAAATTCAGTTAGTATAAATTAATGATATGATAACAAAAACAGTACTTGAGGCAGTTGGAACTGCTCAAAGTTTGGCATTTGCAGAGCATCGTCTGGCAGGTTTAAATCCTTTTTTGGTTTCAAGTAGTAGTTCAGAGCAAAACAAAAAGCGGCGAAAGTGATGATGACCCCAACAAAGATTGACACAAGAATCAGCCAGACTAGATCTAAGTTGGTCATTTTATTTTAGAGACTCTGGAACAAACAAAAAGATAAATTACATAATGACGAGACGTTTTAATTATTATTGTGTTAGCTCAGTTTAATTTGTTAAAAAGGTCAGTTAATTTGTGGTCGCGGTGAAAGGGCTTCATTAAAATTTAAGTTGGCACTTCAAGCTTCACTGAACTTGCGTGATGTCAGCTTATGAATAAATTATTTTGGGGTGGACGTTTGAAAGGTTATGTACGTTTTACGAACGAGGGGAGACATTGATCATGATGACAGATATTTGCAGGAAAATCGCCTACGGGGATTTGTGAAAGCACACTTTGATTTTACTCCCCGCAGTCAATTGGATGATTCGAGAAACAAGTATCCCTGAGAAAAAACTTGAAAACGTTAAATAGAGCAAATCAATGAAATGACGTCCTTTGCCAAAAAGCATCAAGATAATCTTATCAAAGCAGCAAATTACTTTCATTCAATTTTTTCTCGAACGCGGCATGAGAGCCACATCAAGCACTCTTATCTCAATAGCACAATTTTATATGGTTTTGAGAGAGGTAAAGAATTCGCAAATTACATGCATTATATTCGGATCGGATCGAAACACAGACACCAACGAGCATCTAAGCAGCGACGGACACAAATTCAGCTACAGACAGGAATGCAACGGGCAGCGCAGGTTATGAGCAGGTGCGCCAAGCGCGACCACTTTCCCACTGGAGGGACAATAAAATCTAATTAACGAACGCACCAGTTCAGTGTCATTGCTCGCCGATTCTTATTTATATTTTTGTGGTGCTGGTGCTGCGGTGAGAGGTGTCCGATGTTTTTTAAAAGGCTACGAAACTGACGGCAACGCCGCACGGGTGTACACTCGAGAGTTAAGAAACTGATTTAGAAAAAGCTACAAACTTCATAATTTGGGAAATATTTTCACTCAAATGAAATTAATATGAATAATTCATGAAGAATGGAACGATTTTGCAGAAAAAATTTACAAATTTATATGTTTTTTCTTCAAAACTTGTGCAGTATGTGCCGGTGTGTTGGCAACGTCGCACGGCAGATGGGCGTGAACCAACAAGAGCCAAGACTGGCGCTCGCAGTTGTCTTTTGTCGGCTCGTCGCTTTGTCGGTGAACGCGAGCAGGAGTAGCGCACTCGTAGGCTGTGTGTCACTCGCGGAATTGTCATCTTAAACTCGGGCGGATTGTGCTGAATGCAGGGTCGGAAGGGTCGCGATTTATCGGCGTGAGTCGCGAGCACGGGCATGTGCATCTGTTGAGCGCAGCATTTGGGCTGTTGCTGCGGTGCGAGGCGGCGAGAGCGGCGCCGATTGGCAAACCAGTTGGTGCCCTAGTTAAACTATAGGAATGGCCTTATAGCTGCAAGGCTTATTATTTCACCAGCCTACCAACAACACACAGACAGTAGCCCGCCCAAAAAGGTACGTTGGTGCACATTCGCACAATGCATAATAAGGCGTCCCTTCCGAATTCCTCTCGCCCGGCCAACGTGCACCGCTCTCTCGCGGTTCGGCCTCGTTTCATTCCTTATTACCGTTTTCCACCCCCTTATCAATAATAACCATGCATCTGGTGGTTGTTTTTGAACGGTGAGTGATTTTTCGTCTGGCCGTTTTTGTTGCAGTCGAAGAAAGCGAAATACCGACTGACGTCCATCGCCTTTTGTGGTCGTGATCATGGAGTCGGAACAGGTGCAGTTCGGGGTGACCCTGAAGCAGCTCAGGGACTTGATGGACCTGAAGGGTGCCGAGGCCGTTGAGAAGATCCAGGAAATGGGAGGCATCAAGGCACTTTGCAGTAAACTTCATACATCGCCTATTGAGGGTGAGTCAATGTTCAAAAAATTAAAATTTTCTACAGGATTATTGATTTTCATCAATTTTTGAATTAAAAAGTTGACGAGCGACTAATTATTGTAGAGATGCGTTTTAAAGAGAGATTTGTAATTTGAAAAAATGTCACATCAAAATTTTTAAATTCAATACATTGAAATTTATCAAAGTTGAAATTAAAGTACTGCATAGTATAACTTTATTGCTAGAAAAAACAATGCAATTATGGAAGGTGGAAAATGTTTAAAAAGAACATTTCGGAAAAACATTACATATGATATTCATGTTGTACCTATAATCAATATTTCTTTATGTCCGGACATTTCAATCTGCTCATTAACTTATCAACTACTTCCATCGTCTATTATATAATTCATAAATTCACATTATTTTTTACTACAAGTGCTCATCATGCTAAAATTATGGCAATTCTTCTTTTTTAATTTTAGACACAATACTATTAAAACAGTTTTATTTTTTCTTAATTTAATAAGGAAAATTAAATTAGTTTTTTTTATATGTTTTCTCAGAAAAGTAAAAATTGATGTTATTTTTATAGAGAATGAATTGTCTTTTTTAATTGAATACTTTAAATTTAAAGTGAATTGTAACTTATTCTGGGTCTCATAATCACTGGACCTTACATTTTTGCATTTACATGCTCTAAACCGCTCTAAACCATGGAGTTTTGATCTTTGATAACATTGAAGATTCCTTTCCCGCAAGTCTACATTTGGTTGAGTCAAAAACCAAACAAATCCGCTCACTTATCTAACATTTATCTGCTGGGCCAAACATTTTGTGTCGCTCCTTTCCTGGTGCTGAGAGAACCTTGTTTTTCATGTGGCCCGCGACCGACCAATTTGATTTACATGGTCATCGATCTCGCGCGATCAGGCTAAAAATACTGCACCTATAAAGAGGATTTGTGTCTCTGATTCAATGGAAAGCGGATGAATAATTGTCCTTCCGCCATAAAATTTCTCCCTGGTCATCACGTCAAAGCACGATATAAGTACAAAGAACCGCCAAAGAATTTATTATCAGCCCTTGACTCATTTTCGCCTTATGCAAAAAACCCTCTCTTGCATTCAATAGACTTTTTGCAGCTTATGCCAGCGAATTCGCGGCGTCTGCTTTTTTCAAGGGCTGAATTTCTTGTTCCGTTCTTTTGTCTAAATTTTGGCCGCTCGGTAAATATTGCAAGTTGGATCAGTTTTACGACTTTTCCGCGATAAACTCTAAACACCGTCTGGGTTGCAAATACGAGCTTTTAGTTCTCGCTTTATTTAAAATGGTGATTAGCACCTAGGTGGCTAATTTATTGGCCGATTATGACGTCACTCAACTTTGTTGACGTCACACGGTAGAAACATTCCAAAACGCGGAGGATTTTGGCAATAAATGACTGACTAAAACCTGCTGCCTCCCCTGCGACTTCATGACCAAACTCGCCAAAGGTCACCGCTGGACGCTATTTTTTACAGCAGGCAGACTAATTTTAGCCAGCGATTCGTCTCCCATGTGCGAAACACATTTTTCGTACTTGGTTACGTTTAACGTAACAAACTAGACACACACCAGACATAAACAGTTCTTTAATTGCTTACAAACTTACTATACATTAGTTGATGTAGATTAATTTTTGCTTACTTCAGCAAATTTAATTATATAAATAGTTTGTAATTAATTGTAATAATTAAAGTCTTCATTTTGAAGATTCGTATTTTTTGCTTCTGATAGTAAAAATCATTTAAATTTCCAACTCTTTCAAAGATGGAGAGAAATTAAACTTCAATGCATGTAAAATTTATCCTCCATATTTATTCAGTCTGTCTATAAGTAGATTATTGGTAATTTTTACTGCCGTCGTATCGCGTTTATTTTCATTTTTGATGTCGTTGATAGAAACGAAACATCCCTTGATTTATTCGGTTATTCAACTTTGTTGGTTTAAATTTGAAGGTGAACTCGTGGCGCCTGTCCGTGCCATTATTCAAATTAAATTCGCTCCGATAATCAGTTAGAAGTAAATTTTCAAAAGCGATGACGCCGATGCAATAATAAAATGACAATAAAAAAAGCGAACGAATTGGAAGGTTGATTCTCGTTTTGACCTAGTAGGCCTATCGAGTTACCTTGCGCGCCGTTTCTTCATGAATATCAAATGAGCAGCCTTTGTCAATTGTGGCTCTCGCCGCTCCTAATAGAAATTTGTCAATTTTTTTCAATACTAATCGGCCGCGATTTTTCTCCAAGCCGCGCGAGACTAAAAAAGTCTAGCTGCGCTGGGGCGGTGCTCGCGCCAGCCTGCTTCCTTTACTTAGCGGCCAATTAAATTTAATTTGGGAGCCCTGATCAGGTGACGGGAGTCTATTTCGGGCCTCTGGAGAACAGACAAACTTGCAATCGACATGCTGCCGGCTTGGGCGCGCATTCTTTTCTATCGAGGCGGCTATTTTTACTCGACGCCACTAAATTCACGGCGAGAAATTAACTAACTTACAAGAGTTAGTGCCGCTCTCGCAGAAACTTTCTTCCCGAATCACAAAGGGAATACCAGGGTACATAAAACAACCGGGAGGCCGCTTTTTGAAAGCGGGTTGTGTCTGAAAGTGCGACGAAAATAGTGCTGGGGCGTTTATTGTCCGGTGCCAGCGAAATGGAGCGGAGCGGTCGATGTAGTGGAGGAGAAAATAGAAAAGGGGGTTTTCGCCGAAACCTGCAAAGAATTCGCGAGAAAACAGTCAAAACTTAACTGCTCTTTTGTTTCTGTTATTTTGTAATCAAAATAAGATGCTGAATTTATTTTTCACGGAGCAACAAAACCAAGATCTTTATCAACGTCCCATTGTTTTTCGCATCCTGTCCTGAAACAGAACAAATTTTTTGGCTCCTGCAAATCTGCTAATATCTATTATTATCTTGATATTATGTTTGTTTCCGTTTGTTTTTTCATTCAGTTCATTTCGGATTTTCCGTATCAACATTTTCCTTCCTCTGCGTCAGTATTTTATTTTAAGAAATGTAAACGACATTATTCTTATTCAAGTTGATAAAAATTTATATTAGAAACTTTTTCCAATCAAAAGTTTCCACAATTTTTCCTGTTCTTCCTGAAACGAAATTATTTTCTACGGTTTTCTAATCTTATATAATTAGTTATATGTTACATAATCACAATATTCGCTTTGAATCTTCCATCTTTTAGAACTAACAATATAAATCAATGGTAATCATAGCAATATTTTGTATTTTTTTTGTTTAAATTTATTCATTTTTCCAATTAACAATTACGCAATCCTAAATTGCAAACAATACTTTAAGCCACCCGGCATGTTATCCGTTTGCATTGTTCATTGTGAATTATGTTTTATCGTAAAATACGTATTCTCTTCAATCCTGTCAAAATCACAAGAAGTCCCGATAACCATACAGATCTGAAAAGCAATGACCGCCAAATGGTTCGCCTACGTCAATGCACCTGCGATAATTAGCATCTTTATCATAAAATTCTTATTCCATCAGCATCTTTGATTGCGACGTCAGCGCGGTCGATTTCAATTTCTCGCGACGATAAAAACAAAAGCGTCCATCAGGGCTGTGCATAAAAATTAATCGCACGTGCGACGTCGTCAGCCAGTTCGCCGAAGGGGTAATTAATGTAGTGGTGAGCAAGAGGAGACAATTTATGCGTATGTCACATGACGATAAAGTGATAATCAGGCAAAGGGAAAAATGAAATACGAGCAGAGCAAGGAAAATGCAAAGCCGCGGCATTTGTTGGATGATTTCAGAGCGGCGGCGACGCATGACGGGTATTATCTTTCCCTAGCTGCGTCGGCTGTTTACGTCAATAGGCGGGTGCAAACTTAATCACCACCGAGCGCTTCCTGAAGAGTCATTCAGTCGATAAAGAGGACTCACTAATGACACACACGTTTTTTACGGGTCGCCAGAATCTTTCTCCTGACAAAAAATAGACATAGCCTCTTTTTAAATTCTCTTGATGAAATAATTAAAATCTAATACCGGTGATACAATTTGTCACAAGAAGAAAAATAACACAGAATTTGACGCATTCAAGACAAGCGTAATATATCTGAATATAGAACACACACCACGTTTTGAAGATTAGATAAGATATAATTTGTTTTCGTTCATTCAAAACTTTTAGGGATAATCGCATGGGTATTAATTTTAAGAAGTTTTAATCTACATGTCATGCAAGCTATTGATTTTCCTTTGAAAATTTCTTCCAAATAATAAAAAAAATGTGGGAATTTTCTCATTAATTACTTTTAAAATTGAAATTTCCTGAAACATAAATTTTTAAGTGATAATTTTGTGTCAATTTTTGCTTTTTTGCAGTGCCAATTAAACTGCTTAAAAAATAAGCAAGTTTATAATTTTTTTATTTGCTTAGAACGTCCAGGTAAATACAAAATTCACAATTATTTTAAAAATACTATTGAATTAATTAAAACACAAATTCTAATATCTGGAAAGAGAAAAATCTCTTTCCAAACCAAGTAGAACATTATTATTTCAAACGATCCTTCATTATCACTCATTATGTTATTCAGAACGTTTAGTTCGCGCCGTTCCGCCGTGTTCCACTCAGGACAGATAATCCTCCTGTCCGCGGCGGGAGCGCGAGTGGCGACTGCTCGTAAAATTTGCATTTGATAAGATAAAGGTGGTGCGTGCATGTGTTGCTCGCCTCTCCATTCCGACTCTGCGGCAGCACATTTCGCGTGCAAATGCATTTTAAATATTTAATTAAACGCCACCGCAGCAGCGTGTTTGCCCTTTAACGATATAATAACACGACTTTTTGCCCCCGCGAGACGAAGCAACGCCCGAAATTAGCGTGTAATTTATATTTCATGCTTAATGCCGCGCGCTTATTTTTTCCCCACTCGGGCAGCTGGGGTGCGAAAAGAATTTTTGCACCACCCTGTCTACATGTCAGCGGCAGGCAGAGTCATTACGTTAAAAGGCTTTCAATGTAGTACAAACACCATAAGTTTGGTAATTTTTCATAACTTTGGGACGTCTTTCGCAATCAGGCGACGCGGGGAACTTGTTTCGCCGCAACACTCCAGAGATTGCTTAAGGTGCTGGACGCATGATGAATTCTTAGCCACTCTCAGCATAAATTACATACGTCGATTTCTTAGATAGAACTAATCTTAAATACTCTCTATTTAATCTGTATTGTTGTTTATTTGTCCAAATTGTTACATCACGTTATTTTTTAAGGACCAGTTTTACGTCGAAAAGAAAATGATAATATTATGCTTTTTTGTATGTTTTACTCAACTTTGCAGTTTTAATCTTTCATTAACTTGTTGTGAGAGAATAAACGAATTGAATTGAATTGAACTTTAATATTTATATAGTTAATTAATTAATTACAGACAAATGGATGCGCTGATTACCACAACATTTTTAAATAGAAGATTTTTTCACACATCCCGTTTCCTTCCGTAAAAAATTAAAGTTATCAGATTTTATAAGAAAAGCGTCAGTATCCCCTCAAATAATATGATTTTATCCTAATTTGAGAAATTTAAACCTTTGCTAGTAAGTCAAGATTACTGAACTTGTCGTGAATTTCTGTGATTTTTCTATTTATCGCAGTTTAAAAATTGTAATCCTATTCACTCGTTGATAATTTTGTCATGGTAATTATAACACGACAATGCTAATTAGCTTAACTGCGTTTGCTGCAATCAAAGTAAGCAATCGGGGGGAATTCTTTGCGTTCATTCTATAATTAAAAGCAGGAAAGTCAAAGTTAAAAACTAGTGTAGAGCCCTTGAGTGCGAGCCCTGCGGTTATGTGGTTACCTATTTGAGATGGTATTGCTCCCAGCGCCAAGGAAATTATGTGTTAATTCACCAATTTGATTTCTATTTTTCTCCATTTTTTTATTATTATGTCACCTTTCACTGTCAAAAAGTGATAAGAAGTGCACGCGGAAATTTTTTCTGATAATCTACTATCGCTATATCCATTCAAGATTTTTATTTAAAGCAATAGAACTTTTACTTAACCTTATTTTGCGTCAAAAACAGTTGAATTATGATTGGCCTCGAGCAATCATTTCATTTTACAAAACGAACAAATTCGTCTGTTCGACTCATCGTCAGCCGCTATTTAATCAACGGGGACATGAGAGGGTCCTTTAATTTGAAGGCGACGCACTTAATTAACTCGTCCGCACAATCTGACTGCTCGCATCTCACGCCCGAATTCACTTCTCGCTCAGGCAAACTTTTGGCCCGCGCTCATACACAAACTTTAATCAAAAGTCGGGCGGGTGAATGCGGCGGCGGCATTCATTTTGCGCAGAGAAAATCCTCATTAGCGGCAGTCGTCTCGCACACGACCCGCGGCCATCGGGCGGCGTGATGAACCACCCGACTTCATCCCCTTTCTTTTTGTTGCAGGCCTCAAGGATTCGCCGCAAGAAGCAGAAAGACGCCGCGAAGTGTTCGGTTCCAACGTAATCCCGGCCAAGAAACCCAAATCGTTTCTTTCCCTCGCCTGGGAGGCGGCGCAGGATTTCACTCTGTTAATTTTAATCGTAGCGGCGTTCACGTCACTCGTACTTGGCTTCATTGTTCCCGAAGACGAAGGTGGGTCTCCCTTTGCAATTGTTAACCCGTCACCAACACCCAATTGCCGCTTATTCCATTGTAGTAGCCCAAAAAGCCAAGGAGGGAGAAGAGGAGCACCATGGGTGGATCGAAAGTTTGGCCATTTTCATATCAGTCATCGTTGTTGTCTTGGTCACTGCCTTCAATGACTGGTCCAAGGAAAGACAGTTCCAAGGCCTGCAGGGAAGAATTAAGGGAGAGCACAAATATTCTGTACTTAGAGGGAACGAAGTCATTCAGATTCCTGTTGGCGATATTGTTGTCGGAGACGTCTGTCAGGTACGAGCGGAAATTAAATTTGGAAATATTATTATAACAAAATAGGACTGCATTATGAATACTATGTTATTAATTTGAAATTGAAAATTCTTAACCAAATAAATATTTATATTAAATTGCTAAATCCACCGTTTGTTCTAAAATTGAAAACGCATTAAATTTTCCAGTATAAAAATTTTATTGTTCTTTTTTTCAATTATATTTTTTCATGGAACTTGCAATAGTGTAAATCTGTTTTATATTAGCAATGTTTTCTAAAATTATTCCCACGACAATTAGGTGAAATATGGAGACCTGTTGCCCGCCGACGGAATCATCATCACAGGCAATGACATGAAAATGGATGAGTCGTCACTCACTGGCGAGTCGGATCACGTAAAGAAAGGAGAAAACACAGACCCTATGCTTCTCTCAGGTTAGATATTTTTAAAATTTCATTCCATTCAAGGTATAATGTGGTTCGTTTTGGTAGGCACCAATGTCATGGAGGGCAGCGCCAGAATGCTGGTCACTGCCGTAGGCATTAATTCGAAAGCCGGCATCATTTTCACTCTGGTGGGCGCCGCGAAGCAGAAAAAGAAAGAGAAGAAGGGTAAAAATGGTTAGAGTATTTATTTTTCTTTGTTTTTCGCTTTTTGATCATTTTTGTTTACTTTTGCAAATTCATTATTCTAATCCTTGTTATTCTGCAGACGACGCTTCTAGTTCATCAAGCAACTTTGGGGGCTCCACCGACGAAAGCCACGACAAAAAGGAAAAATCCGTGCTACAGTCGAAACTTACGAAATTGGCTCTCAACATTGGATATTTTGGTGATGAGAAATAAAATTTTGGTTTTATTTGTGATTATAATTTATATTCTCAGGTACTGCCATTGCCCTGCTGACGGTGGTCATCCTCTCCACCAAATACACCATCAACACATACATCATCGAAGAGAAACAATTCCAATGGTCTCAACTGAATGAGTACATAAATTTCATCATCACCGGTGTCACTGTCCTGGTCGTCGCCGTGCCTGAAGGTCTTCCTCTTGCTGTTACCCTCTCTCTGGCTTACTCTGTCAAGGTTTGTTCAACACCGAGAAAAACATTCAGAGCTTAAGATAGTGAGAAAATTTTTCCGTACAGAAAATGATGAAGGACAATAACTTGGTGAGGCATCTTGACGCTTGCGAAACGATGGGCAACGCAACTGCTATTTGTTCGGACAAGACTGGTACTCTCACTACAAATAGGTGATTTATTTATAGATAAAGCTGAACACACACCGCATTGATAAAAAAAAAATCTAAAATTGTCAAGCCTTGTATAAACTTTGCCTTTTTTCATGTTTCAGAATGACGGTTGTTCAAGCATATGTATGCAATAAACTGGCAACAACTTGTGCCGATTTTGCTCACATCCCTCCTGAAGTGGAAGAAAAATTGATCAAGTCAATTGCGATCAACTCGGCCTACACATCACGCGTCATGGTAAACAAAACAGATTAATGAAAAGCAAAGTGCCAAGTACGATTTTTTTATATCAGCCTGGAGAACCGGGCGAGCTGCCTAAGCAAGTTGGCAATAAAACCGAGTGCGCCCTTCTTGGATATGTGACAAGTCTGAATAAAAGCTATGAGAATGTTCGGTCCCAATGTCCCGAGGAGACGTTCACCCATGTTTATACCTTCAACTCGGCTCGTAAGTCGATGGGCACTGTGATTAAAAGTGAAGAAGGTGGATTCAACCTGTTTGCCAAAGGCGCCTCGGAAATCATGCTTCAAAAGTGAGTCACTAATTTTTTTCCTCAAAATAATACGAGGGCAATGGATCTGAACTTATCAGTCTACGGATTATCTTCGGCGCTCATAATGATAAGCTCCAGTATCAGTTGAATCAACTGAGATAAGTCGAGTTGTAAATCAATAGTGGTCCATAGAGCCCAACCTTAAGATGCCAAAAATCCCCGGTCTATTATGCAGTTATGCTATATAATTTAATAATAAAAGAGAAAGTAGGCCAATAAGTTATGATCAAGGTGGCCGACGGAACAATGGCTTGAGCCAACGGAATGTCTGTTGAGCTTGACTGCCTCAAACTATTAAACGCAATTATCCCCACATGCTGAGGCGGGTGGTCCTGAATACAAATTAACGCTTGCTCACATGCTTGATTGGCAACTTTGTGCGCGTGATTAAAAAACAAGCGGCCCAAATGACTTGGCTGCCTTCCATTCATTTAAACACCGCCTGAAGCACCGTCGAGATAATCAGGCGGCAGTCAATATTTGAATATGTTATCTTATTTGTAAACAGGTTCTGTTTGGTTTTTCGTTACATAAGCCAAACAAGAGTAGTAATTATCAACAATGTGTTGATTATTAAGTTAAATTTTTTAAGCACGCTCTTAACTAAATCGTTGCAATGAAAACAAATTAAACTGTCTATCAGATCGAATAGTAATGCAACTAGTTCTGTTTTATTAAAATTAAAAAAAAAATAACAAAAACGACTTTTTTAAATATAAATCAAGTCTATTGACTTACATAGCCCTTAAATCCCTATTTGTTTTTGGAAATAAATCAATTCCGTCTCAATATAATTTATATTTCTTCATTCCATTAGAATATATTCCAACAGTTTCCTTTTTCAGCACTCAAACACTTTTTTAAATATAGATTTTTATTATATCAATTATTTGAATCATGGTTTTTTTTTTAATAAGACGTTTCTAATTTTAGATGTTCTTACATTTACGGAAAAGATGGTCAGATAGAAGATCTGACAAAGCAGAAGAAAAAAGACATCATCAACAAAGTGATTGAGCCAATGGCCTGCGACGGACTGCGAACCATCTGCATTGCTCAGCGCAACTTTGTCTTTGAAAATCGGGCCAAGAACGACAAGAAAATTGACCGCGAACCAACTTGGGAGGAAGAGGACGACATTTTTTGTGATTTCACCTGTCTCGGGATTGTCGGCATTGAAGACCCCGTCCGACCAGAAGTGCCAGATGCGATCAGATTATGCCAGTCAGCTGGCATTACTGTCCGCATGGTCACTGGAGACAACATCAACACAGCACGTTCAATTGCCACCAAGTGTGGAATCCTGCTGCCTGGAGACGACTTTTTGGTGCTAGAAGGAAAGGATTTCAACAGCAAGATCAGAGATGGTGGTAACAGTGAGGTAAGTTTAATGAAGCAAAAGATCAGAGATGCAAAAATATATGATTGAATCAGTCATTTTAATTGAGACTTTTCAATTTTGAAAAAATTTAAAAACAAATAATGTGGATGATTTAAAATTTAAGATTTTTAAATGTTCGATTTGATTTTATAGCTTTTATATTTACAAAATTATTAACTTTCAGCAAATCAACCCCGAGTTGTTTGATAAAATTTGGCCCCGTCTGAGAGTGCTGGCAAGATCTTCTCCAACTGACAAGTACAACCTTGTCAAAGGCATCATTGACAGCAAACTTAACCCCAACAGAGAAGTGGTCGCTGTCACCGGCGACGGCACAAACGACGCCCCAGCCCTCAAAAAGGCAGACGTCGGCTTTGCAATGGTACAATTTTTAACACTCCTTCACAAATGAAAAGGACTATCTCACTTTAATATTTGTGTATTCTTTGGTATTAATTTTTACTAATGCAGCTTCATTTTTTAGGGCATCGCCGGCACTGATGTGGCCAAAGAAGCTTCGGACATCATCCTGACGGACGACAACTTCAGCAGCATCGTCAAGGCAGTGCTGTGGGGCCGAAACGTTTACGACAGCATTGCCAAATTCCTGCAGTTCCAGCTGACGGTGAATGTGGTTGCCGTCACGGCTGCTGTCATCGGCGCATCCATCCTCAACGACAGTCCTTTGAAGGCTGTCCAAATGCTTTGGGTCAACCTGATCATGGACACTCTGGCCTCCCTTGCGCTCGCTACTGAACTTCCAACTCCAGACCTGCTCCTCAGAAAGCCCTACGGACGTACAAAAGCTCTTGTGTCAAGAAGAATGATGAAAAACATCATTGGACAAGCAATCTACCAACTGGCCGTCATCTTTTTCCTTCTCTTTGCTGGTTCGTCCTATTTTTTTCATGCGAATTTTGTTTTTAATTCATCACTTCAGGTGACAAACTGCTCCAAATTGAGTCAGGACGTGACGATTCAGGACCAAGCCAACACATGACAGTTGTGTTCAATACTTTCGTGATGATGACCCTGTTCAACGAAATCAATGCAAGAAAGATTCATGGACAGCGTAATGTGTTCCAGGGGATCTTTACTAACCCTATCTTCTACGGTATCTGGATTGCAACCTTTATCCTTCAGGTTAGAACAAAGTTATATTTTTTAAGTCGATATAAATGTGAATGTTTCTTTTTAGATTCTCATAATTGAGTTTGGAAGTGCATTCTTCTCAACAAAGGACCTTACCATTGAACAATGGCTGTGGTGCTTGCTCTTCGGCATTGGTACTTTAATCTGGGGTCAGATAATAATCTCGCTTCCCAATAGAGTTGTTCCAGAGAAACTTTCGTACGAATCAATTATCTCATTATAATTATGTAGTCTAATTCTAAAATTTTAAAATGTTTAGCCTGGGCAAAGATGATCCATCTTTGCAAAAGCTGCCTGTTGGAAAACCAAGCCCTGGCCAACTACTGTGGGTGCGAAGTCGGAAAAGAATACTGTCTCAGGTAAATTTTAATCCCATTAATTCAGTGGCATCATTTTTAAAACGGCCAATTTTTTGTTGTAGATCAGAGTCGTGAACGCGTTCAGAGCAACAATCGACACCAACAGACTGCAATTAGCAGCTTTTAAGAAAATCGAGGCTACGTAAGAGTCGTCTTGTGTTGCATATAGCTGAAAGAATGCATCACAAGTACTTTTTTGTTAAATATTTAGTAATTTATGATTTCATTCTCCGAAGTGATTTTTAAAAGCGTTTTATCTTCATAGATAGATATGTGTAAATAGCATGAATAATTCAAGAGAATGTGAGAGGTTTTTCCGATTAATAATTTTAATCACCTTTTAGTAAGCAAAGAGAAATGCAATGTGTGCTCCTATGGATTAAGCAAGTGAAGAGGAAAATAACTTAATTATAATTGAAGCAAATGCATACTATTAACTAAATAACACACAAAATAAACTTCTCTCCTATTTATATTCAAGATGAAGAGTAGAATATCAACTTGAGGAAATATGAAAAGAGTGAATACTGAAGTACTATTGGCCTTCTCTAATGTGGTAAATTTTCTAGATACGTTGTTAACGACTTTTGAATGTTACTCTTTGAAAATTTTCTATTGCATATCTTGAGCAGTGTTTCAATCAATTTAAAAACTGTATAAATCACGAATAAACGGGTCGCCCAACAGTCTGTTAGGCTCTAAGAACTCTTTCCGCAGATGTTGGAAATTTATATAAGACAAAGAAATCCTTTTCTCGGGCGGCAATCAGACAGACTAACCGGAGAGAAATGGGGAAAAAAATAACCTACCTGTTGGTGTACTATTTTTAATATTCCACGTTTTGCGTGCATTCTACTTAAGACAAGAAAACTTAAAACTGTTTCACTGTGGTCATATCCTCAACCAATAATTATAACGAGACATAACTACATTTACGATTAAAAGGGATAAATAACGAGCTGCGGTGAGAATTTAAGATAAAAGCAAACAATATCCATTGTATGTGTTCATAGAGGAGAAATTGAAATACTTTTACAAATGACATGCAGTGTACAATATATAAACAAAAATAATTTTTCACTTGAGAAGCACACGCAAGAGAATGAGGAAAATTTTTGTCATTCCTCTATCTCGATCATCTGCAATTATTATTGAAATCACTGCTGCGTCAAAATGCTGTGTACTCTTGATACTTTTCAAGCAGGCTTTGCGCGTCTTTGCAAAAAAGCAGTTTTTTGCCTCACATTAGAATGTAGTCACGTAGTGGGCCTGCCTTTTTTAATAGAATGTAAAATCAGTCGTTGAAATTAAGAAACAAACGATATTGATTGTATTGTTGCACTTAATAACTTTTCTCGTTCCGACAAAGTGCAGGAACTGTTGGGATAATGAAAGACAGACAAAAGCCAGCCAACAGCCGTGCCAGTTCTATGATTGTTGATCACTGCCTTTTCCATGAAAGTGTATGTTCGAGTGCTGTATTTTGGGATAAAAACAGTTAAGATGGTGATGAGAAAAACTACAATCGCGCATGCATTTTGTTCTACCTCTGTTGTTTGAGGTGTACTTCGATTGTTGCCGTGTTAAAAGAGGCTAAGAATTTTTTGGAGAGTTAAATTCTCTATAGTCGTCTCGTATGAGACAATCTCCAATTGCAATACAAAAAGTTGACTTTACAAAGTTTATTTCTTGTCAAATTTGGCCAAAATTTGCAACTCCTCGGTTGAGACCATTCTCAATAAAAACTCATTTTTAACTTTCCAAAAATTGAAAAGCCCAAAGTCTGTGAGAATTTTTCACTGCCCTCTCGGCGACAGCAACTTGGTTTTATTCCGGCATTTTCCACTTTCCTTTTTCCATTCCGTGCAAGTGTTTAATGCTATTCTATGCTATTGTAATTTCTCTTCACTACTTTTCTAATAATCAATCTAACGTTTTTTCTCGCTAAAATTTCATCGCAAACCGGGGGTTAATTGTTCTCGCGATTGATATTTTTATAATCGTGTTAAGGTTGAGTCTCGGTCGTTTGTTGACGAGAACGAATTGTCTGTAAAAAAATTTGCATTGTTATAAAATGATCACTTTTCATTCATTTCTTTATTTTTTCATAACTTTTGTCGCATCTTTTTGCCTCTTGTAATTGCTGTACAAAACATTTATTTCGGCCAGTTTTAACTTAATTAATTTAAAATTAAACCAAAAACCAAAAGTTTTAAACGATCTTGTGATTTTTCCAATTTGAGGAAAACCAACGTGTCGGAAATTTCTCCTGTGAGATGATTAAACTGATTAATCAAGACTTACTAACATTTGAAGAAGCGTGTATTTGGCAGTTAAATTATATATTAATGTGTGCAAATTCACGCGAGCTTATTTATTGGGCAATACATATTATCCTTCTGAAAAAGACTTTCTTGTTGTGCACTTTTGCTAATCCCTTTGGCTGTCTTTTTCATATAGTTGCTTAACTTGTTCATTCGCTATACTATTTGTTGATAACGACTTACATGAAATCAACTCTGGCCCTTTTAAAAGTTAGTAAAACTAGAGATGCTGCGTAGAAGCTCTCTCCGTCGGTGAGTAGATTGTATAGAAATCGCAAGAACAACTTGATACACGCGAAAAAGAAATAAATATTCTACAGTAATTATTTATTAAAAAAAAAATGTAGCGTAAAATATTAGAATCATTTAAGTCTGATTGATGTGGTGCAATATCTTAAAAATGATAAAGGACAAAAAATACTGATTTTTGGTCGAAAACTGGCAAATTTTCTAATAAGTATGGAAAAATGTACTTCAGAGATAACTAAACATGCACGCCAAGAATATATTACATGAAAAAATGATAATATTCTAAAGCTGTATATCTTTTTGATTAACCTGTCATGAAAGATGTGCGTATCTTTGTTTGAAACTCACTCCTTAATTAATAGTGTGGAATCAAATCTAAAAAAATTGTCGAAAGAAGTTGATGGTCAGAATATCGTTTTGCAGTATTTAATTTTTAAAGAGAGCTAAGTTTATAGCTGATTGCGTTATATGTCAATCAACCGTGGGAAATAATTTTATTACCTCTTATTATGGTATGTACAACCTATGTATTTATAATCTTTGATTATTATGCATATTTAAGCGTACTTACGTTTTTGCAAAAAGCAGCGATCCAGAGTCAGCACGGAAGTAATTTTATTTGTGTTCACTCCACATTTCCTTATGGATAATTTTGTAATTTTTTCTGCCGTTTCGGCAGAAATTAATTTTTGTGTCCTATATCTAATATTAAAATTCCTGATTTTTTGTTCACTTTCACTTACATATATACATTGTAAGCGCGTGTTTGCAACAAACACTGACTTCTTAATTTTCACTTTTACACATTCACTAAAACTGAACAGCATCACTTAATACCAATATTTTTACTGTAAAAAACTCTTGTTTAAGATCATTTAAGCACCGCGATAAATTACCACTACTGTTATTATTAAGTATGGGACCACACACTCTATACTCTCGATCTAGAAAACTTTTCCTGCATTCTGTACTAATGAATAAAGATTAAGCAGTGAGACGCATGATTAACTATTTTGTTTGTATTGTATGGGAAAACATAAAATTATAGTAGAAATTAGTGAGTACCGCGAAGTTTCTTCATGTAGCGCCTTTTCCTTATTAATCGAAATTAATACACTAAAATGATAAACAGTCCTCCGATATCTCCATTTGAATAAAACACAAGATTGGAGATGCGCATATATATTAAAAAATAAAATAAATAAGCCTTAAAAGTTGACGCTTGAAACGTGTTTTATTCCAATTAGCCCCAGAAGCCACGGGCATACAGATTTGTTTGCACTATTGCACCGAGTAATCCAATTATTCCAATTACTTGAACGACTCAACTTTTGATTCATTGAACAAAGGAAAGGATTGTGGTTAAAAATAAAACAAAATATTTACATTGTTGTTTAATTTAATATTATATTCATCTGAATGCACATGGAGAAACGGAAGTAATAAAATTAGCAAATTTCAAAATTTTAATCATTGCCACGACTATTAAAAACAAACTCAGCAAATCTTGCTGAACGTCACAAAATCAAAATAAAATTTTCATTTACAATTGTTCAAAATTACACAATTCACCTTTTTAGTTTTATGCGTACATGCAGATCTTTACGGAATTTCTATTGGTCACCCTTTAAAAGAAATCTATGAGTAAAATCTACTGGAATTTCGAGTTGCTTGCTTGATGCACATTTCTTCTCAGACTACACTGGGGAAGTTCTCTCCATTGTATGAGGTGGAAGGACCTGCCTGCATTTCGTCGTCCTCTTCATCACTCACATATTTGCTCTTGGGGCCACGCTTCTTCTTAGGGCCAGGTGTGCGCCCCTTTGGTTTTCTGCCCTTTTTGGCCGGCTCTGCTTCTTCCTCAGATTCTTCATCTTGGGCAACTGTCAACAAACACAAATCATTAATTTTTGAAATAAAAAAAAATTCCATTGCTCTACCAGAGTCGTCGTCTTTTCCAAAGTCCGTCTCTTGCTCAAGTCTCTGCCTGGCATTGGTAAAGACCGACTGCAGGACTATCGAGTCTTCGTGAATCAGAGAGGCTTCCTCGTTATAATCCTGTGCGTTCTTGCACAACTGCATAAAATCTCGCTCGAGGTCATCAAAATCATTGATCTATAAAGTTTCAAATTAGATTAATTTCACCAAAAGAAATTTAAATCTTACCCTTCCATCTTCAACTCTAGCAAGAATTTTCTTTATGTCCAGCGGTTTCTTTATAACCTCATAGTAGTCTGGAAGTTCCCGTCTTGTTGGCAGTTTCATGAAAGGTGCACTCAAAATACGATCATCACTGAAATATAAATTAAAAATTGTTGAGCACAGGTGAAGCACGTAAGGATGTTTTTTTTTTTTTATTACCTATCAGTGTACTTTACAACTATATCCATGAGCTTTTTGAGCCCATTCTTCATTTTTTTGTCACTCGAGGTCATTTTGCGTTTCTTGCCACCACCGCCGCCACCAGTAGAGGCAGGACTGGCACAGCTGGACCCAGCCAAACTGTCATTGACGTCGTCTTCTTCTTCGTCCTCACCCTTGCGACGTCTTTTACGAGTCTTCTTTCGTACTTTTTTTGTCTCCTCCTCGTATTCTTCACTTCCATCCTCAAGAGCCTACATGCAAATTATTAGAAAAGCAGTGATATTTATGCTATCTAGACTCACTTTAAGCCACTCCTTTTCAGTAATACTATCTGTGTAATCGACCTCCTTCCTTTGCCGTGTACCACGACCATAGTACTTTTCTTCCTCTTCCTCGTACTGGAACACTTCATCGTCCTCCTTTACCAACCAATCTGGCAGTTCGCTCTCTTCGATCAGTCGAGACTTCCTGTTTGGGCCAGGCTTTGCTTCCTCCCTGCGCCTTTCAAGGTCCATCCGCTGAAAAATTTCAAACTCTTGCTCCGAGCGGGCTATCATTTGATTGACAGTTTCGTCATCTGGGACTTCATTTTCCTCCTGGAAAATTAAAATGAAATTTTTGCTCAACTCAAACTGCAAATCCTACCTCTTCCTCAGTTTCATCTTGGTGCAATATGCTTTGCAGGAATTGTTGTCGCTCAGACCCGGTACTCTTCTGATCAAACATGCCAGCTTGAATGACTTTCTCGTCCATGTTCAGTTTATATCGAGCAGCAGCCAATATTCGCTCTTCTACCGAGTTCACAGTCATCAGACGCAAAACTCGCACTTCATTTTTCTGGCCAATTCTGTGAGCTCGATCCTGGGCTTGCAAATCCTGAAATTTATTCCAACAATTTAGATCAGGGAGCGGCTTAAGACAGTTTTGTTTTACCTGGTGAGGATTCCAGTCAGAATCAAAGATGATGACGGTGTCGGCTGCTTGTAGGTTCAAACCTAGACCTCCAGCTCTTGTACTCAGAAGGAAAATGAAGTAGGTGGACTCCTTTGAGTTGAACCTCTTCAGCAAATCCCCTCGTTCGTCTGACTTGGTGGTTCCGTCAAGACGAAGGTAGCTAAAGTTTCTCCACCCAAGGTAGTCTTCAAGTATGGTCATCAACTGTGTCATTTGACAGAAGAGTAGAACTCGGTGGTTGGTGGCCTTCAGTTTTGGCAGAATTCGGTCCAACAGCTCAAACTTGCCAGAGGCTCGATAGAGATCAGGCCTAAAATAAGAGGAAAGTAGTAAGGTTGATTTTGTTGGTCATTAAATGAATAAAAGTAAGTAAAAATTATAATACTGAATAATTTTTACTGACCCTGAAACTGTGTGTCCTGAGGAGCCTATATGATCACAATATTTCTCCTCTATATGTTGGAACATAAACGGATGGTTGCACAGCTTCCTGAGCTGAACAATTGTATTCATGAGCGCCTTGGCTCCTCCCTTGCCCTTAGCTCCTTTCTCGGATCCATCAGTGAGCAAAACTCCCTTGCTCTGCATGTGCCTAGTCATTTGAAAAGTTGGTAATTTTTATTTTTAACTAATTTTCTTGAATTTCATACCTGTAGAGGACCTTCTGCAGACTGGACATGTCGCATTTAACGATGTACTCAACCTTGTCCGGCAATTGAGCTTCAACCTCTTTCTTGAGACGTCTCAGCAAGAACGGACGTAGCACTTTGTGCAAACGGCGGATGATCAAAATGGTTTCTTCCTCGTTCAACTCGACCTTCTCGCCTGTGGTCGCAAACGGAGCGTTGAACCACTGCTCGAACGTGCTGCATGACTTGAAGATGGAGGGCAGCAGGAAGTTGAGCAGCGCCCACAGCTCAGGCAGTTTGTTCTGTAGAGGGGTGCCTGTGAGCAGCAGGCGATGTGGCGCTATGTAGTGTGTGTTCAACACTTGCGTCAGTTTGCAGTGGTGGTTCTTCATGCGATGACCCTCGTCAATGATCATGTACTTCCAATGTATCTAGTTTGATATTTTTAAACAAGTAGAAATTTTACACTGACGACTGAAAAGTTAATTTACCTTTGCAAGGACAGCTTTATCTTTGATGACATATTCATAGGTTGTGAGTAGGACATTAAACTTGGTGGAACGCATCTGGCTCTGAACAGTTCGTCTCAATTGCGGTGAACCTTTGTAGGCAACGACTAAAACAGTTGGAGCCCATTTCTCAAATTCCAACACCCAGTTTGATAATGTTCTACAAAATTTAAAAAATTAAGACTTTTTGTTTAGTTTCATAACCAAATTATAACATACGACAAGGGAACTATGATGAGGAACGGTCCATTGACTTTCTTTTTCTCCATCAAAGTTGTTATTAATGCTATAGTCTGAATTGTCTTTCCAAGACCCATTTCATCAGCCAATATGCCATTCAGATTATTGTTGTACAAAGACACCAGCCATTCCAAGCCCTGCAGGATTTTATTTTTTGAAATTGCTACAAAATCTTCTGATTGATGAGATAGCTCACCTTTATCTGGTATTCTTTGAGATCACCGTTGACCATGATTGAGGCCTGTTCCTTAACCTCTTCTCCTATTGTGTGCGCAATGCTGTAGTAAGTTTGCTCCTCGCTGTTTTTCCTGTACTCGTCATCCTCAACCTTTGGCTTGTGAATTGTTTTCTTCTGGTCTGATGCTTGATCGTCTCCATTCTTGCCCTCTTTCTCGGTCTTCTTTTCAGCCGATTCCTCATCGTCAGATTCCACTTCCCAATCTTCGTCCTCAGGCTCCCAGCCAGGATGCTGCTCGAGCCACTCCTTCAATTGACTGGCCAAAGGAGCATCTTCTCCAGTCAGTGTGTTGCCGGAAGCTTTTTCTATGACGTTGACACGTACATCGTTTGACTGAGAATTGTCGTCGGCATTTTCACCCTCCGTGTCACCCTTTTTTCGTTTCTTCTAAACAGAGCAAGACACATTTAGATGTATTCTAAAATAAATTTTTGTTTGTACATACCACCTTCTTTTCTTCAACTTGCTTCTTTTTCTGCTCCATTTTGTGCATTTTGACCATTTCTGTGAGATTTCCAATGTACTCATCGGTCTGAGACAAAAGGAAGGCCAGGCGCTTGTCTTTCTTTTGATCAATGAGTTTTCTGTAACCCTCTTCATCCTCAGCCATGAGACGGCGCATACGTTCCTTTTCAATTCGTTCCTGTTCCTTCTTCTGCTCCCGCTCAGCATTCACATGCCAATTCATAACTGCCTTGTTGACCTTACCGATTTTGACAAGGTTGTTACGATAGAATTCTTTATGATCCTTTGCATGCTGGAGAATAGTGTTTAGATATTCCTGAAAGAAAATGAAGTTTAAGAATTTCTACATAAAATTATAAACTTTGAATTTACTTGATGCTTTATTCTTCTCTTGCGATCGGCTTCCATTTTCTGCTGCTTTTCCAACTTTTCAGTCATACGAGCTTCTCTTAAGCCTTGCCTTTTTGTTCGTCTGTATGCCTTGATATTAATTGCAGTTTCTAGAGTTGTGTCTCTCCTTGTACAAGCAACAATCTAAAAATTGGATTTCAATTATAATTAAAATGGTTAAGTGCAGATAAAATCTACAACCTCTGCCCTGAGCTGCCTTTGAATGTTCAAAACTTTCAGGGCTCGAAGCTCTATCTGAGCTTTAATTTTCAATTCTTCTGGCAATGAAGGCGCTATTTGTGTCAGCTCCTCAATTCGGTATGCAATCTGAGCAGCTAGCCTGAAAATGGAACAATAAGATTTAAATGAGGATCTATTAGAGTATTATTTAATTATTAGTGCACTTAACTTAAACGGCAGTTCCGTTTAAAAAAATTTAGTTAAATGCTACTAATACACATGTAATAAAACTTGCCTGTTTTCTCGCTCGCCAAGCAACATAATAGGATCGATTCCGCATGGTTTGGCAAGGGTTGTGACCCTGACTTGCGACTTTTGCTGTTGCTGTTGCTGCTGTTGTTGTTGTTGTTGTTGCTGCTGCTGCTGTTGTTGCTGTTGCTGCTGAAGTTGTTGTTGCTGCTGTAGGGAGGGCTGCTGGCCTGGGGGCATGGGAGCCCCTACGGGTGGCAACTGCTGCAGAGCACCTGGAGGGCCTTGCATTTGAGGAGGATAAGCATTAGGCTGAGGCGGGGGTTGCTGCCCAGGGGGAAGGTGCTGAGGGGGCATGCCAGGTCGCTGTTGGGGCATCATGGGGTGGTAGCCACCCACCGGACCGGGCGGGCCTCCGTGCATGGGCGGTGGGCCCGAGTGCCGGGGCATCATGTGAGGCGGCACGCCTGCAGGAGGAGCGCCCGTGTTGGGGGCCATCTGGCCCATCATGGGCGACTGGTTGGGCGGCTGACCCCCAGGGGGACAGGGGGGACGCATAGGGTGGCTCATTTGCGGGGAAGCAGAGGAGGAAGGAGGGGCTGAGCTGCTGGTGCTTGCAGGGCCGGAGGAGGAGCTTGTGGTAGCACCTGTAATGGACATGCTGTTAAGTACGAGGGAGACACACACGGACAAACAAAAGAAGAGTGCGTTTCAAGGCAATTTAAGTAACTGAGAATTAAAACAAGAATAAGAATAGCGATAATTATGCTGATTTTGTATTTTTATCTAAAAAAAATTTAAATGTGATACATTTAAATAGTGGAGCAAATAAACATGTATAATGAAAAAAATTACTTTACATTTCCTTAATTTGAAGCGATTCAATTTGTTAAAATCAAATTTTACAGAAAAGCCAATATTAAGATTATTGTTAATCCCGAATTACTAAAAAATTTAAATCTACAATTTTGTTTTGCAATAATTGATAAATTAAAAATTCATTCAATTAATTTTCTAAATAACAATGCCTTATGACACACTCTGCAGAGAATAACATGCACAGCTCTAGGAAATTAGTCACGAGACAATGTGACGAAGAAGCGAGGCTTTGTAGGTTCGGGAGTAGATTTTCTAGGTTTGGGACAAACAAAATGCAGTTTAACGAAATATAAATGAGGATTTTACAGACAAAGAATATTAAAATGACAGCCGCAACCAACTCTAAGAAGCAAAAACTCTGATGATTCAGTCTAAAGTAGCAGTGGGGAGGAAAATGGAAATTTTTCTCTCCCAACTCACCACTCTCAGGTGACGGCTGCGACTGGGACGTTGGCGGTCCCTGCGGCGTGGGCGGTTGTGGGGGCTGTGGTGCCCCTGATGGGGACTGACTACCTCGTGAAGGGTAAGGCCCTGGAGAACCCATATGAGGGGGCCCTGCGTAACATCAAACCATGAAGCCTCCGTACACAATATTTATTTACAAAACAATCAAGTGAGGCTTCCCATGAAAAACGACTGTGCACACAAAAGGACAAACATCGGAGAGAAAGAAAGAAATAGAGACAGAAGGTTGATAGAATTAAAGCCCTCCTCCTCAAAGCAGAAGCTTTTCTTGTATCTGAAATACGCACCTGGCGACTGACCTCCAGGGCTGCCCATCATCGGTGAGGGAATCGGTCCTCCCTGTTGGTTGGGTGCTCCAGGAATGCACTCCATTCGCTTGCCTTGAACGGCCATGGCAAGTTGTGGCGAAAGGGCCGAACCTCGTGCCAGCATCCTGTATGCCATGATCTGCACCTTCAGCTGCTGCAGCTGTTGAGGGGAGAAATTGTGCGGGGGCTGGTTTGAGCCTTTGCCTCCATCATTAGGACCACCAGGACCTGGGCCGTATCCCTGAACATAATAAAATTTCCCCCCAATTTGTATTAAGATTTAAGACTGTAACCTTAATAACATAATTCTTTTAAGGATTTTGTTTATGATCCAGTGAAAGTTGTTTGCTGTCATTTTATAATCATTTTTTTATAAGTTTACCTGTCCAGGCATGCCCTGCCGCGATCGCATGGACGATAGATGCGCATACCGGGGGTCTTCTTGTATGCCCTTGTCGTCCATTGAATCAATGGCCCTTTGCATTGCGCCCAAACTTTCTTGCGGATTGTAGCCCTGAATTTGACGTACATTTTTGTTCTCGTCAGAAATTTGAAATAAATTGTTTTTGCAACACCGAAACAGCAAAATGCCAACCAAAACAATCACAGCCAAACAACTACTGGATCCAAATTAAAAAATCTAATGAAACTAAAATAAGGAACACAGCACGCCAATATAAAGGCTGATAAACTAAATTAATAATAATCAGCGCTGCGAATAATCAGCGCTCTTGGCGAAACAAAAATAAAATACTGCTATTTTTATACCGAGCCATTCAGTTATTTTTTAAACAAACCTGCTGTGGCGGTGGCTGATGTCCAGGATGAGGCGGTCCTTGGGGATGCGGACCCTGAGGATGCTGACCAGGCATTGAGCCTTGTTGTCCAGGATGCATGGGCATTGGTGGGCCACCTTGGTGAGGCGGCATAGATTGGTGTGGCCCATGGTGAGGCATACCTTGATGAGGGCCCCCTGGCATGGACTGATGGGGAGGTCCAGGAGGTCCTTGGTGTCCCATCGGACCAGTGTGAGAATTTGGTGGGCCTTGATGAGGAGGTCCTGAATATAAATGAGCATATTTTAAATAAATAGTTTTATAATTTTAATTATATAGAAAAGTTCTTACCTGGAGGCCCTTGATGTGGCCCAGGTGCTTGGTGCGGCCCAGGAGGACCTTGGTGAGGTCCAGGAGGGCCTTGATGAGGACCCTGCGGTCCTTGGTGTTGACCTGGAGGTCCTTGATGAGAGCCTGGAGGACCCTGATGAGAACCAGGAGGTCCCTGATGAGGCCCAGGTGGACCCTGATGCGATCCAGGAGGACCTTGATGATGTCCACCTAGATTTAAAATTTACTTTTACTCTTTAATTCAGTTGGGCAATTTGACACTAGGGAAAATTGAAAAATGGGAAATTTTCTACGATGACGAAAATGTGAATGTGAAATTGCGCGCACGAGCAGTAATATAATTTTTATTTTTATTTCAGAAACAAAATTTAATAAAGTTTACTTTAAGTTTTGAAACAGAACTTTTCAGTTATTGTTTCAGTTATCAGAAATTTTTACCTGGCCCCTGGTGAGGTCCTTGGGGGTGATGACCCGGTGGCACGCCTTGATGCGGAGCTGACATTGGATGTCCTTGGTGTGGCCCCTGGGGCACTTGGTGACCTGGCCCTTGATGCGGTGGACCTTGATGCATTCCAGGAGAACCTTGATGCATCGGACCCTGATGAGGAGGGCCTCCCGAGCCTTGGTGAGATCCAGGAGGCATCTGCCCTGAGGGATGAGATCCACTAGGGCCCTGGTGAGCTCCTCCCTGACTTTGTCCTTGTGGCCCTTGATGCAAAGGACCCTGAGGGCCAGACTGGTGCATACCAGGAGGAACACCTGAGCTTTGAGAAAGTTGCGAGCTGGGAGGACCATGGTGAGGGCCCATTCCCATAGGCCCCATCTGACCTGGATGTGGGCCATGGTGTCCTGGGTGAGGCCCCATTTGCATGGGATGCACTGGATGAGGGCCTTGAGGGCCCATGTACCCGGCTGGAGGGCCGTGGGGTGGCCCATGTGGCCCCATGGCAGAGGGGTGCTGCTGCATCATGTGCTGTTGTCCAGGGGGCACTCCGTGGGATCCCATGTGTTGCATGTGAGGGCCTGGAGGTTGCTGGTGCTGCTGAGAGCCAGAGTGCATTGGCCCGGAATGCGAACCAGGAATTTGATGACCTCCAGGGGCTTGCTGGGGTTGGTGCTGCTGTTGCGGAGACGGCGCGTGATAGTTCATAGGCCCTGGAGACTGCGCTGGGCCGGGGCTTTGCGACGGAGGGTGCCCATGGGGTGGACCCATCGACTGCGGCGATTGCGGCATAGGGGAGGAGGCTTGCTGAGGTGGCCCCATTGGCGAAGGGGGCGGCATAGGTTGAGGGGACGACATTTCTGCGGCTTCACTCCTGCAAATTATATCGATCGAGAGTTAATTATGCATGAATCAAACGAAAAACTTAGGGTATAGGCCGAAATAACACAGAAAAATGGTAAAAGAAATCGGCCTGTCAAGTTTCGAGAAACAGCCATCTTGATGTAAAGTGGACAAAAAACTAATTTCCGCCGCAACTTCGGCTCTCCCATTGAATAGTACCCTGCTGCTGACAAAATAGTGAAGTCGCGAACCAAAATTTAAAATTTTTATGAACTCTTAACAGAAAAATGAGTCTAATTACCTCCTCAAAATTAGAAATTCCTATCATTTTGCTATCAATCACGAAAACAAGCCGACAACGACAAAAGCGCCACGACCACCGAGCGGCATAAACAACAAAACTGTCATTTTCACGAGTGTGCCCCGCCTTCATAAGCAAAATTGCCAACAAGAAAACTCCATTTCTTACTAGTGCCAAAATTATTTTATACCGCTTAAATAACTGAAAAAATTAAATAGAAAAAGATTTTTATAATTATTTTTGTTTTTTTTCTGCTTGATATGGCCACTCATTTGAGTTAACATTAATATATTTCTTGTCAGTTTATTTTTATTTTGTTGGTGGTTTAACAATTAATACTTCCCCCTCCACTCTCCACTGATGAATCTCCTTGGAATCTCCCTCTCCCTTGTCTCTTGTGTTTTCATTGCGGTCGTAGCACACGTGTTTCTGTTTTATTACGTATTACGTCTTTACGTACAAAAGTAGCCAAATTTTCCCTATTAATTATTGTTGGAAAAGTTCCATAAAAATGGTTCGGCGGCACAATAATCAGTTGCCAGATAACATTCCTCAGCTTCAAAACTTGATAAAACGAGACCCTGTGTCCTACAAAGATGAGGTCTGTGCCCGGTCGCAAAACTTCGGATTTTTGTATAATGTTGATAATAATACGAATTTTACAATTTATTTTCAGTTTATGCAGCAGTACCGGCATTATCAGGCCACACTTGAAGTCTTCAAGCTTCACCCTGATCAAAATGACAAAAATCTGGATGAAATTGTCATGTTTTTAGCCCAGGTAAAAATTAGCACAATGGTTTGTGCTGTATTTAATTTTTATAATTATCTATTTATTAGGTTGCCCAATGTTATCCTGATGTTCTAGAGGCTTATCCACAAGAACTTGTTGATATTTTACAGTCCCACCACACTGTTCTAGATCCAAATATGCGAATGGTAAAAGGGCCTTAAAAATTTGCCTCCGAAAATTTTAATTTTCCTTCTCAGTCATTTTGTAGAGCTCTTGTGCTGTTGAGGGGTAAAGGTCTTTTGTCTCCAACTGACTTGCTGTCACTTTTCTTTTCACTCCTGAGGTGTCAGGACAAAAACCTGCGGACCTTTCTGCAAACGCACATCATCAATGACGTTAGTGGAATCAATGCAAAGCACAAGGATGCAAAGCTCAACAGAGTAATATTTTATTAAATCTGATATTTAAATAAACTAATTATTTGAAATTTACAGACTTTGCAGAACTTCATGTTTAACATGTTGAAGGACAGCAACTCGAGGGCTGTGAAAATGTCATTAGTTAGTTTCAATACATAGATGCATAAAATTTGGTTCATCTTAATTAATTTTATTATTCGCAGGATATTATGATTCAGCTCTACAAGAAGAACATTTGGAATGACGCAAAGACTGTCAATGTTATTGCCACAGCCTGTTATTCCAAATTTGCTAAGGTTAAAGTTGCAGCTTTGAAATTCTTCATTGGCAAAGATCCAGAAGAAAAAGAATCAGACGATAGTGATTCTGATGATGTAAGTGTTTCAACTTAAATGAAAATTATTATAATAATTCATTAAACGCAGGATGAAAAATTAACCACCAAAGAAGTCGTCATGTCCAATCGCTTCAACAAGAAAAGCCGGAAAAGGGAAAAGCAGCTCTTGAAAGTCAAGTCTTTGATCAAGAAACAACAAAAGAAAAAGTCAAAAGCACCAAATTTCAATTTCTCTGCCTTGCATTTGATCCACGACCCACAAGGATTTGCGGAGCAGATTTTCAAAACTTTAGAACGAGCCAATGAGCGTTTTGAGGTCAAGCTGATGACCCTTGATGTGATTTCAAGATTGATTGGACTTCACCAGCTGTTCATCTTTAACTTCTACCCTTACTTGCAGAGGTTTTTACAACCTCACCAAAGGGGTAAATAATCTTAAATTTTTAACCTTAAAAAGTGTCTCATGAAATCTTTAATTATCAGAGGTGACCAGGCTGCTTCAATTTGTTGCTCAAGCTGCCCACGAACTTGTCCCACCAGACATAATTCAACCTATTTTGAAAACTTTGGTCAACAATTTTGTCACTGAAAGGAATTCTTCGGATGTCATGGCCATTGGGTTGGAATATCTAATATAAAAAGAAATTTTATTAATTAATTTCATCAAATCAGGTTGAATGCTGTTCGAGCAATTTGCAGTCGGTGCCCCTTGGCAATGGATGAAGACCTGCTGCGCGATTTGATCGAGTACAGGAACTACAAGGACCGCAGTGTCATGATGGCCTCAAGATCTCTGATGGCGTTGTACAGACTCAACAACCCAGACATGCTTAGGAAAAAAGACAGAGTATAATCAAAGTGACTGTTGTTAAAACAGAAACTGATAAAACATGTGTTAGGGTCGACCAACTGAAGCTACAATTGAGCTGAAGCCAAGGAAATATGGTGAAATGGACACCAAGGAACACATTCCTGGAGCTGAAGTGTTGTTAGATGAGAAGAAGAAGAAAAAAGGAATCGTAAGTTTTTTTCTAATAATTATGGTATGTCATTAAATTACCTATATATTTAGGAGGTCGACGAAGACGGCAGTGACAGTGATGATGGTGGTTGGGTCGATGTTTCGGGTGATGAAGCGGAAGATTCAGATGAGGGAAGTGGAGCTGAAGAATGTCAGGATGAGGAAGGAGAAGATGACGAAGATAGTGAAGGAGATGATGAGGAGTGTGAAGATGAAAGTGATGAAGACGAAGACATGGAAGATGAGGACGAAGATGAGTCTGGAGGTGGAAAGTCTAAGAAAAAGAAGGAGAAGGAAGTGAAAACAAAGGACGTATGTTTTATTAATTAAAATTGAGATGTGTTTTTATAAATTAACAATATAGGAGGACATTGAGGAAAAATCAAAAAAAGCAGCAGAAGTTTGTTCGATGAGGATTCTCACTGACGAAGATTTCAAAGCCATTGATGCTGCTCAAATCAGAAAACAAATTACTGTTGCATCCAAGAGCAGGAAGAGGAAAATTGCAGATGAGGATGTTCCCAAGTAAATTGATTGGTTGCAAACATTTATTTTGTATAATAATTGTCCTTTCCCGTTTCAGAGGTGAACTTGTAACCTTGGGTGATATTGAAAACATCCACAAAAAACGGAAACATGATAAAGCGGCAAGATTGGAAACCGTCAGGGTAATTTTTCTTCTTTTATTAACAATATCAAATTTATTGACCATGTCACTTGCAGAAAGGGCAAGAGGGAAGAGAAAAATGGGGTTATCAAGACCGCCGTCAAAACCCTCACTCCAGCAAAACCAACACTGAGAAGAAGAAGAATAAGGCCTTCAACATGATTAAGCACAAAATTCGAGGCAAAGTTAAAAGGTCGTTCAAGGATAAACAGGTGATTTTGATAGATTTTTAATTGACAATTATGAAAGTAATTTAAATTTTTTTTATCTCTGCTTAGATTTCTTTGAGGAATCATTTGCTGAAGATGAAAAGGTTGAAGTAATACATACCAGATGTATTAAAATAAAACATAGCTTTTGACTTACAATTAATGACTTTTAATTAAATTTGCTCTAAATTTTCTTTTTGGTGACATGTCTCTTCTCTACTTCTGGAGGTACATAGGTTTCTTCAACAACAGCAACGGTCCTTTCTGTCAGTTTCCTCTCCCCTTCCTCTTTCTCTGCCTCCTCAATGATCAAATTGTATTGGTCCTCTTTCTCGAAGAAGCTCAAAAGCTCCTCTCGCTCCTTCATATACTTCTTCTTCTCTTCGATTTGCTCCAATTTCTGCTTGATTTCAATTTCTCGCAGTTGCTTGGCTAACATTCTTTGTCTGTGCTCTTCCCACTCGACATATTTCTTTTCCTGTTCTTGAATATCTTTGGCCTCATTTTCTGTCACAGCTTCTTTCACTGAACCCTCCATCTGCTCTAAAAGATTTCCCTCCTTGGTTTTCACTTGTTTTAAAACTGCAACAGTGGCCTCGGGAACTTTTTCCTTTTCCAAACCAGAAATATGTTTCTCGATCAGGTCAATCGCTTCCCTAAAGATGGGCCCATTCAAACTTCCAGCCGATTTTTCCACCTTCTTCCAATCCTCGAACAAGGCCCACCCCAACAGCTCCAAACTTCCTGCCAGGACCTTGTCCTTAAGAGCTGGAGCCAAGATAGCCATTGTCTTGCCCATCAGAGCATTACCCTTGACCAAATCAAAGTGTCCGTCGAAACTGGGGTTCCTCAAAAAATTAACCCTGATTTTAACCTCCTCCTTGGGCTCCTCTTCGGGTGGAGGCAACTCCAACTCCCAGGTGACCTGCTTGAGGACATTTTGTAGGCAAGCCAGCAGGGACAGATTGTTTGTGATGTGGTTTCCGGTGTCCTCCTGCAGACCATGCAGAACCGCCACTTTAGCTGCCTCGGGTAACTTTTCCGCCTTCAGGAAGTCGTCCACGATTAAATTTGAAATATGGTAGTCAACGAAAATTCCGTAATTGAGACGATCGTGCAGAATCCGCAGCAGGTCATTGGTCCGTCCCGTAAAGTGCAGCAGTTGGACAAAATTGTGTCCTGTCGAGGGGAAGAGGTTGCCGGCCTGGCCACTCTGGCGCAGTTTGAACACCAGGTCCTCCACTTCATCCAGGTGGGTTTCGTCTTGTACACTGGCGGTGAAAATGTCCACGTCCACGCCGCTGATGAAGTCCTCCTGGTTGAGCTTCTGCTCTATGCTGTGGTACAGCTCGTCCTGATTCAATCGAGTCAGCAGAGGCGACTTCAGACGATTTTGCCATGCTTGTTCACACCTAAAAGAATTGAAGAAAATTATTTATTAAAAAAAAAAATCTACATAAAATTTCTTAAATATAAATTTTGGTGTTATGGGGTCTAGAAATACTGCTCAAAAACCGAAAAAATAATAATGTGCATATGTACTTCCAAATTTTGCGTCAGAAACTGTAGCCATTATGGCTTGTTTTACAGGAAAAGTGTAAATAAATCTGATTTGATCAAAAGATATCGAGGCAAAATAACCGGTTGAAAATAGCATACCGGTTTGAAAATTAACACCGGTTTTTGAAGTTCAGTAAAACCGCCACCAGGCGGCACCGTGATCATATTCCGCAGGGAGAGAGTGAGTGAGGGAGAACAAAGTGGCGCGCGCATCACTCTCCCTCTAGAAGATTCTGACCAGCCGATCTGCTGGTATAAAAAGGCCAGCTCAGCCGGCAAGAGACATTCGGTGTTCGGTGCTTGGAGCTCAGGCAGAGCAGAGAGTGGGACCTCTCTGGCCAAGGAGCTAAGCATTCCGGATCATTGCTTGTTGGTTCAAGTTTATTGGACGTAAACGGCATTGGATAGCTTAGATTATATTGCTTGATTGGCTCAAGTTTATTGAGCGTAAATTAGCAATTGTTTCAAGGAGCCGAGAGAGATTCAAGTCGTATTGAATGTTATTCTGGCTGTAGATTAAATTCATAGATCAGATTAAATTGGTGGATAAGAGACTTCATTCGTGAAGGACTTTTTACCAGCCTTGCTGTTAGGTGCCGATTAAGTGAGATTTATCTGCTTAAGTCTATTAAGTGGGTTATTGATCTTATTCTGCAATCAGGTAGATTAACTCAATAGTAAAGGTGTAATTGGCTCAAGCTGATTGAGCGTAAATTGCATTCTTTTGATAGGCGCTTGAAGTCGGTGAATCGGTGGCTCAAGTCTCGATTGAGCACCTTCATGATTGATAGCGGCAGGTGTTTCATTTGACAGATATTGTTTAAGATAAAATCCCGTCAGCCTGGTTAGGCAATAATTGGAATAATTGATCAGAATATTATATACACAGTATAGAGGTGTAAATAGCAAAGTTTGTGTGAATAAGAGAATTAGAATTAATACTGTCTCTGAGTTGGAAAAGAGTCGTATTTGGTATATTCTTTTTTAGGGAACCGTGGCATTGTCAAGATTGTCATCGGCGCCTTTGACTGATAAAAGAGGATTACCAAATATCAATTCCTTTTATTTGAGTTCTGCTTTAGGGAACCGTGGCACTGTCAATATTGTCATCGGAGCCTTTGACTGATAAAGAAGGACCAAATAAATCAAGGATTGATTTTGTTAGATTTGATTAGGGGCTGCTTTGTTGCTTGGAATTCTTAATAGAAAGAAGTGGTTAGAGAATCATAAAAATCCCCTAGACACACCGATCTTCAATTAGCTTCTTTCTAGGTAATTGTCGCACCCAATTACCATCCGTTAGGAAAAGCAAAGCCCGAGGACTCTGTTAATTTGAAATTAGCATTTTATTAAGATAATCAAAAACCACCTGTGCGAGCGGTCGCCTGTCTCTTTGTTAGTCTAAATAGCAGCCTTAGCAATACCCTAGGCACTTGTGTTTAGGTGAGACACGGTCGCGCGTTACAGAATTGGGGGCTCGGCCGGGATTTGATTAAATTCAGGTTTTTGATTGATCTTCAAATATGGAAGGAGACGAATCTCAAGGTTCTCAATACAACTCCGCAGGGAGTGGAACGCCAAATCCTGTTGTCAATCAGAATCCTCCTCCAGCGATTCCAGACAACAAACAAGGAGGAGGTGTTGTCCAAGGACAAGGAGATGTTGGTAAAGTGCTTGAAAAAGCATCCAAAAAATTGAAGAAACATGACAAAATGATTGAGTTGATTCATGAAGTCACGAAACCCATGATGGATTTTGTGTGTCAAAGAAATGATGAGTTGCATGAAAATCTTCTCAAAATTTCTGAAAATATGAAGAAACTCACTGATGAATTCTTCACTTTTGCGGAGGCAAGTAAGAAGCGAATTAATCAACTTGATCATAGGCTTGATAATTTGCATCAATCAAGCACTCCCAGGCAAAATACTCTCTTTAGTACTCCTGCAAATCGGCAGGAAAATGTCATTGATGATGATTTTACACTTGGAGAATCAAGGGGGCGTCGAGATACTGATAACAGTCGTGTTAAATTGGGTGTCTCTTTGCCTATCAGTCCTTATTTGAAAGGTGTGACAGAACGTCCAGAAGAAGATTTCTCTCGTTTGGGGGACAATGCTAGGGCCAGAGGTCGTTCCAAGGTTGTTCCTCCAATCAATGTGAGCTTGCCAACCTTTGATGGTGACAATAAAAAGTTGACTCCTCATCTCTTTTGCAAACGTTTCATTGACTATGCAAAGGCTCTTGAGGAGACACCTGACTCAATTCTTGAGCGTGACATGCCCATTGCTTTGAAAGGTGAAGCCAGAAAGTGGTGGGAGTTCCATGAAGGTTTTACTTCATATGCTCAGTTCAAAAAGGAGTTTATGAAGTATTTCCAGCCTCAGGAATATGATATTAACTGTCTCAAAGATATCGAGGTAAGATATCAAGGTGAAGATGAGACTTTGTCCCAATATCTGATTAATATCAAGGGAATGTATGATTCATTGTCAATCCTTGTGCCTATGCAAGAACAAGTATTGAAGGCCTATGGAAATATGCATCCTAATTACCAACAATATGTTGAAAACAAAGAGTATAGTTCGCTTCATGATATGTATGAAGACTCTTTCAGAATTGAAAAATCAGTCCAACACAGAAATAGATGGAAACCACCTTCTGCTTTTACCCAGGCTGAACCAATGTATGGGTATCAGAAAAATTCCATTGATGGGAAAAAGGTGAAGTTTAAGAGTGGGCTTCCTGAGGACGATAAGGGTGAAAACACAGACTCCAAGATGACTCGTCCTTTCATTCATAAGACCTGTTGGCACTGTGGGAGTGATGACCACTTAGCAGATGGATGCAATGTAAAACCTACTGCTAGAAATCCTCCTAAACAAGCTCCAGGAGCTAGATCCTCCAGTCAAGAGAGGAAAGAAACCATATAATACAGACAAGAAGATAAAGAACACTAGAATTAAGGATGTAAATATAGTTTTAAGTTTTAAGTTATGAGAAATAAGAGAACCATGATTGTAATAAGCGAAGAGTGCTTATGAGAGATAAAGGAATTTACACTTTTTGTAAATATTTTACAGTTTTTCTCAAATGAATGATTTTCCAAAAATTGGCCTGGGTTTTGTAGCCATTATGGCTTGTTTTACAGGAAAAGTGTAAATAAATCTGATTTGATCAAAAGATATCGAGGCAAAATAACCGGTTGAAAATAGCATACCGGTTTGAAAATTAACACCGGTTTTTGAAGTTCAGTAAAACCGCCACCAGGCGGCACCGTGATCATATTCCGCAGGGAGAGAGTGAGTGAGGGAGAACAAAGTGGCGCGCGCATCACTCTCCCTCTAGAAGATTCTGACCAGCCGATCTGCTGGTATAAAAAGGCCAGCTCAGCCGGCAAGAGACATTCGGTGTTCGGTGCTTGGAGCTCAGGCAGAGCAGAGAGTGGGACCTCTCTGGCCAAGGAGCTAAGCATTCCGGATCATTGCTTGTTGGTTCAAGTTTATTGGACGTAAACGGCATTGGATAGCTTAGATTATATTGCTTGATTGGCTCAAGTTTATTGAGCGTAAATTAGCAATTGTTTCAAGGAGCCGAGAGAGATTCAAGTCGTATTGAATGTTATTCTGGCTGTAGATTAAATTCATAGATCAGATTAAATTGGTGGATAAGAGACTTCATTCGTGAAGGACTTTTTACCAGCCTTGCTGTTAGGTGCCGATTAAGTGAGATTTATCTGCTTAAGTCTATTAAGTGGGTTATTGATCTTATTCTGCAATCAGGTAGATTAACTCAATAGTAAAGGTGTAATTGGCTCAAGCTGATTGAGCGTAAATTGCATTCTTTTGATAGGCGCTTGAAGTCGGTGAATCGGTGGCTCAAGTCTCGATTGAGCACCTTCATGATTGATAGCGGCAGGTGTTTCATTTGACAGATATTGTTTAAGATAAAATCCCGTCAGCCTGGTTAGGCAATAATTGGAATAATTGATCAGAATATTATATACACAGTATAGAGGTGTAAATAGCAAAGTTTGTGTGAATAAGAGAATTAGAATTAATACTGTCTCTGAGTTGGAAAAGAGTCGTATTTGGTATATTCTTTTTTAGGGAACCGTGGCATTGTCAAGATTGTCATCGGCGCCTTTGACTGATAAAAGAGGATTACCAAATATCAATTCCTTTTATTTGAGTTCTGCTTTAGGGAACCGTGGCACTGTCAATATTGTCATCGGAGCCTTTGACTGATAAAGAAGGACCAAATAAATCAAGGATTGATTTTGTTAGATTTGATTAGGGGCTGCTTTGTTGCTTGGAATTCTTAATAGAAAGAAGTGGTTAGAGAATCATAAAAATCCCCTAGACACACCGATCTTCAATTAGCTTCTTTCTAGGTAATTGTCGCACCCAATTACCATCCGTTAGGAAAAGCAAAGCCCGAGGACTCTGTTAATTTGAAATTAGCATTTTATTAAGATAATCAAAAACCACCTGTGCGAGCGGTCGCCTGTCTCTTTGTTAGTCTAAATAGCAGCCTTAGCAATACCCTAGGCACTTGTGTTTAGGTGAGACACGGTCGCGCGTTACAAAACAATTAAAAATAATTATACCTGTACGCATCACTCAGGTACGTTCTGAAGCTGGAAGCTCTTCTATAAGTTACCAAGAGCCGCCTAAGTGATGAGGTCAAGCTCATTTTCATTTTTAATGCGCTAAATAAAACTACTTTGATGCCTCAACCTTGTCTGTTTACAATTTTCAGCGGCTCGAAACAATCAAAACGTGTTCTTGCTTTCTGGTGAGGTCGGTCTGCGGACAGGTGGCACCACCGGCCCTCCATTGCGCCCCCCCCCCCCCAATCACAAAAAAAACTTTCTCTTCCGTGCCGTTCAAAGTGGGTGATTTTTCACGAACACATGTTGATTGTTGATTTGTTGTCGATCGGCGTAGGAGGACCTGCCACAGGGACGAACGCCCGCTGCCCTAGGTAAAATTTCTCTTCCCGATTTTCGTCGGCTTTCTGACTGATAATGTTGCCGAAGATCGGCATGTTTAAATTCGCTTGTTTAATTCATCATTATTTGCGAAGGCGCCTCGCAAAATTGGCACACAATATTAACTTTTGAATTATAAGGAAGGATGTAGCAAAATTCTGCTCTAATACTAAATCTTCTTCTTTTTTTAATTTTTAGATTGAAAGAGTTTTAATAATTAAATGAATGCATTTGTGTACATAATATACATAATATAATTTTCTAGAACATGATATTTCATCCGGCATCGGCGGTATCAATAAAAAATAATAACATTACATGCTTTAGAAAATTAATTATTAAATTATTATTTATGAATTTTTAATATAAACTCTAATAATCTAATTTGTGTGCTTATTATTTTAAATTTTATAAATTTTTAGAATGCGCCGCTTTCTTGGCTAATTTTTGTTTAAAATACAAAGTTTAAAACATACTTAAGCAAAAACATAAATTTGACTCTCCGATCTTTTGCCAGCATGTACATAATTATGTCTGCTTCTCATAGATACAGTTATCAACATTCTTGCTTAGCAAACAGAAATATTAAAATGCCAAATCTACATAAAATTGTTTTAAAGATCCACCAGAAATTATATTTATGTTTGCTTGAAGTGTTCCCCTATTAAAATATCTCCCGATTTTTTCGCTTTTAATCTTGTAAGACGTGAATTTGTGCGAGTGCAAAATTACTAGATCTATTTTTAACACACGTCACTTTCTTTTCTATATATAGAACGATTTTTATAGGCACCTCGTTGTCAGCTGAAATTATCTCTGATATGAGATCATAGCCCATTATATAATATAGCATCATCTTGTAATAAATGAGTCGAAGGACCGCTTTCAGGAAGAGCTTAAGATTTTTATTAAGTGTACTAATGTGTACTAATTTACTTTTCAATATACACATATTTTTTTATTATTTTATATAATAGATTTAACATAATTTCCTGTTGATTCTTTACTAGAATAATTAAAAATTTATTCCTTGGTTTCATAAATAATCTTTGATCAAATGAAATATTTGAATAAAATTAAAAAATCTTGAGCAAATTTATTAAATGAAAAATACCAAATATTGTTTTAACTTAGATGAAAATCAAGAAAAATTAATCGCCTAATATTAAATCTAAACTATTTTGAGACAGAAATGACTTTGAATAACAATGCGTAGTGGATAAACATGTGTGGAACAAAACGACTTATCTCTCTTATTTTTATGGGGCGCTTGTTTTTGTTTGTTCCAGAAGCTTTTCTTAAGAAGAACGTGCGAGAGATTGCCTAATAGTATAATAACTTCTTGTTTTTATCACAATTTATAACTGCACTACCCTTACCATTGTACACGTACGTATACGCAAATGGGAGGTTCAAAAGAATATATTTTTGCAACAACTCACGAGATAATCTCGGTTCAAGTGCGGTCATGTCATGCGTTGAAGATGAAAGTTTGCTTATCAATAGGGAAATGATCATAGTTCAATTACGCTTAATTTTGTAATTAAAAAATTGGAATATAATTTTTAAGTTAAATTTTTCACTTGAACGTACAGTTTTTTTCCACAGTTATGCTCACACAACTGAAAGGGTTTTGTTTTTTTATTCAAATTTATCTTCGAAATTAAAATTGATTGATTGTAAACATTTATAATCGCTTCAATTAAAAAAGTATCTAAAAATTATTATTTATAAATCAACATGACTATCTTTTGCTGCATTGCATAATACTGTTTCCTTATTTGGTTGCTGGGTGGAAATTTAAATATTGAAGCCAGTTTAGTTGGACATTTCTGGCTTTGTCACCCCGAGGGCATGAGCTTAATTTGGTCAACGTCAAAATGTGCTGCGTTTCCTATTTTTTTTTCTATTCTCACTCATTGTCAGTTTTGTGAAAATCTTGTGCCATCAACCACAGCTTAAAAGGAAAAATAATAATAAATCAAAAAAACTCATAAGCTCTACTCTTCCTGGCAATTATTCATGACATGAAATCAAGAATTTATCCGTTATTTATAATTTATAAAAAATTATTTTATCCATCGATACTCGTAAATCTTTTGATTGTTAGTAGAATAATTTTCTATTTGAAGTAATAATAAATATAAAACCTAATGGTTCAAAACTTTGAATTATCATTCCAGAGATAAAAATATAATATTTTCAGACTAAATGAAAGGGACATTGGATCATTATGTGAATATTCAAAGCCAAGGTGTGTCGCAAAAATGCTAAAAAAAGGTTTTCTCTCCTTGTGGTTGCACACCACAAGCAACCTACTTAAATGTCACAAAAACTTCATTTATAGAAATATACTTCATTAAATTGGCTTTCAAATAATTAGTTTGGTCATATCAGCGCTTCCTTTTAAATAGACCAATGTATTTTTCTAATCTAAATTAATTTTATGTATGTCAATGCCGACGAGGAGTAACACGTGTTTTGCAACAACTTTTCCACTGACGGTTAAGTTCAATGGAACGAAAGTGAGAATGCGACTGATGTCAATAACAAGATCGTTCTCCGTCACTTGTGATAAAAGTCGGTGCGTGTGCGAGTGGAAGGACCTATACGCTGTGTTGCATCCACTTTCTAAAGAAACCGACTTTGTCAGGGGGGTCCCTGCCTTTGTGGCTGAGGAGAGGTCACGTGGATCAAGTCTGGTGACCGGTCGACGAGCACGTGGTCCGCAGTCGCGATTATTGGCATAAATGGTGTGTGCGTTCGGCACGCGTGTAAATAAACGCAACCGCGGGCTTCACTCGCTCTCACTCGTCCGCCGAGCGTCCAGGTTTCCACACCCACTCCGGCTAGGCCCTTCTTCCTCACAGACAATTTATTTCCGCGACCAACACGTTTATTGCATAACTAGACACAGGTATTTTGTTTTTATATGGAAGCATTTTCATGATTCATACTTTTTTGAAATTTTTATTAGTCTTTGAAAAATTTACTCAATTCAAATTTTTCATTTGTCAACTTATTCAGTTAACTTTTCATTTACTTTGGTTACATACTATTTTTTTAAAGCAATTTTCTAATCTGTAAAAATTGCAGGTCCCGAAATTTTATAAAAAAATTTAATATTACTATCGGAAAAAATAATGCGTATCAGCAATGCATTTGTTTTTTTAAATCAGAATATAGATACGCAGTTTTTAAAATATAACGTTGATATTGTAACATTTTGTGTAAATAGTGTAAATACGATATAAAGAAAATATGTTGTTGATATTTTGTTTGAATATTACATAATCTCTCACATTCCCGGAACTAACTCTATGATGGTGAGCTAGGCTAGGCTAACAGTAAAACCTTGTGTTGTTATATAATCATTTTTCATCCACAAAAAATTAACAGCAGTTTTTATTGTAATATCTAGACAAATTTGGAGCAATATATTTTTAAGTTTAAAGGCTTTTTAGTTTTGCTTGTATACTTTAAGCGTCAATTAAACACGGCAATTAAAATTAAACAGCGCTTTTTCTGCGAAAATTTGCGCCGCAACAAAAATTGCTCTTAAAATTAAGAGTAATTTTCTATTTCTCGAGCAATTTTAATGGTTGCAAGGACGTATTGAAACGGCAATCTATTTATATTCTCACATTCTAAATTTTTAACTAAATGGTTAAATATGTGAATTTTTGTCTATGCATCACAACCTTTCAAATTAATCCTAATTTTATGATCAATTTGCATGTCTAGCCAATCATGGACAATCAGGCATCTCCCGTTGCCGCCGAAAGCTCGTCAAGCGTTCCAGACAAGGATACCACCGGTCTGACCCATGAGTGCGGCGTTTTTGGTTGCATCGCCACAGGCGAATGGCCAACGCAAATTGACGTCGCCCAAGTAGTTACACTAGGCCTAGTTGCCCTCCAGCACAGGTAACATTCCACCATAAATATTTCCTACTAAAGCCATTTTCAATGGAGCCATAATTATAAATGTAGTGATTATGATAATAGCTTTGGTAGTTCCATTTCCAAATATATATTTTTTCAAATGAAATTTGTATGCTTTGCTAAAAATAATATATTTTTGATGGAAAGGGCGAGGATCTAATTTTCGCAAAAAAAAATTGTAATTGAACTTTGATATAAACACTATTAATAATACGATTTCGCCATTTCAATTTGTTTCAACCTGAACATTGGAACGCAGAGGTCAAGAGAGTGCTGGAATTGTGACAACTATGGGTGACGAGACGGGCAAGTTCTTTGTGCACAAAGGCATGGGCATGATCAACACTGTCTTCAACGACGACGTCATGAAAAAATTAAAAGGTTGCTTTTACTACAAATTTTTAATTAATAAAAAAGATAGCACTAAACGAAGAATTTAATCAGAACAATATGTTATTATGATAAAGGAAAACATGTTTAGAGATTAAATTTTCCTTATCTTCAGATTTAATTATAATTTAAATATGCATCATGATCTCAATTTTTATCAAAATTATTAGTTAAGTCAATGACGTTAAGTTTTAAATGATTAATTATCAATTAATTATTGATTAGGAAATCTTGGCATTGGACACACGCGGTACTCAACAAGCGCCGCCTCAGAAGAGGTCAACTGTCAGCCGTTTGTGGTTCACACAGCACATGGGCCTCTAGCCGTGGCTCACAACGGCGAGCTTGTCAATTGCTCGGCACTCAGACGATGGGTAATTATTGTGTGCTTATTATTGTCTGACAGTAGCTTTTATTTTCTGCTGACACAATTAATTAATTGTATTTTACGGCAGACTTTGAATATAATAAATTTATAATATAATTGTAGCCCTAAGACCCACAACAATTTCTGTTTTAAATAATCCATACGAGCAAAGGAAAAGTAATTTTGTTTACCATCTTTTAAGGTTTTGGCACGAGGTGTTGGTTTGTCAACCAAGTCCGACAGTGAGCTCATCACCCAGTCTCTGTGTCTGAATCCTCCTGATGGAGAATTGGACGGCGCCGACTGGCCTGCCCGAATTAAACACCTCATGCAGCTGGCGCCTCTTTCCTACTCATTGGTCATTATGTTTGGAGACAAAATTTACGGAGTCCGAGACCCCTATGGAAATCGCCCTCTGTGCCTTGGAAAAATCATGCCAGTGAACTCAAATACTTCTTCAGGTAATTTTATAAATATTTTTACAAATTATTTAAACCAAACACTTTAATGGAAGGAATGACCAATGGTCTCAACTCTACGGAAGGCGAAGGCTGGGTCGTTAGTTCCGAGTCATGCGGATTTTTGTCCATTGGGGCTCGCTATGAAAGGGAGGTGAAGCCAGGCGAAATTGTCGAACTGACCCGAGATGGCGTGAGAACAGTCTGCATTGTTGAACGACCCGACAACAAGCCGCAAGCTTTCTGCATTTTTGAATACGTGTACTTCGCTAGGTCCGACAGTATTTTTGAAGGTGAGTTTAAACTCGATAGTCATTGAATAAACTTTACACTTCGTTTATTCTTCCAGGCCAAATGGTTTATTCCGTCAGAATGCAGTGCGGCCGAGTATTGGCCAGGGAGACCTACATCGAAGCTGATTTGGTCAGCTCAGTGCCAGAATCTGGCACAGCAGCAGCTCACGGTTTTTCTCAGGAGGTGATTTCAGTTTTGCTGTTAATTAGTTTTATTTTTTGATACAAATATTTTGAAAATTATTGTAATTTTGGATTTTCTTTAGTCTGGCATTCCATTTGGTGAGGTTCTCTGCAAGAACCGATACGTTGGCAGAACTTTCATCCAGCCGAGCACACGACTGAGGCAGCTTGGAGTGGCAAAAAAGTTTGGAGCTCTCTCTGAAAATGTGAAGGATAAGAGAATCATTCTTATTGATGACTCCATTGTGAGGGGAAACACAATTGGACCGATCATTAAGCTCCTCCGAGATGCTGGAGCCAAAGAAGTATGGGCTTTTTAGTTTAGAAAAATAAACTCTAATCCTGAATTCAAAAGGTCCACATTCGGATTGCGTCACCACCTCTTCACCACCCGTGTTACATGGGAATCAACATTCCTACCCCTGAAGAGCTTATTGCTAATAAATTGAATCCAACACAATTGGCTATGCATGTTGGTGAGTTTTAGATAATTTTTATAAAATTAATGCGTTTTACTTATTTATTAATGAATTATGTTCTAGGCGCTGATAGTTTGGCCTATTTGTCCAATGAAGGACTTGTGCAAGCTGTGAGACACAAAATCGCCAACAAGGATTCGCCTGAAATTGGCCACTGCACCGCATGCCTCACTGGCGAATACCCAGAGAAGTTGCAGTGGTAGTTTTAATTTGATTGCCATTCTACCTCCAGTTTTAGCTTTTATATTTCTCCAAATCATTGTGCCATCCATTATTTCATAATTTAATAAGATAGAAGAACAGAATTCTCATAATATTTGTCTTGTGCAGTTGTCGAGATTGTCTTATATTCGTTCAAGTGTCGTCGTTTTCCTATGTTTTCAATTCATTACATTATGTACTCTTGTAAGAACTGCTGAAGGCTGACACATAAATGTGCCTTATTTTTATTTTTAACATCAGTTTTCATGGCTAGGATATAAAAGAAAATGAAAATATTTTCAAATAATAATTGAATTTTTGTCTTCAAATTGTTGTTTTATTTTCTTACAGAACAAAATGTATGCAAAAGCATAATAAGACATAAATGTTAAGCCAAGCTACATTTTGATAAATTTGTATCCTGTGCAAGTTGCCAGAGAAAAATCTCAAGGATGTGGTTATATCATTAATCTAAACTTTACAAAATACAAGTTTACAAGTCTCAGATATATATAGTTACTACGCAAGATATTTGTTTTCCTTTTTGTAACTAAATGCTACTTAAATTCTAATAAAACAGACCAGGCTAGATATTATTAAACATACACTTAAAAATGAATGAAAATAAAATTAAATGCTATCAGTCTGCGGTTGGAAATGATACATATTTTTATAAAATAATTAATTCTATTCTGCTTTGACTCACTTCAAACGATGTGAAGTTAAAAATTGTGTTTTGCATAATTATCGAATATTTTCTCCGGTAAAAGTTTTTGATAAGAGCGTTTAAATCCTTTCATTAATTCAGTTTGTATTATTTAATCAAGGGTGATTAGAGTTGTTATTCAATTGTAATTTAGATTATGGACACGTGTTCATCCTTGTGAATTTTGCGTGCAATCGCGCGTGCGATAAAACGGAATCACGATAAGGAAAGCTCAAAATATGAGAGCTCTTTTGATAACGCGGAAATTATATTATATCGATGCACGCCGTTCACATGTTTTTCGAGACTGCGGTTCAACGAATTGCTGATAAAAAGTCAAGTGGCGTCAGACAAATTTTCGATCTGATGTCCTGGTCTCTAAAGTCTTAAAATCCTTGGGCAACTCTCGCGCTCATTATGTTAAATATTGACATGATAAGACCGACGTGGAGAGTGTTGCTGTGCCTTTTTAGCTCTTTTATCTACTGCAACACCAGAGATAGGGAGTCCTCTTCAAGGAACTGAAGACCCATTTCACTGGAAACATATCAGATTATTTCTGCCGGAGATATATACCAATAAACATCGCAACCCGAACGCAGGCACGCATTTATTCACGCAAATTAATATAGTGGGTAAGAATTCAATATAATTATCTTATATATGTTATTGATGATTTTAAAGAAAAGATTTAATATTTTTTTTAAAAAAAACAAAATAATAATATTTTAACAATTACGTGAATCACAAACAAGGAATTCCGCTTACAGAAGGAGAATTAAATTATCCAAGTTTCTCATAAGTCATATTGCTTATTAAAAGATTTGAAACATAACACGGAATAATGATTTTAAACAAAATAAATAAATTATTATGAAATGTTTGTAAATTGCAGGAAATTAGAGATCACAAATAAGAAAAAATGGCTTGGATAAAAAAGAAATTTCCTCCTGGAATGAAAACCCGGAAGAAAAAACTTGGCCAGCAGCTAACAAATCAGCAAGAAACGGAAACTGTAATCAGCGTTTCCAGCCACCACTGCAATACACAGAGGAAATATAGTAATAATGTGGACTCGGCCGCGCGCCTTAGAAGACGGTATTTCTATTTTGGGCCTCAAATATCACCACTTCGACCATTGGTTGTTCAAAACCAAGCGGATTTACGCAGCTCCTGGCATACCAGAATAATTCCAACAAAGAAGGTAAATTTGCCGACTTGGGGCTTAATTTTTTTTGTTGCTTCCAATTGCGGTATATTAGGAACGTGTTTATTTTTCTCTAAGAAATCTGATATCGCTGCTTATCAGAACAATTTCTAATCAATAGAGATGCTTCAGAGAAAAAGCCGCTTATTTTCGCAAATTTTGAAATGATGCAAGAGTGTTTTTTAATATACAGATTCTCACACAAGAGAATAATTAAAACAAAAATAATATAACATTAATAAAAATTAAACTAAAATTTGCAGCGGTTTGAATTAGAAAAGAAACCTCTGCGGTGTCGGCAGAACTTGCTGATGAGTGGAGGGTCAGTGCTGATGGAGAGGAGCTGCACTGTTGAGGAATTAAAATTTCGCGAACTTGAGGAGCAAGTCTGGCTCCTGATGTGGCTCGTTCTTGAACCGCAAAGACTCCAATATCTCGTCCAGGTGCGGAAAAAAGAAAAATAATATGCCGAAAAAGCGAAAACGCTTTTGATATATTTAATTATAACAATGAAAAATTTACCTTTTAGAAATATGGAAATGAGCGAATGTCGCGCCGTTGGGCCGAGGGCCGTTGGGGCTCGTGGTTGGTGTGGCGGGCGCTTTTGGTGAGCTGCTCGGCCGACGGCACCAAAAGCGCGATCCCCGTTCCCTTGGCTGAAAACCACGTATGTGACATGCCCTGTCTAAGGGACCACGTGAGCCGCTTGCTGGAAATTTGCGCACCCACCAGAGACTACTGGCGCATGTTCGGCTGGACAGGACTGTCAGTCGAAGCGGTTTTGCAGAAAATTATTAACGAAGGTGAAAATCTAAAAATTATCATAGTGGCGTATTTGCTGCTTGGCATAATTTAAATTTGAGTGAAGAAGTTAATTTTTACTCAAATTTTAATTTTATCAGTAGTTTTAAACAGAGAATATAAAAATTCTCATTTCTAGATATAATGCCAATGGCTCAGTCACTAAGAGTGGTTCCTCCTGAACTTCAGGCATCCCTCAACCGTTTAGCAGAATATCAGCGGGCCTTGGAAAAGGAAAGGGAAGCTTCCTTAAGTTTAATCGTGAGAAATAAATAGAAAAACGTCAGAATGATTTTTGATTGAAGCTTTGTTTTCCTTTGACGAGGAAGGAAGAGGATCAGAGCACCAAGACCCCAAATGGCGGAATTACATTGCCCAGAAAAAGAGGAAGACCGGCAAAATCGACCACGATGAAAGGCAAGGAAACAGGCAAGGAAAAAAACCACAATTGTAAAGTAATATCACGACAAAAGAATAATGCAACTACAGGCCGCATCGAAAGAGTATTTTTGTGGAAATTTCTTCTTGAACTTTTGGAGGACCCAACAATGAGAAATTGTCTCCGTTGGCTTTCCCGCGAGGAAGGGATTTTCAGAATCTTGAACACTGACCTGCTGGCCCGACTTTGGGGCCGGCGACACGGGAATCCCGGCATGACGTATGAAAAACTGGCTCGCGCTATGAGGTGATTTGGAATTTTATTCCTCATTAAAATTGTTTCACTGACGTCAATGATACAGGAAATTATAATGGAAATATTAAAAGTCGGTTCTATAATCTCGTCATTAGCAATAACGAGGATATTTTCCAAGAATATAATAATCAAGTTCATTTTAATTTTTTTCCCAGGGGCAGTAGTTGAAAAACATTACGTTTTAACTGATAATACCCATTTGATGCGCAATCGAATTAGCATACAAATAATTTCTGCTCTTTTGCAGGACGTACTACAGGTCGGGGACATTCCTGATGGTGCCGAGGTGTCGGAACCTGCCGCGCAAACTGGTTTACCGCTTCTCGCCGCTGACCATGCAAAAGTTTTGGCAGAGGCACCATCCACAGGGCAGTCCGCCTCCCTCCTCCCTCTCCGACCCAGAGTCCACGCTGATAATCGACAATTAAAAAAATGGATCGTTAGTTAAAATCAATCGCACATAATACTGCTAATATGAGAGGCCAAGTTTAAAATTTTTGGCATCAAATAAAAATCTCAAATAACTTCCGGCAGCAAAATTTCTCAACATAAATTTTTTGATTTAAAAAAAAAAGGAAATACTACTTTTTAGGTGCTTGCATTTTGGCTAGCAAGAAAAACGATTTCTGCAGCGATTTATAGATCAATAAAATATGCGATTTTTGCGATACTTTGCTATTTTTAAGCTGCTGCTAAGAAGAGGCTTTATGGCCTAACAAAAAGAACATATTATTCAGATTAATGCCACGCTTTGGATTAAGCGCATAAACTCTGTCTTTCTTTTTACTATAAACGTGATGTGTAACCTCTGGAAAATGTATTTTTCAAAATGTTGCATTTTTTTTGTTATTGTTTATGCGCAGATGCATGGAGTTTTGGAAAAATAAAAACGTGAAAAAATGGTAAATACCCAAGTTTAAATTTTATTTTATTTTCTACTGCGTTACAGATGAAAATTCCCACTAATTGCTTTAGTCACTTAAAAATGACGCAATCGCTCAGCTCTCCATTTCGACTCATCCTTTCTGAATAAACTGAGACCTTTAAAATGAAACAACTCATTTGTGCATGCGTTCAAGTTCACGCAAATATAATAATAAAAATATGAAAACGTGTCCGATTAGATCTCTCAGAGTTAAAAAGAAATTAATTGCTCGTTTAATAAGAAGCGCGCACAATCTATAAGCATAATACGATCGGCCTTCATCATTTAGTTCCCTTTGCACGTAATTGATTGATAAAGCTACAATATGATTAAAATTTTTGTACATTATATAATATGATTGACCAATTTTTTATTCGTCTTTCTGTGCGAGTTTGCGTAATTATTTTTCTAAATACTTCAAAATATTGTATATCAACAGTAAGATTTATTTTTTAATTCTATTCCATTTGCAACAATAGTTGAAAATGTGATATAAATAAAGCTAAATAAATAATTTGCTCAAAAATTAAATGTAATACAAAATAATTAAACTATTGTCAAATTTAATATTTCAGATTTCATGAGTGAAAACTATTTGCTTGCCACTTAAAAAGTGTCTGAGAAAAGTTTTCAAATCCGCTTCACCTCGTACCATAATATATGTATAGGAAAATAAAAGCTGCAAAGTGTATCAAAAAGTTTAGCACTCCGTCTTCCCTGCGCATCTCGTCATATACCAATCTCGCTGCCAGACACGTTTCCATTCCAAATAACTTCCACGAATGAATGAGGATTGTGATGAATATTTCAAAAAGCAACACAAAAGCAATTTGGATCTCATGAGAAACGAAAGAGAAAGAGCGAAAAACAAATAAAAACTGCAGCGTTTACGCGTTTTTTATTGTTTTCTCACGCCACTGCTGGAAAATGTATGGGCTGTACACATACTCGCGGAGATTAAAACCAACATTGTCATCGGGAGATGTTATAGCCTTTCTGAGGTAAATATAAAAAAAATTAACCGAACCCGGAGAACAGGTCTGTGGCGGAAAGGGACATTATTAAAACGTCATTTGACAGTATTTGGCGCCAGCGCAGCTTTAAGTGGCATTTTCGCAGATTATCTTCGCGCGCGCCTCGAATTCCGATGGAATCTTATAAATCCTGCTCGCTCATTCTCCCGCGTATGTGCTGCGAAAAAAAGCAACAGCGAGCAGTGAAATCCAATAAATAAATGCAGCGCGCGATTAAAATTCAGGTGGCGTTCGACGGCGGGTATTTGGCCAAATGGAGGATATGTTTTGGTCCAGCCGCGCGAGAGAAGAGCTCACCAGGTGAGTCGGATTCCCATGGAATACACCAAGGTCGATCGAGAGAAGATGATGTCATGGATTCCCACGCTACCCACCTCGCGAGATAATATATAAGCGAAATTATTTTTAAATCGGCAGCACCAACCAGTACTTGGCCTGCCGATTTGCAATTCATTATTTTGCGCCGGCCGGCCGGGCCCATAAATTTCTCCGGCTACCGAGAATTTGATTGAAAAGCAAAGCTGATTTATTTGCGATAAATTTGTTGCATAAAAAAAATAATTCACTAATAGAATATGGTGTGGTTTAAATAAATAAAACTTCCGGAAACTTAATTTTGTTTAATTTATCAAGTCGCAAGTCATTGTAAATATGACGACTTTTTTAATTAAGAAAGGCATCGGCGGTGGTTTCAAATTTTGGTGGTGAAATTTTCATCAGGAAACCACAATTCTATAAATTACTCTTCAAGCGGATTTGATACTGGTGGTTACGATTTTTTTTCGCAGTGAAACCCAAACCAGCAGCTACCGAACTACGCATTAGTTATAGTTTTTTCCTGGTCCCGAAACCCCCAAAAGTAAACTTTGTGGCCGCGGATTCGTATTTCCAAAAGCTGCGGTTTTCAGCTGTCTCTTCGAATTACGCGAGGCGAATTTCAAATTTTCTGCCTCGGTTGACCAATTTATTACTTTTTACGCCATGCATTAATTCGGTTTAATGCGCAAGAAATTTATTCAACTGTTCCTCACGTGAGATGTCCATTTAAATTCGGCGTGCAAAATTTGGGCGACTCATCAGGTGCGAAAAAGTGTGGCGTACAAACGCAGCCAGTCATCAGCATATGGGTATTAACAATTCATGTAGTACATAACTAATGCAATACATATACATACTGCTCGGCCAAGAATTTTCCCACGGTGTCCAAACCAAACAATAAAGGATTAATGAAAGTGTTTGAACTCGGGAGGTAACCTGACCGCCGATGGAGAAGGTTGTTTAACGCCGCTTCTTCTCCTTCTTGATTATTTATTCCTGAAGGTCTGAAACAAACAAAAAATGTTGAAAGCTTTATATTAAATTTTCCAATGAAAAACTCATTTAATTTCCAGGATACAAAATTTAATTGAAATTTATTCCAAAATTTTAATTTAACTCCGAAATAAATAATTTGTGAACTTCTATTGAATTGTCTCACAAGGAAAGTTTATATTTGGAATGGACATGGAAACCCAGCGACAACTTTCCTTGTATCCTCATTATTTGTTCTCATATTTACAAATGAATTGCGCAGCCAATACCAAAAAAATAATATCTGAATTTATGCATGCATTTAGAAGCGGCGCATACATATGTATGCAAACATTATAAACATACATAGGAGGCATGTAGTATGTGTGTATCCAGCTGAGGTCGAGTAATAAGGTGCTTGAGGAGGGGGCGGTATAAATATAAATGAGAGAGATCAGTCGCACCAGGCTCAATTGAGAGAGATGAGGCTCGCCGCGATAGTGCTGGCTCTCGTGGCCGTGACCATCACGTCAGAGGTCAACGCGGCGCCCCCGGAAAGGGCACGCAATGCTGCAGCGGGAAATAAGGTACAAAAAATAATCTTTAAAAAAAAATCCATTATTTTAGCATTTTATTTAAAAAAAGTCAATTTTTAAAATGTCAGTTTTCAGTTTAAGAAAGATAATTGTAATTTTTGGAATTATTTTACCTCGTTACAGTTTAATTTAAGTTTTAACACTTCTTAATAGCGGAGGACTGTCAACTATTCAATTATTGTAGAGGTCAAAATGTTATTGTCGAGAGCGTCCCTAACGCATAAACGCCGTCGGCGCGATTTTTATGACCGCCGACGTCCCCTGCTTTAACGCCGCTCCGTGGGTCTCTTTTAAATCTACTTGCTGGCCTTTCAGATCCCAGAGCCAAAAATTTACTTCCTGCACATCAAGTCGGACATCAAATCGCGATATGCGAAAACCCTCGTCACCAGCAAAGTGGCCAACCCGGCGGATAAGGCGCAGGAAGTTGTTTACCAAATGACCATCCCGGAATCAGCCTTCATTTCTAATTTTACCATGTGAGTGCCGCGTAATTTTTTCTCGTTTTGAAATTTCTGTGTCGCAAATTTTGTAATTAACTTCTATATCTATCGATGTGCATGACTATGTTATACAATTCTTCGCAGCGAGCAATTCACAAATAACAAAAAACTGAAAAAGGGCGCATTTGACTGCGAGATAAACTTTGGCAGGGGTCAAATCTCAATGCTAGAATGATTGAAAAACAAGCACGTTAAAAAAATATTGCTTAACCTAAATCACCAGACATGATACAAAAATAAGTTAAAAAAATTAAATTTACAAATGCACATATGTGAAAGGAGAAATGTCTGTTACTAGGAAGCAAGCCTGAATAATTAAGTGAATACAACTGTTGTACTTTTAACTAATTATAGGTTGTAGAAACGCAATATAACCGTAATTAGACTGAAGCGTTCAGGTAAAAGCTAGGCACGACTTGATGTTATATTAGAAAAATAAAATGATGAAAATTTTACAGGCTGGTGGATGACCAGTTGATGGAAGGTCAGGTGAAAGAACGAACGGAGGCAAAACACGAGTACCATGCTGCGAAAGAATCCGGACAAACGGCCGGACACGTTGCCACTGCCACGTAAATCGCATCTAGATTTTGCATAAAGATTTTTTCATTCAAATTTCTCAGGGTGAGGGATTCTAATCAGGTACGCATCTCTGTCAACGTTGGTCCTCTGTCTAAAGTCACCTTCAATGTGACATACGAGGAGCTTTTGGCGAGGCGAAAGGCCAGATACGAACTTGCCATCAACGTCAACCCTGGACAGGTGGAAAAATAAAAGTAATTGGAGGAAAAAATTATAAATGATTTTTTTTTTTTAATTTAAGGTGGTGCCTGATATGTCAATTGACGTTTTTATTGAGGAAAATAGGAACATCACTCTTCTGCAGGTGCCAGAGTTCAGATCAACCAATGAAATCGATTTTGAGGAAAGAGATGAAAGTGAGTTTGCATTTATTTAATTTATTTTTATTATTCGTGACTCCACCTTTTCCAGTTTTCAACTTGACCCAAGTTACGAAAATTTCCAAGCAAAAACTTCACTTAAATTTTGCTCCAAGTGAAAGTGACCAGATTAGGTTGTCTGGAAACGGAAAGCAAGGTCTTGGAGGTCGCTTTGTGGTCAGGTACGACGTGGACAGGAAAAATCAACCAGCGAGCGAAGTTCTGGTGAGAGACATTTTTTTCATTGTAAACGTTAAAAATTTAATTTAAAATTATTTAGACCAAAGATGGGTACTTTGTTCACTTCTTTACTCCGCCCGAAGAGGAACCTCTGCCGAAGCATGTTGTCTTTGTCTTGGACGTTAGCGGATCTATGTACGGAACGAAAATGTCCCAGCTTAAGGAGGCCATGAACGCTATCTTGGACGAACTGAGGCCTCAAGATTTCTTCAACCTGATCGAATTTTCACATCCCGTCACAGTGAGCAACAAATAATATTAATAATAATAATATTACTATTATTGTTGTTATTATTATTATTATTATTATCATCACCAGATAATCACCATTATTATTATAATCATAATTATGTATCATATTTATATTTATACAGGATTTGGAACATTTTCTCAGAGAAAAATAATAATTTCAGATTTTGAATCTGGATACTCCGTCAAACAGCACTGTGATCCAACTGGTTGAGAGCTCATCCTGGTACGAACAAACAACCCCATCTCCTGAAAAGGCCATCAGGTCAGTTCCAGACAAAGTCGATGCCTATCCCGCCACCCCATTCTACATCTCCATTGCCAAGGAGGCGGTTGAAAAAATGTCAGCGAACGGAGGTATAATTATAAAAATTGCTCACTATAAGATTTGAAATAATTTTTAAATGGTGGTCTTCTCTAGGGACTAACATTCATGATTCCGTGAAGGCGGCCATTGAAGTGACCAAGAAAGCCGTTCCGAATAATGACAAAGAAGGAAAACTTCCTGCCCCGATCATTATTTTCTTGACGGACGGCGAAGCGACGGTTGGAGAAACAAGCGCAGACCAAATTTTGAAGATTATCCCAGAGTATAATTGATTTTACTAATATTTGGAGTGCAAGTTTAATAAAATGTGATTTTTCAGGGATCAAAAGGAATCGGTTCCTGTCTTTAGTTTGGCATTTGGAGACGATGCCGATTTGAAATTCTTGAAGCGGCTCAGTCTGAGGGCTGGAGCTTTTGCTCGGAAAATCTATGAAGCAGCCGACGCGGCTCTTCAGCTGAGAGACTTTTACCGCCAAGTGGCCTCACCTTTGCTCACCAACGCCACTTTTAACTACGACCAAAACAAAGTAAACTCACCAATTATTAAAAGCACATGAAATATAATTTCATTTCATTAAAAAATTTCAAGGTTGAAGGAAAGGTATTGACGAAGCAGAAATTTGGACTGGTATTTTCTGGCTCCGAACTAGTGGTCGCCGGAAAATTGAATTCCGGTGTTGAAGAATTGAGCGGCACCGTTTTCACCTCCAACAGGAACTTCCCGTTGCTCCCTTTCCCTGGCGAACGTCCTGAGCCGGTCGTGCGAGACACCGAGGACAACTTTCTGGAGCGATTGTGGGCCTTCCTGAGCATCAAGCAGAGTTTGGACAAGTACGAGGCTTGGAAGGTGGACGCGGCCCCTGCCAAAGAGGGCGAGGAAAAGTCTGCGGCGCAAAAGGCGAAAGAAGAAGCCCTTCGGCTGGCACTGCAGTTTTCCTTTGTCACACCAGTGACCTCCCTAATTGTGGTCAAAAAAGACGACACCACCGCAAAGCCAAGCACAAACCAGAATGACATCAAGAAAATTGTCATACGTAAATAACGGAAAGTTCAAATTTGGAATTATAATTTACAACAATTTTTAGAAAATGAGGAGGAAGACGAAGCCACTGCCTACCCCTCCGGCGCATCTTACAGCGCAATAGCCCTTCAGGCTCAAGGTGGCTATTCAAGTGAGTTACAAATTTTTTTCAAAATGAAGATATGAAATTATTAGAATTTTACAAGTAAAGTCCAAATTCCAATCATAGATTCATCTATGAAATTTTTGTTTGTTTACTTGAAATTAAAAATTTCCGTCTCTAAAAATCGTTTTACCTCAAATCGTCATCACATTCGACCCTCAGGTCACGGTTACGGAGGAAGCTCCCTAATGCAAAGAATCCCTTCGACAACGTCTATCGCCTCCTTTTCACCACCGGCTTTTGTGCAAAAGGAGTCGGCTGTTGCTGTCGATGAGGCTCCTGATTTTGATTATAAATCCGATCCTACGACTTTTAAAATTATTTCAGTCTTAAAGAAACGAATTACCCCAACTCGTCGTCCCATTCGACCCTCAGGTCACGGCTACGGAGGAAGCTCCCTGTTGCAAAGAATCCCTTCGCCACCAAGGACTACCACCCTCGCCTTACCATCGGGTTTCATCATGCAAAAGGAGTCAGTTGCTGAGGAGGCTCTCGATTCTGACTTTGATTCTGATCTTGTTCCGGCGAATTTGCCAACCACGATGACGGCACCGATTGAAACAACAACGATTGAAGCAACAATTCCAATTTCGAGCATCCCCTGGTTGGTTCCCTCCGAGGGTGACAACAATAGCTCAGATTGGCAGAACTTCAAACTTGAAAACTCAACGGAAATCTACAAAGTCCTGTCTTTTTCAAAGGTGCCAGATTTTGTAAAGTATTTTGAAAATAAATAATAGGGAATTATTTCAGAGTCAAAACGTCACTGGCGAGGCCTGTGGACAAACCACCACTCCTGGAATTTGCAGACCTTTCACTGCCTGCGTCTTGCGCAGTTTTTCTGAAACAACATCAGCAGAGAATTTCACCAAGAATTTCAAATGCGATATCAGCTTGGAAGGAGAAATGTAAGTAAACCAAGAAAATGAATGAATCACATTGACAATGTTTTGAATATAGATTTTTGGGAGCCTGTTGCCCGGTGGACAACGCAGGCGTCACTACCACGAGGCTGGAGGCTGAAGTTAACTAAAAGTGCAAATGTTATCTTTTGTAATTTAAGCAAACGAACAAGCAGGGTTTTTAATAAACATAATTTGATAATTTATCCAATACACAAGAGAGCGCCTTAAATTTCTAGCTTATGCAACCTGCCTTACTTTGCAGTAAAACAGGAAGTATAAATGGAATCCTTTAAAAAGAACCATCAGTTGAAATAATTATAACAACCTTGATAAAAAAGAAAATTATTGAAAACTTAACACGATTGCCACAACTTTTAACTCAAATTCGATTACATTTACTATAGCATTATGGAATAATTATGAAAAAAATCAAATTTTTGCAGTTCAAAGGTGTGATTAAATTTAATAATGACGTAACTAAATTTTTGTTGGTCTTTTGCTGAGAGGAAAATTTAAACATTTAAAAATTCTCAATTTTTAATTAGAAAATTTAGTATAAAAAATTATAATTTAATATAAAATTACTCAATTAAAAATTTCTAGCTCTGTAATAATATGTGTACATATTTCATTATCAAGGCTAGGGCGGAAGAAATTTTTAGGTGCAAAGTCATTCCTGAATAATCAGTTCACTTTACACATTTTTTTTCTATCACTGTAAAAAATAATTTATTTTTGTGGTAGAATTTCACGATCGAGGGTTGATTTTAATTTAATGTCGGCTTTTCCTCAATTAATGGGTGTTGCGAGTTGTTTAATGTTTTTCTCAACGACTCACAAACCCCAATAAGGAAAATCTAACTTTGAATTAAAATCGAATTAATAACAATGTAAATTAATTATTAATTATCTTAATTGCATCAAGGCAGCTTGAACGCATTCATTTTTAATTAATTTAAGTCTCAGATTTTTAAATGAAAATGAATGTTTCGTTGTTTGTTTATTTTCTATTAATATCCCATAAATGCAAAAAAACCAAATGAAGCTAATTACATAAAAACGAAATTGAGGTAGCATTTTTTTTTAAAAATTGAAGTTAAAAACAAATATAGTTTTGAGAGTCTGGCACTTTTGCCATTAATTTTGTAAGATCGAAGAATAACTTTGTAATTATACATCCCAGGTTAAAATTTGTAGGCGTGTAAAGACTTTTGCCAAATTTTCATTGCATAAAGTAAAAGATAAATATGCAATAATTTAATTTTGTTCCGTAATTAATTTTATGAATTTCATTTATGCCTAATTTACAACATAATTAGGATTAACGAAAATATGAAAATGTTTACCTGCAGATGAATGATATCGCAGAGCAGAGAGCATAGGTTGGTGCACTTTGCGAAGAAAGTTGAGAGATTCGCGACGGTACTCTTTGTTAATGTACATTTGCATGACACTGGGACACATACTAGAAACTGTGTGTTAATTTGGAAAAGTGAATTAATTTTCTCACTCGTGAGTGATTGCGAGTTGCAGGCGCGAAGGAAACGTGCAGCGAGTTGGCCGAGTCGTCACGCACTTGTTGGAGTCGCTGCTGCAGCACAGGGGTGAGGCTCTGCGTTCGCTCTCCGTGCTCCATCCGTGCTCCGTGTGTGTGTTGTCGTCACTCCAGCAAACGGGAAATATAAATATTCCAAGATGGCAGCAACACTGTCAGCAGATCAGGAACAGGTGAGTGCTGATACGCCGAATTTCGGCCTTTCATTACTGAAAGCGTCGCTGACACCGGCGCTCGTTCGTCCGCTGGTTCGGCCGCCGACCGATTTTCGCGCTTTCCCGCCTCTTTCGGCCGCCAGCACCGACCTGTCGCGACGTACGTGGGCGCCGTCGAAGGCGCTCCCTCGTCCTCGGCCGCAGTCCAAACCGTGCACCTGACACTCTTCGGCCCGAAAAGACGCTGTCAGCTTTTCTGGGCCGCGGATTCGGGCGGGAAAATTTGCAAAATATTTTCAGTTTTAATAATTTTGATTTTTAATGCTTTCGTATTGAGGGAAAATTAATTTAAATTAGATTGAAATGAATTATTTTGTTGTAATTAAAAATATTATTATTGCTTCTGGAATTATTATTTTGTCGGTGAAGTCGTGCACGTTCTCTTTTTTTTAAGTGGAGTGCAATGAAATTCTAGCCACAATCTAACATCTCGCATTACTAACCATCTTCCACGTTGATTTTTATGCCAAGGGGATTTGATAAAGTGAGAGTGATGTGAAGTAATTAATTCTCGTGTTGTATTAATTACATTAGAGTAACACGGCGTTCCGACGCGAAACACACAATAAAGGTGAACAACTTGAAAATAATAATACAAAATGCATGATTCACTCGCGCCACTGATAAGAAAAAGACGAGTTGCGGAACAATGGAATTTCCTTGTTTGGCGAAAACCTCTAATTAATTTTAATTCCTGCTTTGCAATAAAGGATGAGGTTGCTTGACACATACATATTATTATTAATTAAATACTTACGAAGAACTGATTACAAAAAATATGAATAATTATAATAAAATCCAAGTCGGTTAAACTTTTTTGTCCAGCAGAATAACCACCTAAAAATTAACCGTGAGAATTATTCCCACACATTATTCACCGTGTTGCAATCCTAAACAAGAAAATGTCTGGGGTTGAAAAGAATAAAAAAAATTGCGCACGCAAATCACGTGCCAACGTGCACGCATACATGAAAATTGATCGGGTTAGTCGATAGAAATTTTTATTGTGAAGAGAGAAGGCGTAGACGATAAATCACATCCTCTCGAATACTTTTGTGATGCGTGTTCAGTTTTCTCCGGGGGTTCGAATAAGAAATTTAGGCTGGCATCGATTAGGCTGCACCCTATGCCGAGTGATGGACGCTCGGCTTTAAAAATCGAATCAGTTCGCTCGCCCTTTGTTCCTTTAGCCGGCAGCGGGTCCTAATTGAGCCTGCGCCCCTCGATACTGCCGAATGCAACGCCAACTGACGAATGGGCACCCCTTTCACGACCAATTTCCTGCTTTCCGTCGACATAACCAAATTTCAAAATTAAATTATTTTTGTTCAATTGCCTGTTTATAACGGAAGAAATTTAAAAAAATTTCTGATTTAATTCATTTTTCCAGATTTAAAAATCAATTCTACTTTAATTGGAGAAATCTATCTTTATGAAAAATTTCAATTTAAATTATTCATTAATATAAATAAGATTAAAATTTTTAATCACATTAAGCATTGAAATAAATTAAAACACTGAATTTTGCACAGTCCATGGAACAATAAATTTTGCCAATATTTGATTAAATAAAAAACATTGGAGAAAAGACGTGGAACTTTTTTATATCATTAACCAAAATATAATTTAACTGCCTTCATTTAATGCAGAAGAATTTTAGATTATTTTGCAATTTTTTTATTTAATGCATCAGGCTTAATTTTTTTATATAGAAGAACTTATTAAGTCATGTCTAATGAAATTACGATTAATATATATTTTATATTAGTTTGCAAAATCCAAATTATCAATAATTATTATCAAAGAATATTAATTTATTATCAAGAATAATAACAAATTGCAAATTCAATCATGATTAAAATACAGCGAATAGCATAAAAAATATATTAATTAATATTCGCTTAACTTGGTTCATATTTTTGTAAGCGCTTGATTTTATTATGCCAATAAGGAGTCCTAAAATATATGCATAAAAATCAAATTTGCCAAAAATTTGCTAAGAAGTGGCCTGATCAATTTGCTCTAAATTTCTCAGTCAGCATAACAAATTTGGTGAATATATATCATATAATGGTGATGAGAAGTGAGGGTTTTGCTTGGCTTGACTCCTGGATACAACAATCAAACAATCCACACTGGTTTGACTTTTCAAAAGCTCATCCTTAAAAAAGAAAATAATTAAGATATAAATAATATATTTCAAGCTATATACCAAAATTTTGCATATTTATAAATAAGTATTTATTTAATCTCAATATTTCTTATTGTTATTTTTCTCCATCTTTTAGAGAAAATACATTTTAAGTTTTGATCGTTCCATCATAAAATTAATATGCACCAATTGCATGTCTTTTGAACAATTGTTGTAATTATTGTAGTTTCGTTTGCCACCATTTCCAACGCCTTCCTTCTTTTGTCTGGTCGGTTTGTGTGTCATCGTGTCATATGACAACGTTTTGACGAAAAAGGTGCGTGTCGGTGGGTCGGGCGCCTCTCCGTCTCTATTATATTCCATTTAAATTTGACGAATGTATTATGCACTGCTCGCTCATCCTGCTCGGATCGCCGCTCCTTTCTTTTCCTCGGCGCATGTGGGTGAGTAAGTCAACCTTTGTTTGCTCCTCGCACTCATTGCAATACGCATTAAAAACCTTCCTCGCGCCTTCGTGTGATGAGAAAAGACTTCACTCGCGAGCGGCTGCAATTTCTGGAATGGCGTCGAGACACATTTCGCACCTTTTCATTGCTCTGCTTTTTTACATGTGCACGCATGCCGGAAGGAGGATGTGGGGCACAGCCTGAAAGAATGAAATAAAATTTATGTTCAGTACTTTGCAATTCAAAAATAGAAAAGGTGCTTCGGGCCTGAACGGAATTATCTTTATAGGGAGGCGTAATTCGCTCAAGGATGTCAGTCGAGTTAAAATTTAAATTATTTAAAAATATCAACAAAATTAGACTCAATTAGTCACAATTGTTAATAAGTTCATTAATATTGTTTTCAATATTGTTTCACATTGATTTCAATTGAAAAAAATGGAAGTTGAGCTACTTGAGCTCAAGGAGTACTCATTGTTGGTCTTTCTTAACATTTCTTTTTTGTGATTCGAGACATTTTCTTAATGATTATATTTTAATAAATAGATATACTTCAGCAATTTCATTTTTCATTCTTTGCAAATTTAATTGGGAATTTCTATCTACTTGTGACATTCTTGAGGAATTATTTATACATTTTTATGACTGAATCTTCTAGAAAATAAAACAGCAGGGAGTAAGAGTAAAAAAATTACGATTAATAAAAAAATGAGAACAAAGCAAGAACGACATCCTGCGCGGCATAGAAGAAGCAATTAAAATTAAATCACCATACACGATATAATAAAACCCACTCGCGCATCTGTTTCTAGAAAAGTCCCATTCATATCTTTTTATGCACATAATA